TAGATCTCAAACAGTGAATACATCTGCGCCATTGTAAATGGTTTCAGGCCATGTCATTAAGAGTTCTAAAACACTGATTTCTGTCATCTTGGGAACCTCAACCACATAGTTTACATCTTCCCCACGCGACTCACACCAACAGCCACAGATTTCATTGACTGATGACACGTTTTGGTCTGACCACCGTGAGGAGAGGATCGGTGGAAGACTGCCGCTCCTTCTGGAGTACGTGTTTGGACAGCGATCATGCGTTGGTCCGAGCACGTATATGCCTGCGTCTCAATGGACGTAGAAAAAATTTGGCAACAAAACCACTACGAGTTCTGCTGGACAACGAAAACACCAAAGCCGTGTTCAGTGAGAAGTTGGCTAGGCAGTTATCGGAACAAAAGACTGTCACTCATCCAGAAGAAGCTTGGTGCCATCTTCAGTCTACTGTAAAAGCAGCACTGGAGACTGTAGCCGACTCCAAGATAATGGCTAAAAAGAGCCAGTGGATATCAGCAGCTTCTTCCAAACTAATGGATGCACGTGAATGCATCCCTGCAGGCTCTGAGTACAATGAAGAGCGAGCGCAACTTAAAAATAAACTGACGAAAAGTCTGCGCAACGATCGTGAACAGTGGTGGGCAGCAAAGGCTAAAGAGATGGAAAAGGCAGCGGCGATCGGTAACAGTAGACAGTTATTTAGACTTATTAAGGAGACTGGGGGGAAATGGTCAACAACAGTTAGTGAGGTTATAGCGGAGAAGGACGGATCGGCGATTCACTCGCAGGGAAGGCGACTGGGACGATGGGCAGAACACTTTGAGGAACAGTTTAACTGGCCTCCAGCCACCATTGCGCTGCCCGCTATCCAGTCGGACCCTGAATGGGACATAGAGACAGGTCCCCCAACACTAGAAGAAGTTGAGAAAGCGGTAGGTAGCCTGAAACGGGGAAGGGCAGCAGGACCAGACGGACTACCTGCTGAGGTATACAAGAATGGTGGTAGAGTTCTCTTAGTCAGGCTAACGGAAGTGTTAGCCAGTATATGGGAATCAAATACGATCCCCTCCGACTGGTCTAAGTCACTGATCATCCCAGTCTTCAAGAAAGGCGAGAAGTCCTCTTGTGATAACCACAGAGGAATCAGCCTGACAAACATAGTGTCTAAGATCCTAAGTTCTATAATTCTCCGACGCCTGAGTGGAGCTCGGGAACAGCAAGCCCGAGAAAACCAGGCAGGCTTTAGACCTGGCCGTGGATGTATCGACCAAATATTCACACTGCGCCAGGTCCTGGAACATAGGCATGCTTACAGACGCCCGACAATAGCTGTATTTCTCGACCTGAAGGCGGCATTTGACTCCGTTGATCGAGAAGTCTTATGGCAGTGTCTGTCACTGAAAGGCGTGCCTAGTAAGTACATCACCTTATTGAAAGCTCTCTACTCGAACACTTGTGGGCATGTTAGAGCCTATGGTGAGTTGTCCAGGGAGCTATACTCATCAAGTGGTGTCCGTCAAGGATGCCCACTATCCCCATTCTTATTTAATTTTATCATAGATATTCTTATGGAGGTTTCCCTCTCGTCACCTAATTACAAAGACGTTGACCGGATCACAGGTGAATTTTCCTTAGATCTAGAATATGCAGATGACATAGTCCTGTTAGGTGAAGACGCTGACAAGATGCAGAGTCTTCTGAACACTTTGAGTGGGAATTTGAGAATGTTTGGGATGCGATTTTCACCACCCAAATGCAAATTTTTGCTCCAGGACTGGTCTTCAGCGGTACCGCGGTTAACAATAGAGAGTGAAGTGGTTGAGTGTGTTGACCACTTCACTTACCTGGGAAGTAGGATCAACCCGGTGGGTTAGTTGCCGATGAGATTTCTGCACGGATACAAAAGGCTCGATTGGCTTTTGCCAATTTGCGCCACCTATGGCGCCGCCGTGATATTCGTTTGTCTATTAAGGGTCGCGTGTACTGCACAGCAGTCCGCTCTGTTCTACTGTATGGCTGTGAAACATGGCCATTGAAAGTGGAAGACATGAGAAGGTTACAGGTATTTGACCACCGTTGCCTTCGTAGTATAGGACGTATTCCGTGGTGTCACCATGTGAGTAATGCAGATGTCAGGTGTAACATTTTTTGGGAGTGAGATGAGGTAAATCATTTGACACGGTTGTGAACCTTCATGAACTGAGATGGTTGGGACACGTGTTACGTATGCCTAGTCTCCGATTGCCTCGTCACACAATGTTGGCTGAGGTGGGTTCAGGCTGGAAAAAGGCCCGAGGTGGCCAGACTAAAACATGACACCAATGTATGAAGTCTCTGACTGTTGGTTTAAGCCATGTAGGACGATGCAGACTAGGTGGTTGGGGTCTGCGGGACAAGAGGAACCAGTGGTTGGAGACCCTAGGTGATATGGCTCAGAACCGAAGTCAGTGGCGCAGATGTATACACACATTATCCTCATCTTAACAACGCTATACCGAATCTCACCATTTTGTCACTCCTCTTTCCTTTCTTCTCGTACTTTATATTTCTTTTGACTGCATTCACTTATCTTCATCCTTCACCTCACTACCTTTTTACTTGATGTGCTGATATGAGGTGTGGCAACTCGGACCGTTACGCAGTAATGCCTGGTCCTATGTTGATAATGATGACCACCGTGAACTCTCTTCCAACCTAATCCAACTTCTTTTAACATGGAACATCGAGGTAGGCGATAAATCAGGATGCGCAGCACATGTTCGAACCATTTCATCCGATGAAGATTCACAACCTTATCAATCGAGTTGCCTATTACGTTTCGCCTGCTGACACAGTTATTTCAGCACACGCGAGCAACGCTACAAAGACACCTGAGATGGAAGTATGTATCTGCTTTATGTTACACCAATTAGTTCATCTAAAGTAGAGTCAAATAAAAATAATAGGCGATTCATAGAATCAACTGGGAATATATCCTCATACTGTCGAATTCCAAATACGTAGAGTGGCATCATTGTTATTTAAGTTACGCAGGAATTCAGCAATACTGCAACTGACGGTATCCACAAAAAGGTGCCTTGAAGTTTGTTAAGACTGAAGCCCGTAATAGAGGACCAGTTCACAATGGTTATCTTCATTTTTAAAATGCAAATTTCTAACTGTTCCGAAAGTTGTATAAGCTTGGTGAACAGGTTTGAATAAGACTCGAAGTTAACCATAAAGGATACTACTGGCGAAAGATTAAAAAATCCACCTAACCTTTTAATAGTGTAGTGGAAGTCTTCTTTTCAGAAATTTGAAACAACTTAGTCGTTTTAACGAATTTGTATGGTTGAGGTAGATTTCGTGTTTGTTGGCATTCATCAGCAAGATATATCTGTAATCTAGAGGAAACTAATGTCCCTTGTAAAGTTTAAAAACCCACGTCATCCAGTGTTACAGTTAGCGATGTTACCATGGAGTCATTCTGGCTGCGACTAACTTCTTGTAGGATATTTTTGCAGTCAGTGAGTAGTAGTATAGTGAGTTAAGTAATTCATGAAACAAGACCAACACTTTTTAAAATATTATTTTGAAATCTGAGGTTAGTGGAGTTTGTGAATTGATCATACAACGGTAAGGATACTAGTTGACTACTAACCCAACGAAATTTTAAAAAAAAATAAGCAGCACTCACAGTTGAAAAAAAAAACTCGAAAAAACCTACATGAAAAGCAACTAACAAATCTAGTACAATTGAACTAACACTAAAAAATCTACGAATATTCAACACCATAAACGTGGAACTAGTGTAACTAACATAAATTACCTGTCATCCATATCACCTATAAATGCAAGAATGAACAAACACTGATGATGAGAAGCCCAATAGTAAAACAGGGAGAACAGAAGTATGTGTAACATATCAGAGCTCACATCCACAGCCAATTATCAGTTTCAAAGAAGTGAGCTCAATCTCCCTTACACGCGTCACCTACAAACAAAGCTGTTACAGCACAAAGCTATGATTACACTATCTATCTATCTATCTATCTATCTATCTATCTATCTATCTATCTATCTATCTATCTATCTATCTATCTATCTATCTATCTATCTATCTATCTATCTATCTATCTATCTATCTATCTATCTATCTATCTATCTATCTATCTATCTATCTATCTATCTATCTATCTATCTATCTATCTATCTATCTATCTATCTATCTATCTATCTATCTATCTATCTATCTATCTATCTATCTATCTATCTATCTATCTATCTATCTATCTATCTATCTATCTATCTATCTATCTATCTATCTATCTATCTATCTATCTATCTATCTATCTATCTATCTATCTATCTATCTATCTATCTATCTATCTATCTATCTATCTATCTATCTATCTATCTATCTATCTATCTATCTATCTATCTATCTATCTATCTATCTATCTATCTATCTATCTATCTATCTATCTATCTATCTATCTATCTATCTATCTATCTATCTATCTATCTATCTATCTATCTATCTATCTATCTATCTATCTATCTATCTATCTATCTATCTATCTATCTATCTATCTATCTATCTATCTATCTATCTATCTATCTATCTATCTATCTATCTATCTATCTATCTATCTATCTATCTATCTATCTATCTATCTATCTATCTATCTATCTATCTATCTATCTATCTATCTATCTATCTATCTATCTATCTATCTATCTATCTATCTATCTATCTATCTATCTATCTATCTATCTATCTATCTATCTATCTATCTATCTATCTATCTATCTATCTATCTATCTATCTATCTATCTATCTATCTATCTATCTATCTATCTATCTATCTATCTATCTATCTATCTATCTATCTATCTATCTATCTATCTATCTATCTATCTATCTATCTATCTATCTATCTATCTATCTATCTATCTATCTATCCACCTATCCATGCATCCATCCATGCATCCATCCACCATGAGTAAATAAGAAAAAAAACAACGCAAAAGCAAGGAGAAATCAGAAATCATAAACTTGCTGGCTAACATGTGTTTTTTTCGTATTAAAAAAAAGATTTTTTTTTTGGCCGTCTAAAAATACTATCTCCACTCTCATATTATCATTATGAATATAAAAAACATTTTCATTTTATAATATGAAGTGTATATTCATTTTATTTTTAGCCTATGTGTAGTAGTAAGATGGACTTCAATAAACAGGAACACACACTTTATGTCTCTGTCTCTCTCTCTCTCTACACACACACACACACACACACACATTCAGGCATTCATTGTCGATAACATTGTTAGCGACGATGAATACGGTTTTCATTTAACTGATCAGGATGCTGTTAGTGAATGAGACAGAAGAGAAAGGCTAAAGAAAGTTGTGTTTTACATATAATCGAAATAGTTGTCTTTTTGCTTAGAAAATAATTCGAATTATTATAGTTAGCAACACAAGGCGAAAAAATGAGCATAAAATAATATATATAGATTTGAATATAGAGTGAGTGAGTAAGTGAAAAGAACAGTTACTAAGGTGTATACGATTCATTCAAAACGATGAACAAAGTGACCGGTAGACAGATCATGTATCTATGTGTGTTTGTCTTGAAGATTCGAAAGAAGAAGACATGAAATGTATTAATATGCTAGATATTATTTCATAGTAGTGTAATTATAGAAGGGGGATTCTACATTCGATGTGATGATGAATATACATCACTGACAACTATCATCATCATTATCACCAACCGAAAATGACATGCACACGTAAACTAAAGAATAAAGGCTAAAAAGATTTCATGAAGAAAAGGTTATTGAATATGAGAGAGAGAGAGAGAGAGAGAGAGAGAGAGAGGCATTCAACTAATAAACATTCACTCGGTATACTGAATTCACGCAGACAATGTTGAAGTAACAGTGTTATTTCAATTAAAACATTTATCATAATTGTTATTACATTAAACATGAATTAATGATCTAAACGATAGCGTGTATGTGTATCTGCGTGTGTATAATTAAAAGGTAGCACACATACAGACGCACACACAGTTGAATAAGCACATGCACAATGGATACGTACACACACACACAGGCACACAAACTGTTTTATGAACGAGTAGTTGAGATAGTATTAAAATATAAACCCCGACGACAGCCACTACCACCACTACCATCACTGCTGACAACAGGAATTCCAATTCCTGCTGCTGTTGTTGCTGTTGCTACTCCTACACCACCAGTAGTTGATAGATTATTGACACTGAAATTCTCAGTTGATAGAATATTCATATAAGATGTTTTCAAGTTGCTATCTGATTCAATAATACGTAATAATTCTACATAATGACGATTTTTATCTAATTTTCAAAAATAACATAATAAAAGTGAAAAAATTTGTTAGAAGTTACAAATACTACTTATACTACTCATATAATAAATTTGTAAAGTTTTACAGGATTAACTAAATCGATAATAACAAAAAAAATTTTTCTTTCTCTGGGTATGTACCCTGATAACCTTTAGAGTCAGAAAGATGTATCACACCTGATATACAACATTTATAAAACGTGAAAATACGTTTCACTTGTTTATGAAGTTTGTATTGATGTTGTATAACTAAGCCTACCTAGTTGATTTACCATGAACAGATATATCACAAAGGGTGTTGAGTAGGCGATGTAGTTAGATGCTTTATTCCATAGGTGAAATAGAACTTTTAACGGGCATTTATAACATACTATGTTCCCTCCCCTCCTCCTCTGTCTGAAGTCGCAATGCTCACTCAACATGTTGGAGATTCAGTTTATACACCCTATAATGTCGACTTAAATGAATTGAATTGAATTAATCGACCATTTTCTCCACATAAAGAAACATATCACTTGACAGAAGAAAGGTTGCGAGGAACACCCTATTTCAATCTAAGTATGATTTCTATTCACCGATCAAATTAATTAAGATAATGAAGTTTGGGATTGATAGGAATTTCATTCTCGAGGTAGTATTCATCATGAACTGAAGTTCAGTTGTAGAACTATCGAAAATCTGAACAAACTGGACACATATTTCCCTTTAGTATGCGAGTCTACCACAGAATGCACCCACGATACCCTTAGGGATCTAACTAAGAACCTTTAGGTTTGAAGATGAGAGCGTTAACCATTCAGCCATAGCTGTTCAATGGTCCCAAGTTTTCAATAGTTTTCTAACTGATATCAGTCCGTGATAAATACTGCAGTCAAAATAAAATCTATGTAAATGTCAAACTACACTACTGTCTAGTGCTTAATAGTGATATCCGTCCAGATGGATATTCTAAAGTTCTGATGAGAAGCCATGACTTGTAAGGTCAACCAGACAATCGAAAGTGAAGTGGATATCAACTGAACACCTTGGTGGATAGTCGCTCTACATCACGAATTGACAGAAGAAAACTGTGCATCACTGAACTGCGACTTAGCGGTTGAATAGTTACCATGTTTGCCGTGAAACTTGAACATCCTGAGAGTTTCATCACTGGCGGGATGCTTACTGCTGAAGAGTCCCATACTAGTACGAGCTCCGGGGTTCTCGATGGTTCTCTAACTGATTTCACTCGGTGGTGAATACCATCTCAATGATAACTGCAACTAAATCACTTGACAACCTCAACATAATGCTGATATAACTCACGTCATAGAAAAAAAGAGGTGAGTCGGTTGGTGAGGTTGTAACTTTCCATTGATTCAGACGGCTAAAACCTGCGTTACGCATATCTAGTCACCGTCAATCCAATCGCGTAGTGCTAGCTGAAGTAGACTTAGAGTGGGAAAAGGTCAAAGGTGATCAGACTTAAATATGGCATCAGTCGGTGAAGCCTCTGACTAATGGTCTCAGAGGTATGCGGAAATGTAGACATCCAGGTTGGGATGTATACCATAAGCAAAATTGATAGGTGGAGAATGCAAGTGATGTAGTTCAGAATTGATCTCAGTGGGGCAAATGAATCTACATACATTTTTCTTATGACTTATTATGTCATACTTTATCAGTGGACTTACCCCTCTATTTTTCCTACAATTTTTAGTTGCGTTGTTCATTTTCTCCCTATTTTTCATCTTGGTACCTTGTATCCTAGTGTCAGATGCGACAAGCTGGAGCAAGTTGGAGGTGTGTATGTGTGTATGTATGTATGTATGTATGTATGTATGTATGTATGTATGTATGTATGTATGTATGTATGTATGTATGTATGTATGTATGTATGTATGTATGTATGTATGTATGTATGTATGTATGTATGTATGTATGTATGTATGTATGTATGTATGTATGTATGTATGTATGTATGTATGTATGTATGTATGTATGTATGTATGTATGTATGTATGTATGTATGTATGTATGTATGTATGTATGTATGTATGTATGTATGTATGTATGTATGTATGTATGTATGTATGTATGTATGTATGTATGTATGTATGTATGTATGTATGTATGTATGTATGTATGTATGTATGTATGTATGTATGTATGTATGTATGTATGTATGTATGTATGTATGTATGTATGTATGTATGTATGTATGTATGTATGTATGTATGTATGTATGTATGTATGTATGTATGTATGTATGTATGTATGTATGTATGTATGTATGTATGTATGTATGTATGTATGTATGTATGTATGTATGTATGTATGTATGTATGTATGTATGTATGTATGTATGTATGTATGCATGTATGTATGCATGTATGTATGTATGTATATCTTTGGGTTTTGGATTGGATTCTTAACGCGGGGGATCATGTAGGAAGTAACACGAAAAGTATTCATCAATTAAATATATGCAACAACATATAGTTAATCGCTTACCGATATCATCAATATTTCTTAAACTGGCTATCAATCCAAGTGCACTTCGATTTAATTCTTGCATTTTCTCCATTTCTTGTTTAACCCAATCATCTTTAGGCTTAGATAACAGGATTGCCTTTAAAGGTATAGCTAACATTTCCATTTCTGTTAGAGAGATGAAATAATATACATATAGTAAGAGGGTTGATTTAGTAATTTCATTAGTTTTTTTTATTTTAGAAAACCCATTTATCCCTAAATAACTATTCCTCGTCTAGGTCTTATCATATAAGGAAATAGCTCAAATGACCACTGTACGCCAGTGTGCATGTGTGTGTGTATTACACAATGTGACTGTTTTTAGAAAGCATAATTCTCAAGATGTCTTCCTGTGTATGTGTAGGGGGGGGGGGACATACAGCATTATATAGTGTAAAATTACTGTATAATTTTTTGATGCCTTAGTGGATTATCAAAACTGAAATACGTAAATTAGGCTATACTTTGGCAACACTAAAGTGGATAATATCGAAAACGTCACAATATTTATTAGTTAAACAAGATTAGAATCAGTAAGGGTAGGTTTGCAGTTGAAATCCACTCAGAAACCTTATACACATTCATGAAGTAAGTAAGCAATAAGCCACACCTGTTATATGAAAGCTAATGATGTTAATTAGCTGTAGAGCTCGAACCCATGACCTATATGGTTGAAATTCATCTACTTAAACCAGTGAGCCACAACTTCACAATAACAATAGAGTGGGTGAACCAGCATCAGATTATCACATAATCCAGATTCTCTTTATCTTAGTGATTGTGTCATACAGTCAATAATATTAAACTTCAATAATTTACTTGGTTGTGTATCAAACAAAGAAATCCAGGACGCACATTTCGATGTGGTAAAACAACGAAGGATTGCAAGCCGATCAATAAATAGTAACAAGTATTACTCATTGTATAAGAGGTAGTTATCATGGATCAGTGGTCTAGTGAATAACGCATTGGCGTTTCAATTGATGGGTACGAGGTTCAAGTCTCAATGGACACAGATATATCCAACGAAATACACGTCCTGGATTACTGTGTTAGCCAAAACCAAGTAAATAATCATAATTCGGATCCGGGGATGAAACAATTCAATCAAGTAAAACAATAGAGAGTTACAAGTATATCAATCAGTGGTAATTGAACTTCAATGTTAATTTCTAGGAAATAAAAGACCAGGTGAGTAAACTGAATTATTCGGCCTAAGTCAAAATCTTGTATTAACAGAAATAGGAGTAAAGAAAGTTACCCCTAAAAGTGGTTCAATTAATACGATAATATTCATTGATCAATGATTGAAAGTGGATTTTATAGAAAAACATTGACTTTATAGTTCAAGTTGTATGTAAAATCAATGTTTGAAAAAAGCACAACTGAAAACGATATCCCCTCAAAATTGTTGCCAAGCATACAAACACAGTAACACATGTTAACTAACTTTATATTTCTTATCATTTTGACTATCTGAGATAGCTGTGGATTTGTAGACTAGTATTTATACTGGGTGATGATTGAAGGTGAAACCGAAATTTGGACTGCGGTTGGATTCGAACCATTAAGCCGCATCATTCTGGAGAGACTAAAGGATGTAGTGGATTCAAAACAACGACCGTACAAACCATGTGCAACACTACGCTGCGCATCATGATAGAATACAGTATAGAATGCCAGTCAACTCAACTCTACCTCAGCTTCATCCAATTTGAAAAGGCTTTTGACAGCGTCGACCGACAAGTAATTTGTCACGCAACTGCTTCAACATTACGGGATACCACAAACCTTCATTAACCTCATTCAATAACTATATGAAGGCGCTACATGCCAAGTAATTCACAATGGGAAGCTCAGTGATGCCTTTGCAGTGAAGTGAAGACAGGAGTGCAAAAAGGCTGTCTATTATCCCCCATGATATTCCTGATAGTGGTCGACTGGATCATGCAGCAGAAAACTGTAAGGAGCGAGAAGAGGAGGGTAGGGACCGGGGAAAAGAACCTAGAAGACTTGGATTTCACCGATGATGAATTGTGTCTCATGTCACACAAACTTGAAGATCTACAGTCGAAAACTAACAAGTTGACAGAAGAGACAGGGCAGCGAAGACGAGACTTCAAGTGAATATAGAAAAGATAGAGGTGATGAAGATACCCAACCAACACCACCACCACCAACAACAACAAACTCCAATCACCATCAATTGGAGAAACTTAAGGGAAGTAGCCTCTTTCACCTACCCACATACATAGGCAGCATGGTTTCAAGTACAGGCTGTGGCACAGGCACAGACGAGGATGTCAAAGCCAGCCAGGCGTTCGCTTGATCGTATTCACACTGACTTCCTAATCAGGACTTCTCATCCCAATACATATCTGACTGAATTAGAGACGGAGTGGAGTCGGACCTCGTAGCTCAAATGGTAGAGCATCGGGTCGGAAACCCGGTGGTCGCTGGTTCGAATCCAGCCGCGGTCCAAATTTTAACTTCACCTTCAATCATCACCGAGTTTAAATTTCTTATTTTCTTTTCTAGTCTATTCAAATGTTCTGTTTTGTTTGTAACTTCTTCGGTGTCTCGCATGGATGTGCGGTTATGTGATTATTCGTTAGTCAAAACACCCAATTTCCAACCGATGGGACACGTGTTCGAACCCAGTCCCACCTACCAAGGTCTTGTCAGTCAGCTAGGTAGTAGTATGGTTAACTCTCCCACACAACAAGTGTGGATCATTGTCTACTGCAACTAATCTAATTACATACTGACTCAGTACAATAATTCCTTTTACCATGTATTCTTGAATATATTTATTCATCTATAGTGCTACGATATTATACAAGTTGAAAGAATAAAAACATTTGAACAACACTCAGTCACCACTCAGCAATTTGACCCAGTATAGCAACGAGAGATTACAACAGCTGATACCTATTGTTCAATAGGTGGCTCTCGTGCCCCGATGACATAGCGGATAACACTTTGGCGTTTGAACGTAAGGGTACAGGGTTGGAGCGTCGGTGGGAACAACATCACTCACATGGGTTCAAGTACTGGAATTCTCTACTAGTTACCAAGATCAGTATACCATCACGAATATTCAGCAGTATTGAGGCATCCACATAGGAGTCTATCTGCTAACAGAGGTAGGAGCAATTCGCCCCTCTATAGTATCATAATAGTGGATAACGCTTTGGCGTTTGAAGTGATGGGTACTGGGGTTGGACACTTACTAGGAGGCAGGTAGATCCAACTGACGGGTCACAAATAGGACAGGACACAAATCCTTGATTCCACTGTTAACAACCAAGCAGATATCAACATAATTAGTTTGGATATCAACATAACTTTTCCTTCTATACTTAGAAGTGTTATCACAACACTTTAGAATCGAACCAGATCTTTGTAAAATATACACTCTATGGTGAAAAATTTAATTATAATTTTCTATGAAATCCAAGGTATTCAGACTAAATAATGTGTTCGCTGGATAGATAAAAGGGATCCGTGCATCAGTGTGAGTGGGGGGGTTAGAGCCCCTTTTTCGCACTACTGTCATAGTGACAATCTAGATGCCGATTACAGTGTCAAGAGCAAACTATCTGAACTGAATATTTTTTTTTAGTTCTCATAGGAAATCTTGAGTTGATTCTAGGTATGACAAATCTGCTCGAGTAGAAAGACGTAAAAAACGAGTACTTTCAATAATTTGACATTCTAAGTTGCATAAATCCAGGTACACCATTCATGAACTCACCCTCCTCAAACAAGGGAAACGAGCTTTTAATGTTTACATCACCTTAATCTAGATAATGAGCATTGATAATCAATATGACGAATACATAACTACTCACTTCAGTTAGTAGAATATTTCTTGGCAAAACTTATTCAAATAGAAGTTTACTACATTGCTTGAAAAATACTTCAAGTATCAATAACCAAAGATTACAGTATATTACAATCAGAAAACATTTGAAAAATCTCCATTTAACTCTGAAGATACAAAAGAACCATATTATCCCATAATACCTGCTAGTATGAATGATAACAAGTTGTCAAGATGTGTTCATTTATGTAATATTACAAATCGCAGTGAGTTTCGTTCTATTCAGGACTCATCAGATAGGTGTACTTGGAGTGGTCAACCTCTGTTGGCATATGCTTTTCTATACATAAACCTTAATATTGTCTAATTATTGATTATGTTGTAGTGTATAAGAGATGATCCTTGTGCATCTCTCCCAAAAAGACCAACAGACCCCGGTTCTAAATTACTTGGATGCACCTTTGCACAAATTCAACTACAAAAACAAGATTATCCGTTGAGAAAAAGAATAAATACTGATGTGATTGAGACAGTTTAAAGTTGAATATGGGTAGTAAGGGATGATACGATACTTATGAGTTATGTAGTAAAGACGCTGTCATATTCTATGCCTATTGAATGACTGAGAAAATCAACGCAGAATCAATCAATCAATCAATATCAACATAGGACCAGGCATTACTGCGTAACGGTCAGAGTTCCCACCACACCTAATATCAGTACATCAGTACATCAGTAGTGAGGTGAAAAATGAAGATCACAGAGTGCAGCCAAAAGAAACATAAACTACAAGAAGAAAGAAAAGAAGAATGACAAAATGGTGAGATTCGGTATAGCGTCGTTAAAATGAGGTTAATGTGTGTACACATCTGCGCCACTGACATCAGTTCTCACTCATATCATCACCTGGAGTCTCCAACCACTGATTCCTCTTTTCCCACGGACCCTAACCACAAAGTCTGCATCGCCCAACATGGCTCAAACCAACAGTCAGAGACTTCATACACTGGTGTCATGTTTTAGTCTGACCACCTCGGGCCTTTTTCCAACCTGGATCTACTTCGGCCAACATTGTGTGAAAAGACAATCGGTGACTAGGCATACGTAGTACGTGTCCCAACCATCTCAATCGATGAAGGTTTATAACCTCGTCTACTGATTTACCTCTGCTCCCTAAAACTCTACACCTAACTTCTGCATTACTCACGTGGTGACACCACGGAATACGTCCTATACTACGAAGGCAATTGTAGCCAAACACTTCACACACATTAGTATATAGAGGAAAAGGGCGTAGAAAAAGAGTGATACCGAACTGGACAAAGTTGTGCGTAAAAGAATAAGAAATCTGAAGTCCTGAAGCATCGTCTCGGGGGCGCCAAATCCAGCAGTCTACATCTCTCCACATGGCTTAGACCTGTAAAACTTTCATTTTGTTTAACCTTACAGACAAGTAGGTGTTTAAAGCATAAAATGTTAATCTAGCACAAAAGATTCGAAGTAATAGAGTGTAAACAAAGACATTTTTATTGAATTGAAGACTAATTCAGTGAAAATCCAACTTACTAGCAGAGATTTCCAATGGTCGTATAATCGATATACGTTGAAGTATTTGATAGGATAATAATTTAATATCTGTATGATCTCGTAAACCATCGATTAATGATTCCAAAAGTTCAAGATTACCAATTTATCTAAACATGTCTCCAATAGAGTGGACATACACTCAAATGCGCACTAGCAATTAAATAGGCAGATAATGATCAACACATAAACGAAAGAACATTTATAAGCATATACATGTCGTAAACAATAAACTTTTAGAAGTAGTATTCATCATGCAGTGACGTTAGTTAGGGAACCATTGAAAATCTGGGAGCACTGAACAGCTGTTTCGTCCAACTAGTATGGGACTCCTTAGCAATACGCACCCATGACTCCACCAGGGATCGAACTCAGGACCTTCAGGTTTCACGGGGAACGCGTTAACCATATCAGTGCATGATGAATACTACTTCTAAATTAAAAATCCCCACTCATCTCGAAAATAAACTTTTAATTGCAATGAACAATTAAAAATTAAGAAATACAAAGCAGTTGTTATTCAAGATTCTTAGTTGTACAGTGTTCTCATTGGCCTTGTTGTTAGGGTTTACATCATATCGAATCGCAACCCACTTCGCAACGTCTTTGTGTACATTAGTTTAGTAGATAGTAACAAGTCACATACCTATTGTGTGTGTGCAACAGCTAGTGATACAACTACTTGGCTGCCCAAACGACCTCGATAGGTGGAACGGGATTCGAACCCATGAGCCATCTGGTTAAAAGTCAATTGCCAGAACCAATGAGCCACAACAAAAATACTGAGTGATAAACCATTATTCTATGCTACCACTTGTTTACGGTTTTATTTGAACTTAGAGCATCTGACATAAAGTCAGTCACTGATGAGTAAAGTCTGTGCACAGGAATTTCAAGGCAGAAAGAATATAAAAACATATAGTAATAATATAACTGAGCAACTTAACCACATACCACCTAGGGCAGGATATGAAGACACAGCCTACTAGATGGAAATCCGGTATCACAGCTTCAAGAATCAGTGACTTGGATTTGTTACAAACATTGGGGCATGACTACAATTCAAATACAGTCTATTCATTGGAAGAATTTTAGTCAATTTGCGATGGAACTACACACTTACAAGCGTAGCATCGAATTCAAAATATAGTGAATAGCACAAACAAAGTTAAACTATAGCAAACATCGATTTTAAATCGACGGAGAAAGCAGTAGAAACCAACTATGAATTTTGATAGGAATCAAGTCAATGTCTTCTTACAACATGAAAACCGAAAACGTTTAATGGGAAAAAACAAAGTACTAACTAACACTAGTAAGTAGTATAGATTTTACGATGGAATTTTAAAGCAGTAGACGATATGAACAATAAACTGATGCGTATGAAAATCTCTCCCTGATGAGTAAAATACCCATCGGAACTGTGGTAATAATTTATTACAGATGTCAGAAAATAACATTGACGACAGCTGTAGTACTAGTCGTCGTCGTAGTAGTAGTAGTGAAAATAGGCAGCAACGAAGAACTAGGTTGATATCAACTACTTAAATAACTTTCAATATACCCATTTAGACATTTAGCAAAAGACTGATTGAGCGAAGAAATGTATATTTCTTTTCAATTATGTCTTCATCTTGGGCTCTACACTAATATATGTGGGTTTACAATTTAATCAAATTACCAATCACATGGGGTGATATTGTAGAATTAGTGATGTGAATAATCAATAGGGTTACTAAAATAGGAAATATGAATATTGATAGAAACAAGGAGGGGAAGAGGTGCACAAAATAAACCTAGAAGTTACATCATGTTTACGGTTCACTGAAGGATACCATAAGCCGTTTAGAGTTATATTGTCGTTACATGGATGATACCTTCATAGTGCTCAAAAGTGAAACTGATAAGAATGCTGTTCTGAATAAGTTCAAGTGTTTATCCGGCAATCAACTTCACAATGGAAGAGGAGGAAAAAAATGATAGTATCCCATTTCTTGATGATCTGTTGGTAAGAAGGTCAGATGGAACCCTGAAGCAAAGTGTTTAATAGAAAGCCAACATCAACAGGTCAATATAAGCACTTCTTTAGTGCTGTACCCCCCCCCCAATACAAAAGGAACCTAGTGAAATGCTTAGCATACCATGCATCAACTACTTGCTCAGAGGATGCAATAAAGGAAGAGTGCGCCACCATCCGTGGTCTGCTCAGTAGGAATGGCTACTCAGACAAGTTTGTAACTTAGCATATGAATATTACAAAGGTCAAGATAAGAATGCCAACAGTTCCTAAGAAGTAAATCTTCTTGAAGCTGCAATTCAACAGTGATATTGCCAGTCAGATCATCACACAACGCATATAAACAGTCTTGCATAAAACATTCCCAGCCACTAAATTATGTCCCGCCTTCTACAACCGCCCCATTCTAGGTGCAAGAAATAAAGACAAACTGCCTGATTCTGCCACCTCTGTGTGCATTTACCAATTCAACTGCTCCTGTGGAACTAGTTACATTGGGTGTACAATAAGGCAGTTCCACTGTCGAATTTCTGAGCACCACCCATCATGGTTGAACAAGGGACAAATTAGAACGATAAAGAGCTCCATACTTGTACACTTAGTTGACACAGGACATCAAGTGGTTACTGGAAAAGCCTTCAAGATTATCCATCAGGTTCCAATTAATTTACCTCATGGATTACACACTCGGTTACTTCACATAGCAGAGGCGATTGCAATCCACCTTTACAAACAAACCTAACTTTTGTATTCAAAAGAACTTTGTTCGACCACTTTCATTACCATGGCCGTCAACATGATGTAACTTCTAGGTTTATTTTGTGCACCTCTTCCCCTCCTTGTTTCTATCAATATTCATATTTCCTATTTTAGTAACTCTATTGATTATTCACATCACTAGTTCTACAATATCACCCCATGTGATTGGTAATTTGATTAAATTGTAAACCCACATATATTAGTGTAGAGCCCAAGATGAAGACCTAATTGAAAAGGATTATATTTCTTCGTCCACTTAATCAGTATTTAAATAACTGTTGTTATAAGGGAGTTGACGAGAATGTTCCCCGTATCCACATATTTACTGGCTGATAACACAAAGACGTTGTACAGACTAGAAAGACACAAAACAATACCTACCTTCCTTAAATCTAAACCATCGTCTTCATGATGTTTGAATGGACCCATTTCAACTTCACGAATTAATTCTTTTCGAACAACTGTCTCAGTACATAACATGTCTAATAGAGTTGATGTTTGTGAAGTACCAGGCAATTGTATTGGTACATTCAACAATGGACGTACAAGACCAGGTCTATGATGAGCTACTGTATTCAATGCAACAAGAGCTGCTCGTCGAACTGATAATTCTGGATCTGCAAGACGACCAAGGAAATCAATGAGAGCAGGAGGATTACCAGAGCGTAAAGCAGATTCAACATCATTAATTACAGGTATATTAGTGTCTTGAGATGAGGTTATATAGTATGGAACATCTGGTAGATCACAACGTGTACGACCAGTACATCTTGTCAATGTGGCTGAATCCAAATCAGTTACAATCAAGATGAATTTTACAGCGGTCACCAATGTTGAACGCATTAAAACTGATGAAGAGGCTTCAGGGGAATTAAGCTGAAAGGAACATTTTGTAAAAGAATTAAAAGATTACACAAATTACGATATCAGTATACAATAGAATATACTAGATCAAGTCTTCTTGGGAACAACATCGCTCATTGGGAGGGTAGTACATCCAGCTGAAGAGTCCCAAATAGGACGAAACGCACATTCTGGATTCCACTGTTGGCTACTGTTCATAACTAATATCACAATCAGAATTGATTGAAATATTACCCGTTTGTATTCACTGCTATTTACGCTAACAACACCTATGGTTCTTTTCAGTTTTATCCCTTATAATTTGTTCTACCTTCTAACATTATTATTGTCTATTTGAAATAGTAGTCATGGACAAAGAAGACTACATCAAGAAAGCAGAGGATGGACTCAAAGACAAAAATGTATATCAACTACTTGAAACCAACCCTATCAAAAAGTTCGACAACCAGATCAATAAAACCTTGAACAAACTCTTCAGAGCAGAAGAAATAACAAAGCAAGACAAATGGGGTATGAAATCGAATGGACCTATCCTCCCTAGAGTCTACGGCAGACCAAAACTATACAAACCCGATTTCCCTCTGCAACCAATAGTCTTACATCCGGGAACCTCAACATACAACATATCAAGAGAACTTTCGAGAAGATTGAAACACCTCGTTCAATCGTGCGGACATTCCATCAAGTCACCAACAGAATTCTTAGAAAAGATCAGAAATATTAACATAGAAAATGATGAATTAATGATATCCTTTGATGTTACAGCACTATACACATCCATCGAACCTCAATTGGTTAAGGAAACGATATCCCTCCTGATCAATGAAGACAAAAACCTTTCAGAACTCACAAAACTCAAATGTTCAAGTCTGATGGAACTCATCGACCTTTGTATGACAACATACTTCCAATCCAATGATAAGATATACAAACAGATGAAAGGAACTCCAATGGGATCACAGATATCCGGATTAATAGCAGAAGCAGTGATGCAGAGACTGGAAGCCATTATTCTACCTGTGATCAAACCAAAAATTTGGATTCGTTATGTAGACGACACTTTTGTCATCATTAAAAAAAGGATGATATAGGAAACACTCACAGTTTGATCAACAACGATTCCAATGACATCAAATTCACAATGAAGAAGGAGTCGAACAACCAACTACCATTCCTAGATGTTGTAATCAGTAGAACAAATGCCGGAAACCCAAGTGTACAGGAAGTCAAAACACACTGACCAAATCCTCAACTACAATAGCAACAACCCAATAACACACAAAATCAGTTGTGTGGAGACTCTGTTCAAAAAAGCGAGAACACATTGCAGCACAACAACTTCATGGAGAAACTAAGAAAATTACTTCATGTCCATCCTAAAAATAAATATGTACCATTGGACAATGTGTGTGTATACATCCACGAAACTGACATCGGTTCTCAGCCATGTGATCGATCACTTAGAGTCAGTCTCCAACCACTCGTTTCTCTTGTCCCATGGACCCCGACCGGCTAGTCTGTATCGCCCCACATGGCTCAAACCAACAATCAAACACTTCATACATTGGTGCCATGTTTTAGTCTGGTCACATCTAGTCTTTTTCCAGCCTGAACCTACTTCGGCCAACATTGTATGATGAGGCAGATGGCTACTAGGCACACGTAACATATGTCCCAACCAGCCATCTCAGTCGATAAAGTTTCACAACCGTGTAAACTGACTTACCTCTTTTTCATCCCTAAAACTCTACACCTGACTTCTGCGTTACTCATAAGGTGACACCGCGGAATAAGGCCTATACTACGAACGCAACAGTGGTCAAACACCTGAAGCCTTCTCATGTCTTCCACCTTCAAAAGCTATGTTTCTCAGCCATATAGTAGGACAGAGCGGACTGCTGTGCGGTACATGCGACCCTTAATAGACAATCGGATGTCACGGCGGCGCCACAAATGACGAAGGTTGGCAAAAGCCAGTCGAGCACTTTGTATCCCTGCAGAGTTTTCATCGGCTACTGAGCTGGAAGGGCTGATCCTACTTCCCAGAACCATTGGAAACCTAAGAGCACTGTATAACTGTTTTGTTTAAGACTCTTCAGTAGTATGTATCCAGCCATTAGAATCTCCTGAAGTTCTAATGAGAAGCCATGACCTTTAGGATCAACTAAGTTGAATGTGAGGAGAGATAGTCACCAATGAGACTGGAGGACAGTCGAGGTATACCGCAAATTAACAGAAGTAGGATTAGGAACCGATGGTTAAATGATAAGAGACTCTTCACGAGGCTAGGTGATACTGAGGCCGATCCCTCGCGACATCTCGGTTGTTGCACTGTTATTAAGAAACCTCAGAAGAAAACGTAACAACTATCCAATGCTCTCGGGATTTCAATGACTCTATCTGTAAAGAATATCACTTCGAAATCAACCAATCAATCCTTAAAAATAACGAATGGAGATATTATTTGTTGACGGTTTAATTAACATGAAAGCTGAAAATAGTATCCAAGTGATATCGCCTGGAAATCAGTCACACACAAGCATTTTCAGATCATTAGTGAAGTGGGTGTTGCTTATCAGAATGGATATAAGTAGTATATGTTGGGAGGATGGCAGAAAGCAAAAGGAATAACTGGCAGTAAGTAAGGATTCTGCCAAAAGAAACGCAGGCACAACGAAGAGCAAGTCATAAGAGAGAAACAGAAGAGGAAATGAAGCACATTTTGTAAATGACGGTTTTAACGACTACTGTCCCACTTAGTTGACAATAAACATTCCTTACTTCATCTGTGTCTTCTCGTTCCCTTCAATTCCGTTATATATGGTACATGTTGCACTAAGACAGTCATTTGTAAAAATATGCTTCATTCCCCGCTTCTGCTTCTATCTTGATCTGCTCTTAATACGCCCAAATTGTCTCTTGCGTTTATCTGGGCAGAATCCTTACCCATTGTTAGTAATTCGGTATGATTTCTGCTGTCCTCTCAATATATACTACTTATATCCATTCTTATCAGCAATGACCCAACCACCACCACCACCACCAACAACAACAACTGGCTCCAATCCCCATCAACGGGAGAAACTTAATGGAAGTAGCCTCTTTCACATCAAGTCAGTGCTTCTGTATGGCTCAGAGACTTGGCGCGTAACGAAAAGCATTTCCAACAAACTACAAACATTCATCAACAACTGCCTAGGTCGGCTCATTACTGAAGATCAGATGGGCAGAAAGAATAAGCAAGGAGGATCTCTGGCAAAGAACCAACCAAGAACCTATCACTCAACAAATATGCAGTGGAAGGAAGTGGAGATAGATTGTATTGAGCATACACTGAGAAGGCCGACTGGGGACATCACACGCCATGATGGCGAACGATGAGTTGGGCGTCCCAGCTGAGGGTGACATGGAGGAGATCGTGCGAGGGAGAAATGAGAGCTTGTGGGCAATTGTAGAGCCAGGTTGAAAAGTTTGCAGAGAACAGAGTGCATTGGAGACGTACTACTGAAGCCCTATGTTCCATTAGGAACCCAAGGGACAAATAATAATAATAAATTATCAGCAATGCCCACTACACTGGAAGTGAATCAATATCGAAGAATACCATGATGTCATTACATACTTTATGAAGCACTAGATAGTACAATTTCATCTAATAAACCTGAAATGAAATGAAAAAAAAAAGGAAGATCAAGTAAATAAATACGAAACAATTGTAATTACTTGTTGGCGTAAACGATTAACTAGTTGTTGAGGATCAACTAAAGTAAGTCGACCAAGACATTCAGAGACAAGATTACGTGTACCTTCTTCAGATAAACCAGCACATGCAAGTAATAAAGACCTTGATGAAGAGAAGAGGAAAATAAAACAAACATATAAAAGGATAAGAGGTAATCATTGTTTCACCAAAGAATAAAACAGCAACAACAACAACATTAATTTATACTCACTATCTGTATACTGTTCAAAATCTGTATTGGAGTGAATACGCCAAAAACAAAAGTATACAACTAATGTACTGATTATCATTATTTATTAGCCCTTAAGTTCCTAGTGGAACATAGGGTTTCAGTAGATCATCTTCATTCCACTCTATACTCTCCAGTCATCCAAACCTGCCTCTACCACTGCCCATAACCTTTCATTTCTTCCTTACACCATCTCCTCAATGTCATCCTTGCCTCGGACACTCAACTCGCCGTTTTCCATCTGGGTTCTACTCAAGTGCCTGATGTGTGATGTCTCCGAATGGTCTTCTTAGTACATGCCCAATCCATCTCCACTTCCTTCCAGTGCATATTTGTTCAACGATACGTTCTTGATTGGTTCATTGCTAGAGTTAATGTACTGAAAGAAAGGTGAATTAATTAACTCATTTTAAAGAGAGAATATAAGATAAAATGGATTCCATAATAGTATGAATAGCTGCTGCTAGCCACAATGACCATCTTAAGTGAAGTGATTGCAAATAGGGATGGTAAGGTGAATTAAAGACTTAGAGTGGCCATATGAAGACACTAAATTCTGTAAACTATATATATATATATATATATATATATATATATATATATATATCAAGTTGTTATTCATCGAAGACTGACATCAGTTGGAGGAATAAAGGAAACCTGGAGCACTGGATAGCTGTTCCGTCCTAGTATGGGACTCCTCAGCAGTGCGCACCCACGACCCCACCAGCAGCGATCGAACCCGCGGATTCTGACCCAGTGGCTGAATGGTAACGCGCTGGCCGCGGAACCTGAAGGTCACGGGTTCGATCCCTGTTGGTGGGGTCGTGGGTGCGCACTGCTGAGGAGTCCCATACTAGGACGAAACAGCTGTCCAGTGCTCCTAGGTTTCCTTTGTTCCTCCAACTGATGTCAGTCTACGATGAATAACAACTTGAAATAATTCCAAATCTCCACAACTCCCTCAAAAAAAAAAAAAAATATATATATATATATATAAGTTTGATATCAGATTTGCTTATCTGATTTATAGCACAGTAGGTGATATAGAATTATTTACCTGATGACGTTTTAAGCATAGATTATTGCTCACAATCAAATCGATGTGATCACACCACCTTTAACAATCGATTTCTATCGTCCTATCACCTCATATTATGGGTTTTTATTGGTAGTAAACTTTTTTCCAAATCTCTGGTATAGATGTTGCGTCATCATCCCTATAACATGCGAGTTGGGTGATGATTCGATGAACAAAGATTCAGTATTCGATATTTCTATCTCTCTCCACCTAATTATATTGAACTTGAGTGCAGTGAACCAGAAAAGGCTGGATTCAGGAAGTACAAATCATGTGCGGATTAAATTGCAACGTTACGCATCATCATAGAACAGAGCAGAGAATGGCAGTCAAGTCTATACCTCAACTTCATCGATTTTGAAAAGGCCTTCGACAGAGTTGACCGAGAAGTAATTCAGCAACTGCTTCAACACTACGGTTTTAGTGCAAAAAACCTTTATAAACCTCATACAACAGCTATTTCCTATATGATAATGCTAAATGTCAAGTGATTCACAATGGAAAGCTAAGTGATGCCTTTCAAATGAAGAAAGGAGTAAGACAAGGCCACCTACCATCACCATTCATCTTCCTGATTGTGGTTGACTGGATCATGCAGCAAACCGTGACGAGCTGTGAGAAGATCGTCATACGCTGAAACAATGAGAAAACTATACAAGATTTGGATTTCACCCATGATGATTTATGTCTAAGGTCGCACAAGCTCGAAGATCTACAGGCAAAGACCAACAAGTTGACAGAAGAGGCGGTGAGGACGGAACTTAAAGTGAACGTAGAGAAGACGGAGGTGATGAAGGTACCCAACCAACAACCACAACAACAAGCACCAATCATCACCAACGGGAGTAATCTAAAGGAAGTAATCTCTTTCAATTACCTGCTTACCTATCTAGCCAGCATCGTTTAAAATGCAGGTGGCACAGGAACACAGGAGGATGTCAAAGCCAGCCACGATCGGAAACACAGCAACACATGCCTTCATCAATCTGAAATCAGTGGGAAGATCTATTATACTGCACTGCACTCAGCATGTGGAACAAGATACGGATTTGCAACACCAATGTGAAGTCAGTGCTTCTTTATGGTTCAGAAACTTCGCGCGTTACGAAAAGCATTTCCAACAAACTACAGATATTCATCAACAACTATCTACGCTCGTTACTGGAGCTCAGATGGCCAGAAAGAATAAGCAACAAGGAACTTAGGACTGGAAACGAACCAAGGAAGCGATAAGCTATCACCCAACAAATATGCAGAAGAATATGAAGACGGATTGGGAATACACTGAAAAGACCATTCAGGGACATCACGCGCCAAGTCTTCGAGTAGAACTCAAATGGGAAACGACGAGTGGGACATCCGAAGATGATAAGGAGGAGATGGTGTGAGGGAGAAATGAAAGGTTATGGGCAATGGTACAGCCAGGTTTGGATGACTGGAGAGAATAGAGTGGAATGGAGACGATCTACTGAAACCCTATGTTCCACTAGGAACCCAAGAGATATATAAAACCAATAATGATGATGGGTGAAGTGAGTTTTATCCCAACCTATTGTATGCTTGTGTGTTGTCAATGCATGCATTGTAATAGCCAAGCTGCTTTCTAAATTATTGATCTTATTCGGGTCTATCATTCTATATTTAGCTAAATTCCTATGTTCCGTTAATCTAACTGACGCCAACCAGCTAGTTTGACCTATGTACTTCACCTGACTCATAGTCATTACATGGAATTTTATAGATTAGATTATTTTGCTTAATTGGTTCTATTGGATGCTTAAGACGACAAAGTTTATCTCTGAGTGAGTTTGTAGGTTTAAATCCCACAAATATCCAGCAGTCTTGCGGATCCTACAAAACGTTCCTGATGTTCCTTCCTTATAGGGTAACACAATCAAGCGTGTGAACTCATTTCTACTCGTGTTGTCGTTATTATTCGTACTCATACCATTGATTATTATTTCGTTTCTCATATGTTCGTGCAATTTTTTTTTAATGGGAAAAGACAAAACGCGGATAATTATTAATTATTAACGCTTCTTTTATGTGCTTCAGTTGCTTGTTTAAATCCTTGTACTCACTAATCAGTTTTCTAGCACTATCATTTAGACATTTTACTAAGCCCTGCGCTAACTGACATTGGATAAGATGACTTGAAGTCTAGAAACCTATTTGAATGGGTCGATGTTCTGTAGACAGTAGTATCCAGACCACCATCTGTCCTTCGTTATATATATATATATATATATATATATATATATATATATATATATATATATATATATATATATATATATATATATATATATATATATATATATATATATCTTCCGAATGCGTCTTTCCACAACCTAAGGAGTATACTGTTGCCTGAAGATTGTGTCTCCACTGGTGAAGAGGTTGAGCGCTTTGACTATTTCAACTATTTAAGACGTCATATCAGTGCTGCACGGATACAAAAAGCTAACTTGGCTTTCGCTAACTTACTCCGTCTATAGTACCAGAGAGATTAACTAGTGAGAAGTGAACGTACTACACAGGAGTTTGCTTTGTTCAAGCTTTACGGCTGTGAAACATGCACATAAAAAGTAAAGTAAAACGAAAAGGCTTTAATAGTTATACATATAACAAAGTAGGGAAGTTCTTTTTGTTGACCGATGTTTTACACATTTCATTCTTTTAACCTCGTTCATATAAATAGATTATATCACCATATCAAGTAACAAGGCATTGAAGTGGAAGATAGAGAAAAGAAAATTCAGTCAAAAGGAGTATAAAGTACTAAACGAGGGAAAGGAAGAATGAGGAAATGGTGAGATTCGGTCAAGCGTACTTAAGATGAGGATAATGTGTGTGTGTGTGTGCATATATATATACATCTGCGGTACTGACATCGGTTCTCAGCCATGTGACCACCTAAAGTCAGTCTCCAACCACTCGTTCCTCTTGTCCCACGGACACCAACTGGCTAATATGCATCGCGTCACATAGTTCAAACCAACAGTCAAACACTTTATACATTCATGCCATGTTTTAGTCAGGTCACCTCAAGGCATTTTCCAGCCTGAACATATTTTTGTCAAGTGACTATGAATTTAAATTGCATGCCGACTGACGATTATTGTCAGACACCTGAGGTAAGTCACAATTCCTTTCCCATACAAATAGTAATCGCTTGAATAGACAGATAGAGACATTGCCTACATAGAGTCTGGTGTTACTGCATGATGATCTAAATTGTCACATCAAAATAGTAGAGAACAAGATGAAGGAGAAGTGAAAAGTATAAATGAACCTATAGCACGAAATAATATGAAAAGCATATCATAATATATGATCAAATGGTTACAATGAACATAAGCAGTGGATGGGTATTTGTCGATAAGATCTGTCCCGTCATATCATATCATATGGACAGTGGTCTTATGAACCGCCCCCACCCCACCCTTCAATCTAAAACCCTGTATCTCTTTAAACAGCTCATAGAGACAATCATTTATTATTATTATTATTAGTCCCTTGGGTTCCTAGTGGAACATAGGACTTCAGTAGCACGTCTCCAGTGACCTCTGTTCTCTGAGATCTTTTGAACCTGGTTCCACGACAGCCCACAACCTCTCATTTCCTCCTCGCACGATCTCCTCCATGTCACCCTCACCTAGGACGAACAAGTCGTCGCTTCCCATGGGGATTCCACTCGAGCAACTGGCCTGACGCGTGATGTCCCCAGTCGGCCTTATCAGTGCATGCCCAATCCATCTCCACTTCTTCCTGCATATTTGTTGAGCGATAGGTTCTTGGTTGGTTCGCTCCCAGAGTTCCTTGTTGCTTATTCTTTCTGGCAATCCATCTGATCTTCAGTAGCGAGCCAGTTATTGATGAATGTGTGTAGTTTATTGGAAATCCCTTTCGTGACGCGCCAAGTCTCTGAACCATACAGAAGCACTGACTTGACTGGGTGGGTGTTGAAAATCCGTATCTTGTTCCGCATGCTGAGTGCAGAAGATCTCCACACTGGTTTCAGGCTAATGAACACCTGTCTTACTGTTTTTCCGATTCTGACTTTGACGTCCTCGTCCGTCCCGCCTGTAGTTGAAACAGTGCTTCCTAGATAAGTGAAGGAGGTTACTTCCTTTAAGTTTCTCCCGTTGACGGTGATTGGTGACAGACAATCATAGATCATAAGAATTGGCACTGGAATCATTAAGGCATCATCACTGTGAAAAAAACTCATGAATATGTAATCTATCCCTAATACTCTATAACAAGAAATATTAATATGTTAGATAGGGTTAAAGTAACGAATTGTAAAGTCAAAAGAACAACAACAACAACAACAAGAACAACTTACCACATTGAATCCAAATGATTTTTCAACGATTGACTAGGATCTACACCAGCAAGGTTTACCAACACCTATAAGGATATAACAAGAAGAAATCACATACATTTCTTAAAGTGAACAGACATGTATTGAAAAGTGAACTTAGAAAAAACAAAAAACTGATCGATTGGTTGATCGAAAATTGATATCACCTAGGAAATCATAAGTAAATTAAAAAAAGGATTGGTTAATTATTTTGTCCTAGTTTCGAATTCCTTAGTAATACGCATGAACAATTCTGTTAGAAGTTAAGACCAAAATTGTCAAATCTGACGAGATAATAATGAATCTGTTGTGACCAGTAGTACAACGTAACAGTCTACGAGCAATATAAGCATAACAGACTACGAACGCACAAACCAATCGACTCTAACACAAATCAACCACCACTACCACAATAACAGCAATACTACCGACGCACAAAGACAAGAAGAAGAGACAGACCGTTGACAGAAAGCTTCCAACTGTCTCGACAGCAGTCGGTATGGTTGACAGCGATGCTGAATATATACATTTCTAAATGACCTTGATAATACTAAATCCACATTTAGTTAACAACCAATGAGAGTTCAACCTTGAGAGCAAAGAGGAAAGAAAAACTAGTAACGGTGTGAAGACAGTTATGTAAGTCATTTCAAGGTCATAAGCAAAACAACAGGCAAGAGCCGTGTAAAATTAGGGATATGTAGCAGAATCGTAGGCTTCCACATCAACTAGGTCGCGTTCAAGGATGGATACAAACTGAGGACACTATGATGGGGTTCCAAGGGCGAAGTTATACTGCTGACTGCATGCGATGTGATAACAGCAAGGTGTTTTCTGCTTAGGATTAACAGTTCATACAAATGCTACCTACTTTGTGTTAAATAGAGATGAGAGAGGGGCGGGAGGAGAAAAGGTTGACTTGAAAAATATAGCATTGTGATATTCCAATGTCACTGGTACGGATTTTTCTCGTCCAGTGTCAGCAAAGTGTATCTGTAACCTCAAAGAAAGTGATGGTATGATATATTACACCAGGATTACACAGATAAACAAAAAACACATCACATACAATAAGTAACACTAACTCGGTGCTTAAGTTTTTCTAAACAATGCAGTTCTGTTTTGGTCATGATACGTTTGAAAATAATCCAAGACTTTGGAGATGCCAAAGAGGGTATATATCAGCCCTATTGTAACTGCATTTCAGTCATATCACTAAAAGTCTCCAACCAAGTTAGCAACCAACATGGGTTAGACTGACAGTAAAAGACTTTATCCACTGTTGCCACGGGGACAGAACATCCCACTCACCTAGAATAAAAATCTTGAGAAGGTCAAGTAATCCATTCGCTTCTCAACGTTCACCACTTACTGGATTACGTGAGCTATTTCAGTTCATAGTTCACATACTTGAAAGGATGGAGATGTGTGTGTGCTAAACACAACTTTGAAACTGTCCTACTTAAGTGAAAATGACAGCTGAGTGAACCCTGTTAACTTGTGATCATACATTGACAAAAATTGTATAGGTGTTTATCACATAGAATTCTTGGATAAGGTGTGAGTGTTGGCGATAAGTGAGAATACTGATAGCGTCAATGAGTAAAAAAAAGGAGGTAATTTAGGAGACAGACAACTGAAACGGTTGTAGCATAAGAAGCGAGTAACTATTCACCTTGAAAGTCTGTAAAACAGTGGCAATCAACACAGCTGATTAAAAGAGTAAATATGACTTAACATCGATCTCCATAGTATGGACATGTTTACCTACTCTTCGATAGCCTTTAGAATAATGCCCTTTTTTACATTTTACTTCAGAATATCTCTTTTCTTTCATCATATTCTCCTCTGTTTTCCTTATTAATACCAGTAGCACTGTTTTCTTGTCTTTGATTGCTTCCACCCCACCCCCAACCAGTAAACCACTTATAGGAACCTACATCATCACGCTAATTGAGAGTGAGATAAAAGTGAAACTTCGTTGAAAGTTACCTTATTATTGGTACGTGTTTTTTAAGGGGCTATCCATCTAAAGAAGTGATAGTTGTAGTCTAATATAAAGATAAAAAGTGAACTTTCTAGTTTACTGTTCAAGCTTAAAGTCAGGTTTACGTTAGACAAGAAGCTTAATTCTAAGATATCTTTTTTGTTTTGATGTACACTAAGAAAGACGAGACAATGGATTACTTAAAATGTCTGTCCATAGAAAATCTACATGGAATTGACAAATTATGAATTTTTATTGTTGGGTACCATTATGCACTAAAACGAAATCTGATTCGTCCTATGTGCCATAGAATTGACACTACTTGGAGTCCTTATACTTTGAAAGATGAAATTAATTTTCTAAAAAATATTTTGATTGGATACCAGTATCCTAAATGTTTCAATTGCTACACAACTATGAAAATGAAAGTAAATAATCATTCCATTTTTACGTCTCCTAATAAGCATCTTTTCATCAGCTTACAGTTCAACAAGGGTATATCAGTAGATACATTGAGAATGACTTTGTATAATGCCAAACTTAAACTGACATTCTTGATTATACTTAAAGGAACAAGCTGGTCGCCTTGGCTACCACTTGCTGCTGTGGAATAAGGTATATTGGTAGTACTCAGTGTTCGCTTTTCAAACGCATTTGTGAGTATGTACTAGCCTAGTTCCACAAGGAAGAGCATTTTAAAGCTTTATTTGAAAAAAATTTGATCTATTATGACCATGTGGTAAAAAGCCTCGGGAAAAGTGGACACCTGAAACGTCTTTAAACTGTGGAAGCCATGGCAATTAATATTTTGAAGTCTGAACTCTGTGTTCAAAAAGAAATTTGTCCAGTTACTTGAGTTGCAATGAACATAACCCCCATAAACCTCCAGATAGAATTAATCTAGAGCTTATTGGTGACTAGCTTCAAGAAGTGATTCCCGAAGTCCCAGTGAGAAGTCTTGGCTACTGGGGTAAACCTGGTGACCGTGAGGATAAATACTCAACGATAACATTGGGTGGCGGTCGCAATATGTTGTGAACTGACAGAAGTTGGATTCCGATCCAGTGGCCAGCTTCATGGTAACGTGCTGCCCACGGAACCTGAAGGTCATAAGTTCGACACCTGGTGGTGTGGGGTCATAGGTACGCACTGTCGAAGAGTCCCATACTAGGACGAAACAGCTGTACAGTTCTCTCAGGTTTCCCACGTCCCTCCAACTGATATAAGTCCATGATGAATTCCAACATAAAGTTATGATTTCTCGTTACGTTCACCAAATTGGGTCATTTAACTTAGTAACAAAATGTGTTTTGAATCTTCCTTCCCCCTGCTATTACTATTTGAGACTTTTGCGTAATTCGTTTGCCAATCTCCTGATTTATAATCAAAATTGAATTTCGTTCAGAAGTATTTTATAGAACATTCTTAGGTTGTTTGCAGCTGATGAAAGGCCATGAAATATAATATGCTCATTATATTCCGTAAATTTCTTTGTTCTTGCATTGTTCAAATTTGTCAAGGGAACTTTAAATGTATGATATTCTTTATCGGTTACCATGTTAACAACAGAGTATTTATATACGATTGTACAGCTAGAGAATGATATTACTGAAAAGTGTAAGTCGTCTTTGTTACAGCATAGAAAGTGAGAGATGAAAATGGAATTAGTTGTATTCACAGAATGGAAGATGTATTAAAGAGTTACCTTCCTTCTAGTTCTGACTTCTTTGTAGTTAGTATCCAAAATCCTACACGAGATTAATTTCTTGAACATCTGTCTAGTCTCATAGTAAGCAGTGCCCTCACTGGATTATGTTGTCAAAATCATAACATCGACAGTGATACACTTCTATGAATTTATGTAAAGTTACAACTATCAATCAATAGGTTGGTATTCCATACAATTAGTTCCTTTTATAAACTTTTATATACTCTAAATCTTCTACATAGGCACTAAATTTAAACTTGTTTACAGTAATAATAAAGATAGACAGTGGCTAACAGTAGAATCCAGGATGTGCATCTTGTCCTATTTAAGCTCACCAGTCAGATGTACTTACCAATAGCACTGGTTGGCAGCCTTCTACCTCTCAATGTCAGACTTTATGGTACAAGTTTAACACCTATCAAACTGTGTTCCAAGTTGTCTATCACACGAAGAACATGATCATGGAATCTAATTTAGATGTGAAACCTCGTCATATCGCCTCCAATTGTATTTATTTATTCACTTGTACTTACAGAAGCATATATGTCGGAAGATTGGAGACCGTCCTTACTAAATGAATCTCTGGCATTGAGAGGTAGAAGGCTGCTAATCAGTGCTATTGGCAAGTACATCTGCGATACAGGTCATGCCGTCGACTCAACACATAACTCACGAAGTAATCAATAGATAAAGAAGTAAGTTACTACACTATGCAAAAGCAACATCAATCCATCGACTGAAACCACCAATCTTATGTGTACAAAAGGAGTTTGTTGATCATCTTGTATTGGCCTTGGTGAGTTGTTCTTCTCCTACAGATTTATTTACCATTTTATTGTCTTTCGTCATATTCTCAAACATTATTCATATTCTCATCATTTTCGATCTGACTTCTTGTGACTTGTTCCCTGTATAGTTTGGCATTGATTATCACTTTATATGGTTCAGAAACTTGGTGCGTTATGAAAAGCATTTCCAACAAACTACAGACATACATCATCAACAGCTGCCACCTACGCTCACTTGGTACTGAAGATCAGATGAGAAGGCCAGAAAGAATAAGCAACAAGGAACTCAAGCCTGGCAACGGACCAACGAAGCGAGAAGCTATCGCCCAACAAATATGCAGAAGGAGGTGGAGATGGATTGGATTGAGCATACGCTGAGGAGACCATTTGGGGACATCATGCGCCAGGTCGTTGAGTGAAAATGAGATGGGAAACGATGAGTTAAGGATTCGAAGATGACATGGAGGAGATCATGTGAAGAAGAAATGAAAGGTTATGGGGAGACGAGGAGCCAGGTTCAAAAGACTGCAGAGAACAGAGTGCAATGGAGATGTGCTACTGAAGCCCTATATTCCACTAGGAACCCAAGGGACAAATAATAATAATACTAATAATAATAATAAAACAGATATATTGTTTAGCAAAAACTAACCTCTCTAAGAGCTTGTATCAAATAATATAATTGATGTTGACTTGTATTACTTTTACTGCCACCACCAACAGATGTTGGTGCATTTGTCGATTGGATATGCTGTGTTACAGCGCATGAAATACACTCAACCAACGGTGGTAATAGAATTTGTGGTTGACCAACTACTAATCTGCCTAAGCTGAGTGCGGCCGCAGGTTTCACTTCTTCTGTAACAATAAATCCATTTGCTTGAAGCATACCACTAGGTGTACACGGTGAAGATGGAGGCTGAGGATGTTGATGATGATGGTAAGGAGAATTGGCTGGAGATGATGATAGACAAGAAATCAATAGATCACGTAGATCTGTACGTGAACTCAAATCGCTAAAGTAGAATTTCAGGAGAATAAGATGTGAGTAAAAAGGATAATCATAACACTATAAAGAATATGTACTCAACTATACGAAGCAACAATAGCCACTTCTTGTACAACAGGGTAGTAGTTATTACTATTTATTGATATATACGATAATTAACATTCAGGCAATATCAAGGCATCTGCATACCAGCCTATATGCCAATAGAGGTCGAACAATTCGATCCAATAGAACAACGGAGAATTACAAGTATATATCAAACAATAGTAATAACTACTATCCGTTGTACAAGAAGTGGTTATCGTTCCTCTGTGGCATGGTGGATAACGCCTTGGCATTTGAAGCAATGGGTACGAGGTTCGAGTCTCGTTGGGAACAACATTACTGGGGTGCAGGTACATCCAGCTGATCAGTGCCAAATAAATTAAAAATCCCCATTCATCTCAAAAATACATTACTGTATAGTGAGTGCTCATTAGTGACTTGCTTCCAGATGGATATCACGAAGCTCTAATGAGAAGCCGTGACCTGTGGGGTCAACCAGTCGGAAGTGAAGTGGATGCCATCTGAAGACATTGGGTGATAGTCACGCTATGTTGTGAATTGACAGAAGTTAGAAATTGTGAACCAGTGGGAACCGACCCAGTGGCTGAATGGTTTACGCGTTCGCCGTGAAACCTGAAGGTTCTGGGTCCGATCCCTGGTGGGGTCGTGGGTGCGTACTACTGAGGAGTCCCATACTAGTTGGACGAAACAGCTGTTCAGTGCCCCCAGATTTCCAATGGTCCCCCCCCCCAAATGATATGAGTCCATGATGAATACTAGTAAATTTAAATCCCCATTCATTTCAAAAATACTAGTATATCAATGAATAGTAAACAAATACAAATGTTCACAACTTAGACATGGAGTTTAACAAAAGTAACTTGAAAAAGGTGACTTAGTGACCTAGTGGATAACACATTGCGTAGTTTGAAGATACGTGTAGTGGGGTGTGAGTATCACGTGAGTACACCATCACTCACTCACTACAATACAAGTACATTCAGCTGACGAATCTCAAGAAGAATGATGCATGCGTATCCTGAGATCCACTACTAGTCACTACCAAAGCAAATAATATTAGAAAGCGCAACCACAAAACCACACCATACTAGTAAGCTGAACAATGAGAAAGCATTACTGCCAGAAGTACCTTAAAATGAGATTAGACCACTGGAGTTGATGGTCATTGATTTAGAGGAGTTGACTTTCAACCAGTAGATCGACTATTCACCTAATGAGGTAGTTTCAGCAGCCAGATATTATTAACCCTCACAAAGTAGAAAAATTCTGTGAACAGCTTCTTACATAATTGATATTTTGTATAACGATAACTAAAGCGCGAAAGTGGTATATTGGTAAAGTGGTAAATTGTTGACGGTAATTAGAGACAGTAGGGGGAGAAGAAGATGGCTGTCTGTAATAATAGTAATAGTAATAATAATAATAATAGTAATAATAATAATAATAATAATAATAATAGTATAGCTACCAAAATATTAGTTACAGTGAATTGTGTGGTGGATGAAATGAAGTCTTGTTGTAATAAATGAGCTATACAGATGGCCAAAGCAAAGAAAGAGGCTGTACGAATCTCTTCTGAACACACAGACTTGGCTTGTTTAGGTGGATTCCTATGGCTTCTGCTGTATGTAAAAGACGAACTCGTAGAGGATGGGTGAGGTGACAAGGAATGTGATAAATAACTTTAAAGGCATTATGAATGTTAACTCGGTGGCCAGTGTCAATCAGATGAGATCTGGTTTCCCCTTTACTTAGCCATGAAGGGTGAAGCTCGGCGATTCGTCGACGGACTTGCCTAACTGTACATCCAATGTTAATAGCTCCATGGGAGCAATTGAACTGGTAAATGCACATAGAAGAGGAGGAGTCAGGGAGTCTGTCTTTAATTCGTGTGGTCATCATCGGCCGGCTGTAGAAAACACAACATGGCGGCATTAAATGATCTTCTTATAGCATTTCTTAAGCGCTGTGTCACAATCTCGCTAATGATGTCACCTCGAAATTGTATTCTTAGGAACAATGGTTTCTTGGAGACTGTAGGCATTCTAGTTTTCGTATTGGATGTGTCTATATTTTTAGCCAGAAACGTTTCTGGATATCCATTACTACTAAGTAGATCATGGATAATTTGAAGCTCTTTGTCAAAAGTATCATCTGAACAGATGAGTCTAGCCCGACAGATGAAACATTTAACTAGATTTCGTTTATATTGCAAGGGGACGAAACTCAAGAAGTGAGTGTATTGACCTGTTGACGTCGGTTTCCGATACACACTTCTTTTTATAGTTCCATCCACTTTCCTTGTCAATGGGACATCTAAGGTGATGCTGTCATCATTGGACCTTCCTTCAAGATGTCAGATATAACACCATACACTGTGAATAGGTTTTAATGGTAACAGCATATTCATCAGATAATCCTTCTACCAATGAGGAACATTTGAATAATAAAATTAAACATAACCTATAAGTTAAGATAGTATATATGGTCGAGAATTTGTGTTCTCTCTCCTTCGAGAGTAGAATAAACAGTCGAACAACCAAGAATATATATATATATATATATATATATATATATATATATATATATTATATATCCCAGATTAGGAAAGTTATAATTATTCCACTGAACCGTTTCAAATCACGACAGAAAAAAAGGCGGCAGACATTTCATGACTAACTTACACTTTACGACCCAATTCACCTAAAATCAGTAGATTCAGATATAGCTGCGTTGGTGATGTAGCAGGATTCTAAAACCAATTGGAAAACAACAACATGAAATTTAATCAATATAACAATCTCTAAGAACGAAAACTATCGGAGTAGGTGTAATAAATGTCAGCAACACTCTGTAGGGAGATTCTCCAGTTTTCTGACGTATAATAATAATAATAAGAATAAATGAGGATACAAATGAAATAAAATCTGGTTGTCATTAGTCAGACCATGTAGACCATCCGGCCGGAAACTTAGTGGTCGCTGGTTCGAATTTAGCTGCGATCCACATTTTCATTTCATTTTCGATCATCACCCAGTATAAATAATAGTCTGCCAAGCGACGGCTATTTCAGATAGTCAAAATGATATCCTAATTATTTGCGCTAACTCAAGTCAGTTCATTTCAATTCTAAACTGATTAAACGAAGTACAGAACAGAATATCTTTAACATGCATAGAAGAGGATGATGACTGCTTACCATTCTTGGATGTATTCATCAGTCAGAGACAGGATGGATCCATATAATGACCTATCTATAGAAAACCTAAATGGACAGGGGAACATTCGAACTATGACAGCGTTTGTCCAGTTCAGTACAGGCGAGCGTTAGGTTCAAATTCAGTAGAATTCAACGAATATGCAAAGATGACAGAGGAATATTAACTGAAATATTGTTGGAAAATAACTATCCATCAGTAGAACAAAATAACCAGCTCATCGTTTCGTCCCAAAGAAGGATGTCTTCTGTACAAAGGTGATTATAATAGTGCAATCCTTAAACAGAGACTTAACGCTACTGTTAGAAGGACTTACTAAACTAAGCAGTAAGCCTGTATATTCTCCCAAATTCTTACAGAATGTGAACGACAATGTCATATACCGCTGCGTCTACCAATTCAAATGTATGTGTGGTGACACATACATAGGGAGGACTCAGAGATACATGCAAATAAGAGACTCGGAACTTATTTCAAAATGTTTTGAAAAGCAAATCGAATCACTTGAACCCATAAACGTTGCCTTCGTAGTATAAGCCTTATTCTGTGGTGTCACCAGATGAGTAACGCAGAAGTCAGGTGTAGAGTTTTAGGGATGGAGAAGAGGTAAGTCAGTTGACGAGGTTATGAACCTTCATCGATTGAGATGGCTGGTTGCAACACGTGTTACGTATGCCTAGTAGCCATCTGCCTCGTCACACAATGTTGGCCGAAGTAGGTTCAGGCTGAAAAAAGGCTAGATTTGGCCAGACTAAAACATGATATCAATGTATGAAGTGTTTGACTGTAGGTTTGAACTTTGTGAGGCGATGCAGATTAGCCAGTTTGGGTCCGTGGGACAAGAGAAACGAGTGGTTGGAGACTGACTCTAGGCGTTCACATGGCTGAGAACCGATGTCAGTACCGCAGATGTATACACACATTATCCTCATCTTAACTACGCTTGACCGAATCTCACCATTTCCTCATTGTTCCTTTATCTCTTTTAGTACTTTATATTTCTTTTGACCGAATTTTCCTTTTTTCATCTTCCACTTCACTACCTTTTTACTTAATGTACTGATATGAGGTGTGGCAAGTTGAACCGTTACGCAGTAATGCCTGGTGTTATGTTGATTTGGATGGATGATAGATAAACATTGGTAACAGATGTCCAAGTTCTTCGATCGCGAAACATATCGTTGAGATAGGTCACAGGATTGACGTGGCTACTTCTTTTACACCTATTTACAAAACGTGTTGCGGATGGATCATTAAATGTGTTGAGGCGTCTTTAGCTATTAGGAAGTTGAAACCCCCTTTGTGTGTTCATAAACAATTTGTCATCACATAAAATCTCCCTCTTGGTGAATTCAACTATGAACATCAAGTTCGACGTACTATTATCTTCGTTCTATTGGGTTTCATCATTATTTAGCCTTTAATCCAGACTCCCTACTTGACCTCTTTTTATTTTCTCACCCCTTTATCCCTTTATGGATTTTCAAATAAATACTTATGACAAGTACATGTGTGACCAGATACTTCAAAATGTGTAGCGCAATAATATATGATACAGTTCAGACAATATACGTCGTCTGATTGTTATGTCAAAGAATAATTGATGATTTAACTTCGGTTAAAAATCGCATAAACATTTAAATTCATCATACATAAATCATAGTAAGCTGTATACTCTTTAAATAGTTTACTTCCAAGGTTAGGCAGTTCATTTCTAACCCTTTCTTCCAACAGAGAATGAACTAATTAAGGCAGGACAGAGATTTGAGGACATCGGGCACCAGGTCAGGCTCTCGAGTGGAACCAAAATGGGAAACGACGAGTTGGGCGTCCAAGATGAGGGTGACATGGAAGAGATCGTATGAGGAAGAAATGAAAGGTTCTAGGCAGTCGTGGAACCAGGTTAAGAAGACTGCAGAGAAGAGAGTGAAATGGTGACATGCTACTGGAGCCCAAAGGACAAATAATGACTCGCACAAATAAACTAGGAACCCAAGGGACAAAGAAAGAAAAAAAGATTTTATATTCAGCAATATGTGCATATAATCTTATATACTAGCTCCTAGCCTTATCTAATGACCAACATGTAGAGAGAGAGCTTTGAGTGAAGACGATGCTGGTCATCTGATGAAACAACTCCTGTCAGATGTTTATATGTTTACACAGTTCCAATTAGATGGTTTAAAGGTACACCATCAGTTCTGCTGACAATCTTCAAAGTTCTACGCAACACAGCATAGTCTTTTTTTCAACAACTCATGAAAGAATGAAGTGGAACAATACAGTAGAATAGACGAAATGCAGAAGTTCGTAAAACACAAAAGAAGTGGATGAGTTACACCAGATACTCTCACCTTCCTAATATAGTAAGCTAGGCGAAAGATTCTTTTAGAAATCATTAAGATGGGAGGATCAGGAAAAGTCCGAAGATAAATCGTACCTGTAACATGCTCTAATACACACAACCATCAATAGAACAGGAATCATGAGACGTCAACAGTTTACATGGCTTATGTTTGCGTCTGAAACCAAAGTATATAGTGTGACATTTTGAAGAACTAGGTACAACACCATCGTCTAATAGTAGATAGAAAATCATTCAGTTGGGAACAATCTGTTGAAGACGAGACAAGTAGGGAAACTACCAGACCATCAGGATATTTGACAGAAGATGTTAGTTCATACAAAAAGAAAAACAAAACATCGAGGGAAATAACCGCACTTTGGAGAAAAACTAGCCTCAGTAAGCAATGAGGTGGAGGGCTTCCCTCTGTGAACAGCATATCGTTTCCTTACAGAGAAATAACAAAATAGATAGTCAGTTGTTTTACTTTTCTCCACTCAAATGGAATCAAATGAAAAAAGGATACAAGTAAGTGACGACTTATTCAATTGGTTTATGAAATTGACGACTTTCAACCGATAGGCTATGGGTTCGAATCCAGTTTCAGTTATCAAAGTTTAGGTTCATTGTCACCTACTGCACGGTTATGAACAGTGCTGTTGAGTGTGTTTCAATTCTATGAACCCCAAGGATCCTAGCTGTCACATGTATCACATCAACACATCAAGCTACAAGGCAGATAGATACAAGAATTTATGTGATCATATAGAGATTAGTAGTCAGCTGACAAGACAACTGCCTAACGTGAATATTGTTCAAAGAGATGATGCAATGATGTCATCTTGTCTGGATAAAAATCCCTCTAGAGACTGTCAATCACAGAAAAATATTCTAACTTCAATTTGATAGTTATTCTCCGCACAGAGTACTTCAGTGGCCACGTCTACAAGTAGGAATTATACTGACATATCAACTTTATTCAATATGCTAAGAAAGCGTATATACAAATTGATTACCTTCATAATATTCCCTAGAAATGTTTACATATGTATTGGATTAGTTTGTCATATAGTTTAATGATAGTTATACATATACTGAGTGATGATTCAAGGTGAAATGTAAATTTGGACCGCGGCCGGGTTCGAACCAGTGACCATCGGGTTTCCGGTCCGATGGTCTAGCAACTGAGCTATGAGGTCCAAAAACCCGGTGATCTGTGGTTCTTGTTTCTGGTTAGTTGTGTGTGATGAAATTTCCAACCGCATATCGAAAAACAGAGTGGCATACATCAACCTAGATCACCTTTGGCACCATCACCATGTTAGTCTGACCGTAAAAGGTCGAATTTACAACGCTTCGATGCAACCAGTTCTGCTCAACACCTGAGAAACCTAGCCTCTCCAAACTAAGGATATGTGACGACCCTGTCCCTTCGATCATGGTTGCTTCCATAGGATTTCTCGCGTCCACTAGTAACACCATGTAGGTTAATTATGAGGCACAACTGTATGTGTGTGGGCATGATGGAGATAGTCATTCAATAAGTGAAGTCATTTGGAAAAACCGGCTTCAGTGGCTTGGACACGTATTACGCATGTCATCCAAACGGCTTCTACGCCGTCCATTATTTGCTCATCATGGGACTGGATGGAAGAAGCGGAGGCATGGTTAGAGCATGACGTGACGTCATGGAATGAAGGATAGTCGTGTCGGGTTAATATCTGTGGGTGGGATTCGAAAGATCACGACATTCAGTGGCTTGAGACGTCATTAGATATGGGTCAGAATGGAAACAAATGGTGGTCATGCTGTTGCTTCCATTTATCTTCTGGTGCTATTCTTATTGTGTTTTTCTTTCCTACTTATCAACTTTCCATTGCTTCATGTCTTCATAATGTTGTTATAATATTTTGTGTGGCGCACTTCTTGGTGCCCTTTCGTACCATGTTTGTGCTTTGATAATAATAATAATAATAATGATAATAATAATAAAGGCTAGGAAAGGTAGTAATAATATAGAGATTGAATATATTTCTACGCTAGTAATTCCATTAGAAAACATAAATTTATTACCTTCACAGATAGCAATAACTGATCCACTACATTATTTACGCTATTCAGTATTATACCAGATTGTGGTGTTGTAGTCATAGGTTCAGGTGATGACGTCATCGGCAATTCAGCCAATAAAGCAGCAATACACTGCGCCAGACTAGGCAAAGCATCTCGATGTAAAACACCAACACGATTCGGTATATGCGTAGAGCTATGATTGAAAACAGTAGCATTTCCTTCAACGGGACCAACTAAGCGAGATAGGAAAAGCTGTAAATCATAGATAAAGGATTCGGAGATTTATTTATCATATAATGTATAATACATATATCATAGAAACTGTTATATCAACCGACAAGTGGAAAACGTGAATCTTGGGAATTTATTTCAGAGGCGAAATAATAAGATTCTAAAAGACGAAAATGATATTACTGTTTTGATACTACTGAAATAAATACGAGTAGTTGAAATACACCTAAGCTAACAAGTAACATTTTTTTCGTTGACTATAACCTGACAGCGAATCAATAAACAGACAGTTAGCTAACGGCTCATTTCACAACAGTATTACGACTAAATAAACTCAGTTGATTGAAGATTAGAATTACCACATTCATATACATATGCAAAGTTTGAAAGTTGCGTGATTAGTTTGTTATGAATATGAGCAAAAATTTCAGCTTGAAACATAACTCAGTAACTAATATTGTATCCCTCACTATGTGATGTATCACATGAAGAATCTAATATAGAACTTCTCAGTATCTTGTATATTTATAGATTAGCACACAGAAAAACACAATGAACAATCCACTCAATGACCTTATGTACGTTAGTGGATTGGACAACGAGCCACACATCTCTCAAATGAGGGAGAATAATACTACCTTCTGACTGCCCAAACCTCGGTAGACGAACAGGTGTTCGAACCAATGAAACATTAGTGAGCTATAACTTCATGAATTGGTTCAAGCAGATGGGTATGTTTCAAGCACCATATCTCAGTGACATATAATAAGGAAAGTACAGTCAAAAAATTATCCAGCAAGTGTCATTGTGAAACTGTTTGCTGCTATATAAAACTACTAAACACGAGCGATATCAATAAGAAAAAAATTCTCACAACAACTATCATAAACTACAATGATTAGGCATTTTCAATGATATTCCAATGAAGTAAAAACATAATCTGCCTCCGTTGAGTTTGGAAGCAAACAGATGCCTATTATCATTATTATTTTTTTCCCCTTGGGTTCCTAACGGAACATGCCTTCATTCCACTCTCTTCTCTGCAGTCTTTTCAACCTGGCACCACAACTCCCCACAAGCTTTCATTTCTTCCTCACATCATCTCCTCCATGTCACCATCACCTCGGACGCCCAACTCGTCGTTTCCCCTATGGATTGCACTCGAGGTCCTGGCCTGGAGCATGATGTCCCCAGTCGGCCTTCTCAGTGTATGCCCAATCCAATCCATCTCCACTTTCTCCTTCTGCATATTTGTTGAGCTATAGGTTCTTGGTTGATTCGTTGGCAGCCAAGCAGAGTTCCTCCTTGCTTATTCTTATTATTCTGGCCATCTGATCTCATCTTCAGTACTGAGTGAGTGTAGGCGGCAGCTGTTGATAAATGCCTGTAGTTTGTTGGGAGTGCTTTTCGTGACGCACCTAATTTCTTAACCATATAGAAGCACTGACTTGACATTGGTGTTCAAAATCCAAATCTTGTTCTTTGTGCTGAGTGTAGTAGACATCCATGCTGATTTCAGATTAGTGAAAGACTGTCTTGCTTTTCCTATCCTGGTTTTGACATTCTGGTATGTGCCTGTGCCGTCTGTAGTTGAAACGATGCTGCCTCCTAAGTAAAAAAGGCAGGTGAAAGAGACAGCTACCTTTACATTCCTCCTGTTGATGGTGATTGGTGCTTGTTGTTCATACTGTTGTTGGTTAGGTATCTTCATCACTTCCGTCTTCTCTATGTTCACTTGAAATCCCGTCTTTGCTGCCCTGCCTCTTCTGCCAACTTGTCAGTTTTCGCCTGTAGATCTTCGAGTTTGTACGACATTAGACATAAATCATCATTGGCGAAATCCAAACAGATGCCTATAGTACATCGAAATGGTAACTAAGGTGCAAACAAAACCTAAGTCGCAAGAGAATTGAAACCAAAAACTTCTTCTTAATCGACGCATTGAAGGCAAACATCAACAACTAATCATAGCAAAAACGAAAAATAGTAACTTACCATCAATTGTTGTCGACTATCGGGATCAGTTTTGTTAATTTGACCGAAAGCACGCATTAAACGAAGCATCCCATCTAAGGCTTGACCACGAAGTAATGGAGAATGCGCTAAAGTTGTCAAAGCATCAAGAAATGGCTCTTGGATGACAATTTTAGTTACATGACTGGCTAAAACATCATCAGATTCCAGTAGTAAGGAGATTAGATGAAGAGCAAGCTAAAAACAAAACAGAGAAAACAAAAATATTGTCATTTAAAAACTGGAAGAAATCATGAGACATTCATTAGAATTAGTCTACACATCACTTGCATGTGTTTAATATTGAGAAACATAAGAATGTCATCTGAAGTCTATGGGAATTTTATATGTACGGTAGTATTCATCATGACTTGACATCAGTTCGAGAGTCAATGGAAGCCTTGGAGGATCGGTAAGTTGTTTCATCCTCAGCAGAATGCATTACATTGCGAATAGACAGAAGTAGGGAAAAGTGGATCACTGAATGATTAAAGAGTTCTCTATAAAATCTGAGTGTCCGAAGTTCGACCCATAGTGGGTTTCATAGTTGCATACTCCTGAGTAGTCCCAGGTCTCCTATGTATTGTTCTCCAACTGATATCAGTTCGTGATGAATACATGTAACTATAAGCGATTTAGCAAATCGATAAAATTACAGGTAGTGCTGGATCACATTAATTAATCAATGCTGCTTGGAATTATGTACACGATACTTCGCAACGGACGTCACTTCATTAAAGGCTGATGATACGTGTTGCAGAAAAGTGCCAACAAGCAAGAAACTTAGGTCCATGGTTTTCTGCTGATTGCTTCGAACCCATTAATTTCCATCGAAGTTCACTGACATGCTGAATCACCTAGCTTGATAACCATATTGAAAAAAATGATCGATATAATTTGGCCAGCATTCATAGCAGTATTATGAATTGTTATGTGTCCTGTGGGTTCCTACCGGAACACAGGGCTTCAGGAGCACGTCACCATTTCACCCTCTTCTCTTCAGTATTCTTTACCTAGATCCACGACTACCCATAACATTTCATTCCTTCCTCACACCATCTCCTCCATGTCATCCTAAGACCCCCAACTAACTCGTCGTTTCCCATTCGGGTTCCACTAGATGACCTGCCCTAATGCGTGATGTCCCCAAATGGTCTTCTCAGTTTATGCCCAATCCAATCCATCTCCACTTCCTTCCAATGCATATTTGTTGGGTGATCGCTTTTCGCTTCGTCGGTTCCCTGCAGGCCACACTTCCTCCTTGCTTATTCTTTCTCGCCTTCTCATCTGATCTTCAATATCGGGTGAGCGAGCATAGGTGTCATCTGTTGATGTATGTCTGCAGTTTGTTGGGAATGCTTTTCGAAAGGCGCCAAGTCCCTCAACCATCACATCGAAGCACTGACTGACTTGATTGAATTGGTGTTGAAAATCCGTATCTTGTTCTTTATGCTGAGTGCAATGCAGTTCAGTGTAGTAGACCTGCACACTGATTTCAGATTGATGAAGGCATGTGTTGCTGTGTTTCGGATCGTGGCTGGCTTTGACATCCTCCTGTGTGTCTGTGCCGCCTGTACTTGAGACGATGCTGTCTCCTAGGTAGGTAGGTAGGTAGGTAGGTAGGTAGGTAGGTAGGTAGGTAGGTAGGTAGGTAGGTAGGTAGGTAGGTAGGTAGGTAGGTAGGTAGGTAGGTAGGTAGGTAGGTAGGTAGGTAGGTAGGTAGGCAGGTAGATGAAAGAGGCAACTACCTTTACATTTCTCCCGTTGATGATTGATGCTTGTTGTTGTTGTTGGTTGGGTATTTCCATCACCTCTGTCTTCTCTACGTTCACCTGTATGAAATGCTGTCTTCGCTGACCTGCCTCTTCTGCCAACTTGTTAGTTTTCACCTGTAGACCTTTGAGTTTTGTGCGACATTAGACATGAGATGTGAATCATGATGGGCGAGCGAGATCGAACTATTCTTCTGGGGTGTTTTTATCGGTCAAACAGCATATGGCATCTTCCCACAGCTGCTCACAGTTGTAGGTTGCATGATGCAGTGCAGTGCAGTGCAGTGAAGCCGAGTCGAGCACAATGAATGAGGGAGGTCATGTGTGATAGGCGGCAACCTTGTCTTACCTGTCAACCTGTCTTCACTTCGAAGGTGTCACTGAGCTTTTCATTAAGAATCACTTGGCATGTAGCATCATCATATAGGAAATAGCTGTTGAATGAGGCTGATAAAGGTTTGTAGCACTAAAAATGTAGTATTGAAGCAGCTGCCGAGCTGCTTCTCGATCGGCGCCTCGATGGAGGGCCTTTTCAAGGTCGGTGAAATTGAGGTAAAGATTTGACTGTCATGAAATTGGTTGGTCTCCAGTGCTCAATCAATCTATCTAATCAAGTCCTACAGGAAGTTAGATGCAGCAAGAAAAGCTCAGTAGCAACATCTCTAACTGTAGAACTGGGTAGTGTGTGTTCGAATTTCACGGAAGGACAGATTAGTTCCTTCGAGATTTTAGTAGAAAGGATGAAATTAACATCAAGAATACAATGTAGTCATTGAAAGGTGGATCAAAAGACTTAGTATATTGTCAGAGTATTTGCTAAACAGAAGTATGTTAATTTGCATTCCCTACAGGAGAACTAATCGCTTATAAGTCCCACGTACTAAGCATTAGATCAGTTAAAGTTGGAAGGATGCAATTAGATAACAGATGACAGGTAAGTAGAAAATAATGCGATGTTTGAAAATATACAGTAGGGGTGAGCAGTTTCTAGTCATAGATTTCTTGTCTTTCTTGAGAGCTCAGGTGTAACCAACAGACAGATAAGTTGTTGTTTTTATTCCTTCAGGACAATACGAATAAATGTAGTCGATACACCTTCGCATACATGATAACTCGTTTCTTTCCTATAACAGAGAAATTTAACGACATTCTTTATCGCCAAAGCTAAACAATAACAAATCAGCAGTTTTACATAAGAATTACTCATCAAACAACTGTAATCTGTTGTTATGTGTCTAGCAGAAAAGTTTAGCTGCGATGTGAACCGCTTCGAAGTAGTGTGAGTGGAAGTCTTCAAACCTTAGAAGATATTAAAAGAGCCAATACATCTAAGCCAACGTGACCAATTTTCAACCATGTCACTTAGAGTTATCAATCACTGGTTCCCTTCGTCTTGGGGACCCCAGCCAGGTAATCTACACCCCAAAGCTCAAATAAGCAGTCAGAGACCTAATGCACTATTACCATTTTTGATGTGGCCACCATAAACCCTCTTCAAATCTAATCTAACTTCCCCTAGCATTGCGCGTCGAGATAAGCAGTGAATCGGAATGCGCAGTACATATACAAGCTACTTCATTCGTTAGAGGTTCACGACTTTATGGATAGACTTTTCTTCCTTGTCTAGTACCTTTCATTTAACCTCAACATTGCTTACATGGTGATTCCACCAAACGCGAAGAATGCTCAGAAGATATCTGTGATCGAAAACCTTCAACCGCAAGTTTACTGCTGCGTAACGGTCCAACTTGCCACACCTCATATCAACACATCAAGTAACATGGCAGTAAAATTGGAGTTTATCGGTTAAGATGAGGATAATGTGTGTATACATCTGCCCCACTGACATCGGTTCTCAACCATATCACTTACAGTCAGTCTCAAACCATTCGTTTCTCTTGTCCTGCGGATCCCAACTGGCCAGCCTGCATAGCTCAAACCAACAGCCAAACACTTCATACATTGATATCACGTTTTTAGTCTGGCCACATCTAGCCTTTTTGCAGCCTGAACCTACTTCAGCCAACATTGTGTGACGAGGCAGATGGCTACTAGGCATACGTTACACGTGTCGCAACAAGCCATCTCAATCGATGAAGGTTCATAACCTCGTCAACTGACTTACCTCTTCTCCATCCCTAAACCTCTACACCAGACTTCTGGATTAATTCACCTGGTGACACCATGAAAAACGGCTTATGCTACGAAGGCAACAATGGTCAAACACCGGAAACTTTCTCATGCCTTCTACCTTTAATGACCATGTTTCACAGCCATACACAGTAAAACAGAGTGGACTGTGTCACAGAACACTCGACCTTTAATAGACAATCCGATATTGCAGTGGCGTCACAGATGACGTGAGTTGGCAAACGCCAACCTAGCTTTTTATATTCGTGCAGAGATTTTGTTGCCAAGTGACCAACACATCAGGGCTGATCTGATATTCCAGGTAAGTGAAGTGTTCAACGCATTCAAGTTGAGGATTGATTTCATTGTAAGAGTAAATGATTACAAAAACGTAATCTAATGAGAATAAAATCATTAAGTGAACATATACAAATTTTATATAAACTTGAATAAAATCTTTACTCACCTGTGTTGTCTGTAAATCATGCTCATTAATCAGTAATTTTGGCATTAAATTCAATATAGTCATAAGACAATTCTGTCCAACACAATTTGGATACTTTAATAGAATAGTATATAAACATCGCAGTGTTGTCATACGTAGTGTACGATCATTTTTTGACAGAAATGTTGCTAATTCATCAGATGAAGCGGGCTAAAAAAGAGGAAATGGAGAGAGAGAGAGAGAAAGAGAGAAATGAAAGTGATCATCTACAATCTGAGTTGTTACGATTCTATTATGGATGGATTAAATGCATGCGTAAACATAAGCAAACACTATTGTTCACTTTTCTCTCAAACAAATTGTTTCACTACTTTTTTTTAAGTAAATGGTGTCAAGATATGATTTAATAGCTTTGAGTTTACCGATTTTAGACTGCCTACATTTTATGATCTGTTTGGTGGTTAGCGGTCGAATCCAAGACATGCGTCTCATTCTATTTGGGATTCGTTAGTTGGAAGTACCTATACTCCAGTGAATGATGGCATTCTCACTCAAACATATACCCGGGTACCTATTAATTCAAACGCCAAAGTGTTATTCACTAAGTCACATGAGCACGACAGCCATCTATGGTGCAACGGATATCAAATGTTCTTGTTGTTGGTTAGCAAAACTTATGATTACCCGAGGCATCTGGATAGCAGCCCATCTACCACAGAGGTCAAGCAATTATACCCACTAAAGGAAATGAAAATTATAAGTATCAATGAATACTTACACGCTCAAGATGCTGCTTGTTCATTAGACTAACTGATCAGTCAGTTGTTCTACTACCATCCCCCCCCAGGTCGTCTGCTCAAATGGAGCCAAATAAAAAGGCAGAATGTTGGGGTGATAATCCATCGGTTCGAATCCTACTACAAACCAAGTTTCTGTTACACCATCTTCAATCATCATCACATATCGACTAGTATTCAGTTGCTTGGTTGATAGAGAATCCAGTGGTTTACAGGTAGTAACTAGTTTATCAACTTTCGAAAAGTCAACTGTCTGACTAACAATCATGTACTCATCAGTAACTCCTCTTAAAATAAATTACCTGAGGCTTCACAACGAGAAGTTGTAACTTACGTAAGGCTGGATGTCTATTGGTAACACTTAAGGTTAAGCGTAATATATCACGAATTGGTAGATGTATGGAGTAGCAGCATCTCCTCAACTACAGGCGGCACAGATACACAGGAGGATGTCAAAGCCAGCCACGATCCGAAACACAGCAACACACGCCTTCATCAATCTGAAATCAGTGTGTAGGTCTACTACACTGAACTGCACTGCATTGCACTGCACTCACCATAAAGAACAAGATACGGATTTTCAACACCAATTCAATCAAGTCAGTCAGTGCTTCAATGTGATGGTTGAGAAACTTGGCACCTGACGAAAAGCATTCCCAACAAACTGCAGACATACATCAACAGATGACACCTATGCTCGCTCACCCGATATTGAAGATCAGATGAGAAGGCGAGAAAGAATAAGCAAGGAGGAAGTGTGGCCTGAAAGGAACCGACAAAACGAGAAGCGATCACCCAACAAATATGCATTGGAAGGAAGTGGAGATGGATTGGATTGGGCATAAACTGAGAGGACCATTTGGGGACATCACGCGTCATGTCAGGCTGTCTAGTAGAACCCGAATGGGAAACGATGAGTTAGTTGGGGGTCTTAGTGTGATATGGAGGAGATGGTGTGAGGAAGGAATGAAATGTTATAGGCAGTCGTGGACCGAGGTAAAGAAGACTACTGAAAAGAGAGTGAAAAAATGACGCGAGGAACGCAAGGAACAAATAATAATAATAATAATAATAGTGATGGGTAGTGGATTCTAATCTAGTGGCTATATGATATTGTATTGATTGTGAGATCTGACAGTTGTTGGTCCAATCACACATTAAGTGGTGGATATGCGCTGATGAGAACTCCTGATATAGGACAAAAATATGAGAAAGAGTGTATACATATGCACCATTGTGACCAATTTTCAGTCATATGTCTTGATCTGATCACATTTAGCCTTCTTCCAAAGCAATCCCACTTCTTCTAATATTCACACATCGAAGTAGATGTTGACGGATGAACATGTGCAACAAATGTTGAATCGCCTAAGCTTCAGAACTTCTTGCCTAGTACTCTACGTCTTACTCTGTCATTGAGCAGGAATGTTGAAGGCAGCCATCTTTTTTGATCACTATTAACTGTTATTACTTCAGACGACAATTCTGCACAAACAAACAGTCAACACAGTTGCATACAGTTCAGACTTACACTCATCACATGTAGGCAATGCAACAAAGGTGACTAGGATCTAAAATCTATGAACTTCTCAAATATCTTCTACTTTCAATGGCTATATTTCTACAATCATGCGATAGAACAACATATTCATAATAATAATGAGACGATCAGACTACATCTTCCAGTTGACTTACTTTAAAACACATGAATTATGAGTTTTATGCGTACTGACAAGAAATAGTCAACACATACTCGTTTGTACAAGCATGTCAATATATGCTGTGACCTCGATGTGGGTTATGATGTAGGTAATATACAGCAGAAAATGAAATAAGTGTAAAAATAGCAGAGAAACGTCAACTGGAAAATAATGCAACTAAATGACACCTATTAATAGCCTGGGATTTGTCAAAACTGCACACTTTTCAATCATTTGGCAGTTAAATATCTCCTCCCCCCCCCTCTAATATATTCAAAGTAGTTTTGAGAGCAACTTAAAGGTTTAAAAAAGCTGTTTCTAGAACACAGCAAAGGTACACACTTATTGATAAAATAACTTTATCAAATCGAAAGAGTAACAGTTTGCCAACTTACCAGAAATTTCGATAAATCCAATCGCAGAGGTGATCTGTAACAAGGAAAGAATTGTGAAGAAATAAATAAAATTAGTATGACGTGAATAGGAAGCCTTATAAAAGTTGTATATGCAATAGCTCCTTTGAAAGCTAATAAAAACCTGGATCAAGATTTGTTTCCAATTATTGGCTACCAGAGTGTTCACCTAACAACCAATGGATTCCGTTGAAATACTCAACTTCACTTCAGTGAATAAGTACTGTGCTTGACTAGGTTACAAACTACAGACATTCATCAACAACTGTCGTCTACGCTCGATACTGAAAATCAGATGGCCAAAAAGAATAAGCAACAAGGAACTCTGGGAATGAACCAACGAATCAAGAACCCATAGTCCAACCAATAGGCAGAAGAAAGTGGAGATGGATTGGGCATACACTGAAAGGGCCTTTTGGGAACATCACGCGTCAGGCCAGGCCCTTGAGTGGAATCCAAAGGGGAAACGACGAGTTGAGCGTCCAAGTATGACATGGAGGAGATCATTTGAGGAAGAAATGAAAGCTTGTAGGCAGTTGTGGAGCCAGGTTAAGAAGACTTCAGGGAACAGAGTGCGATGGAGGCGTGCTACTGAAGCCCTAGGTTCCACTAGGAACACAAGGGATAAATAATAATATAATAATTGATTAGGGAATGAATGACTATTGGGAGCGGATCGTTGTTTTCTGATTTGGTCGTTTTAACGACAGACGGAGGAAACTCATACCTCTGGCATCATAAGACTGTGGGGCACCCCTCTTTCAATTGGGAAGGCAGCACAGGCGTGGCACTGCTGGTTATCCACGGGAAACACCTTACTGCTGTTACACCCCAGCCAGCAGTATGACTTCGATGTCAGATCCCCGTCATAGTGTAATAATTTACACTATAATGATAACTGCTTTTTTGGTTTACCACTATTTAATCGACTTTTCTGGAATGTTAGGATCTCAAGTGAACAAGCTTCCCAGCCAGTGTAATTCGTTGGGTAATTGTGAAAGAGGGCATGAATGAGAAACAAGGATAAGTTTGCGTCATTTCCTGCAAAGTGAACGATCACACCATTGGTTATTTCATCTTTAGAAAACAGAGTCTGTTTCACACTTTGGTATTGTTTCATCTTCCCATCTTCTTCCTTTAAAGTGAAGGTTTTCAACTTTTGATTTCACTTTCTTATAATTTCACCATTTATATGTTAATATGAGGTGTAACAACTTGGATCATTACACTTAGCATCAATGTGGGAACCTGGCATCACTGTGTCACGGTCCACGTTGCCACACCTCATATCACTACACAGATAAAATAAAAAAAGCGATCAAAAGCGGTAGAAAGTTGTAAAAGTAAAGTAAGAAGGAGTAAAACAATAACGAAATTGGATATAACGACTAAGATATTCGTGCTACTGACGTCGATTCTGAGCTGAATAATCTAGATTCATCAGGACGTCTACATTCCTCTACATGACTTAAAATAGTGATCAGACACTACGGGAAGTGATGCTACGTTTTATTTAATCTAACTGTCGGTGGCCTTTTTTGCCAGCCTAAACGTAATCATCAATTAACAATTACCGACGAAGCAGACAGTGGCTAAGCGTGTATTATTATTGTTATTATTAGTCCCTTGGGTTCCTAATGAAACATAGGGCTTCAGTAACACGTCTACAGTGAACTCTGTTCTCTGAAATCTTTTGAACCTGGCTCCACGGCAGCCCAAAGCTCTCATTTCCTCCTCGTACGATCTCCTCCATGTCACCCTCAGCTGGGTTGCCCAACTCGTCGCTTCCCATCAGGGTTCCACTCGAGGGTCTGACGCGTGATGTCCCCAGTAGGCCTTCTCAGTGTATGCCAAATCCATCTCCACTTCCTTCTGCATATTTGTTGGGTGATAGGTTCTTGGTTGGTTTGTTCCCAGAGTTCCTTGTTGCTTCTTCTTTCTGGCCATCTGATCTTCAGTAGCGAGCGTAAGTAGTTGTTGATGAATGTCTGTATTGGAAATGCCATTCGTGACGCGCCAAGTCTCTGAACCATACAGAAGCACTGATTTGACGTTGGTGCTGAAAATCAGCATCTTGTTCCGCATGCTGAGTGCAGAAGATCTCCACACTGGTTTCAGGTTAATGAACGCCTGTTTTGCTGTCTTTCCGATCCTGGCTGGCTTTGACATCCTCATCTGTGCCTGTGCCACAACCCGTACTTGAAACGATGCTGCCTAGGTATGTGAGTAGGTGAAGGAGGCTACTTCCTTTAAGTTCCTCCCATTGATGGTGATTGGAGTTTGTTGTTGTTGTTGGAGTTGTTGGTGCGGTATCTTCATCACCTCTGTCTTCTCTATATTCACTTGAAGTCCCGTCTCCCTCGCTACCCTGACCTGCCTCTTCTGTCAACCTGTTAATTAATCTTCAAGTTTGTGTGACATCAGACACAAGTCATCATCGGCGAAATCCAAGTCTTCTAGGTTCTTTTCCTCGGTCCAGCCAGCGTATCCTCCTCTCGTCGCTCCCCACTGTTTGCCGCATGATCCAGTCCACCACAATAAGGAATATCATGGGGGATAGTAGGCAACCTTGTTTCACTCCTGTCTTCACTTCAAAATCATCACTGAGCTTCCCATTGTGAATTAGTTGGCATGTGGCATCTTCATATAGTTGTTGAATGAGGCGGATAAAGGTTTGCGGTACTCCGTAGTATTGAAGCAGTTTCCAAATTACTTCTCGGTCGACGCTGTCAAAGGCCTTCTCAAAGTCGATGAAGTTGAGGTAGAGAGCTGATTGCCATTCTATGCTCTGTTCTTTGATGATGCGAAGTGTACCGTTGCAATTTGGTCCGCACATGATTTGCACTTCCTGAAGTCTGCCTGTTCCGGTCGTAGTTTTGAATACAGTGCATCCTTCAGCCTCTCCAGGATGATGCGGCTTAATACTTTGCTTCGGGTGGGCAGCAGAGAGTGATTCCGCGCCAGTTCTTGCAAACACTGAGGTCTCCCTTCTTCGGGAGTTTGACAAGGTAACCCTTCTTTCCTTCTCTTCCATCCACACCTTCTGAAATAGTGTTATGAGCATGTTCGCTGTTGTCTCTGCGTCTGTTCTCAGTGCTTCTGGCGGGATCCCATCAAGTCCTGCTGCTTTCTCGCATCTCAGTAGGTTTATGGTTCTCAGGATTTCCACTTTTGTTGGGGGATTTATGTTCACTTGTAGTTCAGCGGCTGTAGGTGGTATTTCTAGACGAAGTGCAGGTGGTGGTCGATTCAAGAGCTTCTTGAAGTGGTCGGCCCATTGTTTCCTTTCTTTCTCTCCCTTCGTAATTAAATTTCTGACACCATCTTTTATTGGTTTCATCTGCGTTGATCTCTTACCTTCCAGATAGTAGTAACCTGGTTATTTGATACAATGTTGTCAGATCTCTATCTCTCCTACCTGCAGCCTGTTCTGCTTCACGTGCCAGTGTTTCGTAGAAGTGTCTTTTGTCTTTCCATGCACTCTTCTTCACTTCTTTGTCCAGTGTAGTGTTTGATACGTTGTACTCAGTTCTTCTTCTTGTTGTTCACCCTTGCATTCGTTCATCTCCTGCTTCACTATCTTCCTCTCCCTACTCTATCAGCTTCCATATGTCCATGGAGATCCATTCATTGTCTTTTTTCCTCTTCCTTCCTAATACGGCTGTGCAGGTTTCTTTCCACATCTCTTTCAAAGACTTCCAGTGTTCTTACACACAGGTTTCTTCAGGAATGTTGCTCGATATCTTCCATTTTGTCTTGATGGCTGTCGTGAAGATTTTCTTTGTAGTTTCGTCTTTCAGTTTCTGGGTGTTGAACTTGAACTGTGGTCTATCACCAACTTTCTTGAAGGTTTTCAACTTGATTTGGAAGGTAGGTTCCTTACACTAGATAGTGGTGTGAACCTGCATCTGCTCCTCTTCTGGACCTTGTGTCAAGTAGACTGCGTCTCCATTTTCTTGAGATTGAGATAAAGTCGATCTGATTTTTAGTGTGTCCATCTGGTGAAATCCATGTCGCTTTGTGGATATCCTTGTGCTTGAACACACAGCCTGACTCCAATCACCAAATCGTTGAATGCACAGAATTCTGCAAACAATTCTCCATTCTCGTTCATCACCTCAACAAGCACTTCTCGACCCATGGTTAGTTCTCTTCCTGTGTTTTCCACTCCCAGTTTGGCATTCATTTCATCCCCTGCATTAGAATTTTGATGTCGCCAACTGGAGTCTTGTCTAGTGTTGATTGCAGTCGTCTGTAAAATTCCTCCTTTTTCTCTTCATCTGCTTAATTATTTGTAGGTGCATAGCATTGTATGATTGTGACTTTCCTTCCTTTTCAGTTGAACCTTGCTGTCATGATCCTGCATGAAAGCCTTCGATGCTGTTGGGGACATCATGATAGCCACTCCAAAACTCAGTGTGCTCGTGGTTGTCGTCTGGGTGACAATATCGGAGTAGATTATTGATTCTCCAGTTGACAGTTTGGAGACTCCACTCCCATTCCATCTGCTTTCGCATATTCCAAGCACTTCAATATGATACCTCTTCATCTCGTTTGCAATGGGAGCTGCCTTGCTGGGTTCAAACATCGTGTGGACATTCCATATCTCCACGTTTACTTTCGCTTTCATCGAGTGAAGAGAAGACACATCGGCCAATTGGCTTCCCGAAGGCTTTCACCAACTGGCATCATTTCGCCTCTCCGATTCCAGCGAGGAATAATTTTGTTATTATTTTTTATATATCGTTTGTGCTTTGAAGTTTCTTTAGCGGTTAGATTTGTTTTACGGGGTAGGGTTGCTAGCCCTATGCCCAACCTTCCCTCTTTACCCGGGCTCAGGACCGGCTAGTAACTAGTGAACTAGTTAACCAAGCTCTCTGAGCTAAGATCATGTGTAGTAGGCTAAGCGTGTAAATAACAATATTATCAGGTAGTATATTATTATTGACTGATAGACAGTAATAACCACCCACCCACCCACCCCTCCAACTAGCAAAAAGTACCTACATAACAGATTGAAATAAGGATCAATTTTATACAATGAAAATCATTCAGTTATAGTCATATTGAAAAAGGAAATAATGTAAACAAACTTACGAAGCAACAATTTGTATAGCACGAACTGCAGACAATCGAGTTAATTCATTTTTTAAACGTCGATATAACACGTCAAGACAATCATCTACCTTTGATGTAATCAGATCACCAATTTGTGCAAGAAATACACCACTAAAAGTAAATTATATAATACAATAATAACTGAGAAGAAAGAAAGCATGTAAACAAAGAAAAAAGAAGGAAACAAAATATTGATCAAAAGTGCAACCTCTATATCACAAGTAAGAAAACCAATAATCGTTATCCATTCAAACCAACCGCCTGTAGTCATAACGAAAAATGTGCTTTCAATGATTCCGTAAATACCTATTCTTTTTTTAATTGTAGGAAGGCTTTAGTATTTCCGGAATGAATGAATAGATAGGTATTGTCTAAAGAACCTTCAATCTTGTATAAAAAGATAGGTATATTTCAACCAACATAAGCTACAAGCTAAGGTATACAACATGGGGAGATGTATACTAATGCTTTGAACAGCATGTGATATATGTGTAAAAGGGTTCACAGTGATGAAATGAAGTGGTGAGTGTTGCATGACAACTGACCTTTACCTAATCTGAAAGAATATCAGTCTTATATCACAAGTTAGATTTCAAAGAAGAATAGAGAATGGACACTTTTAGTTAGTATCGCAATCATAAGGCATGTACAGATTATTAATTTACAACAAGTGAATTCGGACATTAATGTATGATAAAAACTTGAGCAGTTTGATAGAGTATAAAACTATACTATTTACTTTAACATAGCAAAAAATGATTCAGAATTCATCATGAGTCGAGAAGCACTCGATGAAATGATGAATGAAAGCGAAGAATTGTTTGCAGATTTCTGCACATTCAACGATTCAGTGATTGGAGGCAGTGTGTACAAACACAAAGACCTTTCACAAAGTGACATGGATTTCATCAGACATACTAAAAATCAGATAGACATCATCTCAATCTCAAGAAAGTGGAGATGCAGCCAGCTTTCTGGACACAAGATTAGATCAAGAAGGGGAGCAGATGTAGGTTCACACCACTATCTAGTGTAAGGAACCTACCTTCCAAATCAAGTTGAAAACCTTCAAGAAAGTTGGTGATAGACCACAGTTCAAGTTCAACATCCAGAACAGGAACTGAAGGAGAAAACTACAAAGAAAATCTTCACGACAGCCATCAAGACAAAATGGAAGATATCGAGCAACATCACTGAAGAAACCTGTGTGGAAGAACACTGGAAGTCTTTGAAAGAGATGTGGAAAGAAACCTGCACAGCCGTATTAGGAAGGAAGAGGAAAAAAGACAATGAATGGATCTCCACGCACACATGGAAGCTGATAGAGTAGGGAGAGGAAGATGGTGAAGCAGAAGATGAACGAATGCAAGGGTGAACAACAAGAAGAAGAACTGAGTACAACGTATAAAACACTACACTGGACAAAGAAGTGTAGAAGAGTGCACGGAAAGACAAAAGACACTTCTACGGAACACTGGCAAGTGAAGCAGAACAGGCTGCAGGTAGGAGAGACAGAGATCTGACAACATTGTATCGAATAACCAGGTTACTACTATCTGGAAGGGAAGAGATCAACACAGATGAAACCAATAAAAGATGATGATGGAAATTTAATTACGAAGGAAGAGAAAGAAAGGAAACAATGGGCCGACCACTTCAAGAAGCTCTTGAATCGACCACCACCTGCACTTCGTCTAGAAATACCACCTACAGCCGCTGAACTACAAGTGAACATAAATCCTCCAACAAAGGTGGAAATCCTGAGAACCATAAACCTACTGAGATGCGAGAAAGCAGCAGGACCAGATGGGATCCCTCCAGAAGCACTTAGAACAGACGCAGAGACAACAGCGGACATGCTCACACCACTACTGCATTATGTTTGTGTTGTGACGCCCCATTTTTGTATAAAACATTGTTATCGATTTGAACATTTTAACGTGTCATTCCCACATCAGTTTTTACGATATAACTAATAGTCTATTTTCTGCCCCCATAGTAATGTAAATCCGCTAATTGGTTAATCTTTACTCTTATTATGCAAATGCCTCAAATTAAAGGTCATTTTTCATGTGTGTACTTATTCACGTGTTTTGGGATTGATTTTATTATTATATTCTCGGAGAAATACACTCTTCCATCTGCCAGCTTCGGTCTTCTCTCTATTCGTCCCGGGGTCGCAGTCAGTGCCTCTTGCGTACCAAGTTAGCTGTCAGCTGAGCGCGCGCATTATATTCGTTCCGGAATACATACATATAACCATTAGCAACTTCGAAGCATAACAGTTTGAAAGGAAGGAAGGAAAGGTATCTGCCGACTGGTTGGAAGAAGGGTTATCTTGTCAAACTTCCAGAAAAGGGAGACCCAAGTCATTGAAAGAACTGGCGACGAATCATGCTCCTGTCCACCCAAAGCAAAATATTAGACCACATCATCCTGAAGAGACTAATAAGTGCTCTGTATTCAAAATTACCACCGAAACAGAATGGCTTCAGGAAGAACAAATCATGTGCGCATGAAACTACAACGCTAAGCATCATCACTGAACAGAGCATAGAATGGCAGTCAACTCTCTACCTCAATCAACTTCATCTACTTTGAAAAGGCCACCGATAACAACAAACCGTGAGGAAGAAGAAGAAAGGGATACGCTAGACTGGGGAAAAGATCCTGAGAGATCTGGATTGCACCGATGACTTGCGTCTAAGGCGTTTAATAGAGTCGACCGAGAAGTACTTTGGCGCCTATTTCAACACTACAGGGCCATAAAACCCTCTCCACCTCATTCAACAGCCACATGCTATATGATGAGGCCTCACGACAAGTGATTAACAATGGAAAGCTCAGTGACACCTTCGAAGTGAAGACAGGTTGACAGGAAAGACAAGGTTGCCGCCTATCACACATGACCTCCCACATTCATTGTGCTCGACTCGGCTTCAATGCACTCCACTGCACTCCACTGCACTGCATCATGCAACCTACAACTGTGAGCAGTTGTGAGAAGATGGCCATACGCTGTTTGACCGATAAAAACACCCCAGAAGAATAGTTCGATCTCGCCCGCCCATCATGATTCACATCTAATGTCAAATGTCACACAAAACTCGAAGGTCTACAGGTGAAAACTAACAAGTTGGCAGAAGAGGCAGGTCAGCGAAGACACCATTTCATTCAGGTGAACGTAGAGAAGACAGAGGTGATGGAAATACCCAACCAACAACAACAACAACAACAAGCACCAATCATCATCACCATCAACGGGAGAAATGTAAAGGTAGTTGTCTCTTTCACCTACCTGCCTACCTACATACCTACCTACCTAGGAGACAGCATCGTCTCAACTACAGGCAGCACAGACACACAGGAGGATGTCAAAGACAGCCATGATCCGAAACACACCAACACATGCCTTCATCAATCTGAAATCAGTGTGCTAGTCTACTACACTACACTGCACTGCATTGCACTGCACTCACCATAAAGAACAAGATACAGATTTTCAACACCAAGTCAGTCAGGGCTTCGATGTGATGGTTGAGAGACTTGACGCCTTACGAAAAACATTCCCAACAAACCGCTGACATACATCAACAGATGACACCTATGCTCGCCCACCCGATATTGAAGATCAGATGAGAAGGCGAGAAAGAATAAGCAAGGAGGAAGTGTGGCCTGAAGGGAACCGACATAGCGGAAAGCGATCGCCTAACAAATATGCATTGGAAGGAAGTGGAGATGGATTGGATTGAGTATAAACTGAGAAGACCATTTGGGGACATCACGCATCAGGTCAGGCTGTCTAGTGGGACGCGAATGGGAAACGATGAGTTAGTTGGGGTCTTGGGATGACATGGAGGAGATGGTGTGAGGAAGGAATGAAAGGTTATGGGTAGTCATGGATCTAGGCAAAGAATACTGAAGAGAAGAGGGTGAAATGGTGACGTGCTACTGAAGCCCTATGTTCCACTAAAAACCCAATGGATGAATAATAATAATCATATTTCAAGGTAACCTCATCTATTAAATGTAATCGTTAAAGGTACTTCAAAATGATTTAACACGTGAAAAAAAACACACACATACACTAAAGTAGACAATAAAAACGGGGAGTAAATAAAATTGACAAATAGTATGCAGAACCGCTTACGAGACTGTGATCGCTTTTTCTTTTAATTCAAGATCCCGATCAGTTGCTTGTAATTGGTTGAACAATGGTGTGAATAGAATTAAAGCATACTTTTCACCTCCTATAACGAAGAATAAAATTAAACAATCTTTATACTCTATGCAAAGATTGTCTTGATGTTTTGAAGAAGCAAATAAACATTATATTGAAGTAAATAAGATACAGGAAATGTCTATAATATGCTAGGAAAGATACGTATAGATGCCGGTAAGCATAACTTATATTTTTACTAGGAGGATATAAATAATTACTCGTACTTTGTTTTTAATTTATAAAACATATGAAGCTAATTACAAGCGATGAAATAATGTATACAATCAACTGGAACTGTTCATCATCGCCTATTCATTAATCAGTCATAAAGAAATAGAATGACCTTTTGATAAGTGGCAAGTATTAAAGGTAGGTAAAACACAACTTCTTGTCCATTTTCATCTGTTTATTAGAAATATCACGGCATAGTGAAAGAATAGTATCATTTAACTGGATAACGCACCTTTCGGACACAATCGGTTATCCATATTCATATCAGGCAACCAACTCTACAACTTTCACATAGAGTTTATATAGTCCTAATTACCTCCCCTTCTTTTTCTATGATGACAAGAGTAGTAGAATTTTCCACATATCTGTGACAAATGTGGAATTATTTCGATTACTGGATGTATTTGGTGTTGATTTGATAGACAAACATCCACTCGGTTATCAATCTCTCCCTTCGTCAACCCAACTAAGTTAGTTTTTAACGCTGTCGCTCTATCCCACCCTACTGTATGATTGTAACTGCATGCAAAGTTATAGGCAAACTTTTCTCTAAATTTTTTATCTTATTAGAATCTACTAATCTTGATTTTGTACTCCGTTATTCTAAGTGATTCTGGTTGACTACTTTGACCTATGTATTTGACCTCGCAATCATTGCAAGGGATCTGGTAAACCAGATTATTTTGTTTAATTGCATCAATAGGACCTTTTAACCTACAAAGCTTACTTCTAAGCGAGTTTGTTGGTTTAAATGCCACTTCAATCCCAAACCAGCCTTATTGAGAATTCTTCGTAATGCTTCTGAGGTGCCTTCCTTGTATGGTAACACAGTAGAGACTTTGTACTCTCCCTCCCTTTCTCTCTCTCAACCCTGTTATCATTAATACTATCAGTAGTAGAACTATTATTAATAACTCCTGTATTACTACTACTACTGGTAACATTATTATTATTATTATTAGTCCCTTGGGTTCCTAGTGGAACATAGGGCTTCAGTAGCACGCCTCCCGTGACCTCTGTTCTCTGAGATCTTTTGAACCTGGTCCCAAGACAGCCCACAAGCTCTCATTTCCTCCTCGCATGACCTCCTCCATGTCACCCTTGGACGTCCAACTCGTCGCTTCCCATGGGGATTCCACTCGAGCTACTGGCCTGACGCGTGATGTCCTCAGTCGGCCTTCTCAGTGCATGGCCAATCCATCTCCACTTCTTCCTGCATATTTGTTGCGTGATAGGTTCTTGGTTGGTTCGTTCCCAGAGTTCCTTGTTGCTTATTCTTTCTGGCCATCTGGTAACATTACTCTTCCAATTTCTTATGAATTTGTTCATAAATTTTGGTGAGTAATCACTGAGATACAAGGTATTCTTCATGTGTCTAGTTTCTTGTCGTAGATTTCCTGGCCTACTAGTTAGCTTTTTTGCCCTATCACTTAGGCATTCGACTAAGCCTACCTTGAATGAGATGGCGTGGGAGGATTTGAAGTGTAATTAGCGATTCGAATGAGAAGGTTCCCTATGGACACTAATCCGTAAACTTCCATTCTGCTTTCATTGAATCTTGCAATCCACGCTTACTAACTCACCTTCATCACGTTTTAATTCACAGGTAAATTGGATCGCATTCACTACTGAATTTATATGTTCCAACAACCTATTCATATGTTTCGAATTCAATACTGTACACGTATCATCTACATATCGGAAGCATGTCTTTTGAAGGGCCATTCATTCCCAACTGTCTATAACTATGTCTGCTTTGATAAAAGATATTTGTAATGCCATGGCGACGCCTTCACTTTATTTTATTGGGAAACTTAAAAAACTGTAGACGTTAGGCACAATCGTACTGCTAGCATGATCTCCTCAATGGATACCTTATTTCGATGGGTAAACACATTGTCATTTTTAAACTCATTTCTAACTGCCGTTAGAGTCATGTCGATTGGTATATTCGTGTAAAGGTTAGTCATATCAAAACTATCCATTTCTTCATTGTCATCTAATCTTTGTTTATCGAAACAACACTGAATAGATGCAGTAATAGAAATGAAGTTTACCTGATATGAATATGGACAATAAATGTGTGTCTGAAAAGTACGTTATCCAGTAAACGATAATGTTCCTTCACTGTGCCCTGACATTTCTAATAAACAGACTAAAATGGAATTAGAATCAAATTAGGTGTTTTGTAAAAGGATACAGTCCGTGATAAGATGCCTGAGAAGTGCCCAGTAATCATATCAAGTCAATCTATGCACCGGATAGCCATTTCCTTTGTTTTAAACCGAGCTCACATCTATTCATATCATAGAAGGGAATTACTGAAACCACCCAGAGGACTGTTGATCAGCGTGAATAAGCTACAGTTACTCATATCTGCCAATCGTATATTATGTTCAACATAGGTTATCATCCCGTATTCAAGTGTTTCTCCATTTGTTACACTTAACTTGTTCCCATGACCTCTTAACTGGCTTTGTAAGTTAAAATATCCTATTGATGCAATTAAGCAAAGCAATCTGCTTTACCAGATCCTTTGCAATGATTGCGAGGTTAAATACATAGGCCAGTCAAAGTAATAGACCAAGGTCGATTAAAATAACAGAACACAAAAGCCTAGCTAAATCGACACAAGTAGATTGTAATAAAGCAAGAAACTTTGAAAGAAAGCTCAGCTATAACTCTGCACGCAATTATACACAATTACACAATAGGGTGGGATAGAGCTACGGCTTTGAAACAAACTTAAATGGTTAGAGGGAGAGATTGATAACCGAGTCGCCCTTTATCAAATCAACACCAAATACATGCAGTAATAGAAATGGTTTTGCATCTGTCACAGAGGGAAGTACAGAAAATCAGGAATATATAAACTCAATCTTGAAATTGTGGAGTTATTTACCTGATATGATTATGGACAATAAGTTGTGTATCCGAAAAGTAGGTTATCCAGTAAATGATACTGTTCCTTCACTATGCTGTGACTGATAAACACAGTCTTTTTGACCACTCTTTGAAGGGAAACTAAATACAGTCACTTTATGATGACATTATGCTTCTGCGATTGAAAACAGCCAATTTCATACTACAAATTCAGTTGGCAAAAATATACAACTGATTAAAATCAGTAGCTAAGCAACACCAACACCACATTGCATACTTGGTCGATTCACCTCGACCGAAACTGAGCACTGAGTACCTAACATCTATACTAGTTACCCACTTATTTACTTAGTCCAGTCCTAGCAGGGATCGGTCATGGTCTGAATAGCTTGTAAGTAAATCCTATGACCCAAGGTCCAATCAGTGAAAGAACACCAGTTTCCCCATAAATGTAGACACCTCCTACACATGAGTGCCAACAAGCATGAAACCTTAGTGTCTAAGGATTCCTACCGATTGCATTTCAATGCCTAACATCAGCCAATTAATTAACTATAACTCTCTATGTATACATTACTTGTCGTATCGACTTACCTAGATTTTTTAATTGTGTACACAAAAGTTGAAGTAGATCCAGACCTTCCAAGGCGACACGATAAAATGAATTATTGATCGATTCAACAGTCAACTGTAAGATGATGTATACAAATTCAAAAAAGAATAAAAGAGTTCACGTCAATGGCAATGGATTTTTTATCGAATAAAGTGAATATGGCATAACATAAAAGCATCTGCTTCAACACTACAGTGGGCCATAAGCCTTTATCAATAGCCACATGATGAGGCCACACGACTAGTGATTAACAATGGAAAGCTCAGTGACACCTTCGAAGTGAAGACAGGTTGACAGGAAAGACAAGGTTGCCGCCTATCACACATGACCTCCCTCATTCATTGTGCTCAACTCGACTTCAATGCACTCCACTGCACTGCATCATGCAACCTACAACTGTGAGCAGTTGTGAGAAGATGGCCATACGCTGTTTGACCGATAAAAACACCCCAGAAGAATAGTTCGATCTCGCCCGCCCATCATGATTCACATCTAATGTCAAATGTCACACAAAACTCGAAGGTCTACAGGTGAAAACTAACAAGTTGGCAGAAGAGGCAGGTCAGCGAAGACACCATTTCATTCAGGTGAACGTAGAGAAGACAGAGGTGATGGAAATACCCAACCACCACCACCACCACCAACAACAACAACAACAACAACAAGCACCAATCATCATCACTATCAACGGGAGAAATGTAAAGGTAGTTGTCTCTTTCATCTACCTGCCTACCTACCTATCTACCTAGGAGGCAGCATCGTCTCAACTACAGGCAGCACAGACACACAGGAGGATTTCAAAGCCAGTCACGATCCGAAACACAGCAACATACGCCTTCATCAATCTGAAATCAGTGTGCAGGTCTACTACACTACACTGCACTCCACTGCACTCAGCATAAAAAAAAAGATATGGATTTTCAACATCAAGTCAGTCAGTGCTTCGATGTGATGGTTGAGGGACTTGGCGCCTGACGAAAAGCATTCCCAACAAACTGCTGACATACATCATCAGCAGATGACGTCTACGCTCGCTCACTCGATACTGAAGATCAGATGAGAAGGCGAGAAAGAATAAGCAAGGAGGAACACTGGCCTGAAAATGAAACAACAAAAAACCTATCACCCAACAAATATGCATTGGAAGGAAGTGGAGATGGATTGCATTAGGCATACACTAAGGAGACCATTTGGGGTCACCACGCAACAGATTAGGACCTCGAGTGGAACGCGAATGGGAAACGACGAGTTGGACGTCCGAGGTGAGGTTTACATGGAGGAGATGATGTGAGGAAGAAATGAAAGCTTGTGGGCAGTCATAGATCCAGGTTAAGAACACTGAAGAAAAGAGATTGAAATGGTGACGTGATACTGAAGCCCTATATTACATTAGGAACCCAAGGGACAGGATAATAATTAAATAATATATAATCTTACAGTGGATTTCTTCATTCCTTTAGTATTCATCTTAAGCGTATTGACTGATGATTGCTTATTGGTTTTACCTTATGGTTGACTTACCTACATCTATACGTGTTAATTCCAATCCCTTATTGGAGTCCTCGTAATATTTTATTCTGATGACTGAATATAATTAGTAGTATAATGTCTCCTCGATTTAGAATTTTGTAGGGATTTCATTAATTGATTTCAAGTTGGTATTCATCACGAGCTGACATCAGTAGGAGGACGATGCATTAGAAACCTTAGAGTACTGAAGAGGTTTTTCATCCGAGTATGAGACACTGAAGCAATGTGAACCTGTGACCCCGCCAAGGATCGAATCTGGGGTCCCCAGGTTATGAAGCCAGCAAGTTACCTTTGAGTTATCACAGCTGTCGACTGTAAACTTTTCCCGTGTACACCTTGTCATTACTCAATTTCTTGATAATTCTAGAAACGATCGATTGTTCGCTTCTACAACATTCCACTTTGATAACCTAATGTTGACCTAGTAGTCTATCACAGACCTGCTTGTTTGTTATTACTATAAATATGATTGTACAGTCAGTGAAAATGAGTCGTCAAAAAGGAAGTTTTCCCTATTTAGTTACTTTGTGTCTACTTGAATGTTTCAATGAGTTTTGTTTAGATTCCAGTCGGCAAGGCTGTACACATTCGAAAAGTAGCCCGTGAGTTATATCTATTGTGTGGTTGCAAATGATACTACTTTGTTGGCAAAACTTCGTTAGATAGAGTAGGGTTCGAACAAGTGACCCACCGGTTGAAAGTCAATTCCATAAATCAATCAGCTAGAAACTCACAAGATATGAATCGGAGGCGATGAAGGAGGCAGGAACGAGGGAGAAGGAAGGGAAGGCAGAACACACAAATTTACGTATGCATAGAGTTTTACATTGAACTCACTTGTACCAGGAGATCAAGGGTTGATGCAAAATAACTGGCTGGATGTGTGCTCAACAATAGGACAAGAACATTGATCATTTCCATTCTAGCTGTATGATTCGTATTTGAATCACTAAAATGACAAGAAAGAACATACATGATGAGAAAAACAAGAGACGGTGTTATGGTTATCCATATTAGGTTGATTTTCGTCAGTGACATCAGTCGGCGAGATAATACAAACGAAGAACGCTGTTATCTATCAAGTTGTTGAAGATGGAACTCAGTATCTCGTTACGGAGAAATTGACCTAGAGGGACGTTGAATTTTTGCAGCTCAAGGACACTCTTAATTAAAACAGCCAATCACAAAAAGGTACGTAAACAGCGTATTGTTTGACTCAGGAAAAAACGTACAACATTCGATAAAGTCTTTTAAAAAGGATAATTTTCATTCATTACTGAATTTATGTGTGTAAAAAACTTAGTATTGTACCAAGACTTCAGTATTGTGAATGTATCATCTACACAGGTAAATCAAACCTTCGGAGTGGGACTCAATGTTTCAAGGGGTATCCCTTTCATAATTGTTGAATAATGGTGATATCATAGCAATTTCTACAGTCCCATACGCTTTCCAGTAAATAATACTGTTTCACTATGTAACACATGTGATAAATAGATAAAAATGGATTTACAATCTATCATAATGCTCAAGTTTTACTCTTACGTTAATTCTACATAATGTCTGCCTTCTTTGCATGATAATAAAGTAGAGATTTTGAATTCTACCTGGATAAGACTGCCATTATTATGATTATTATTACTAACCAGTGTACTACCATTATAAGCCATATATTTCTCAGACCAAAAAACTCACCTAGAAATGAGTTTTATAGGCTGAAAGATCTTGTTAACCCAACGAAATCTCTTGGAATTATTGTTAAGTCCAAGAAATCGATCAGAGTCATCACTTAGGCTAACGGCTGACAGACACTTAGCTCGAGAACAGTAAACTTGAGAAAACCGGGCAGGTTTCGAACCTGGATGATAGATGATGCATCGATCATATTTTCATCCTCCGACAGATTTTGAAACACAGGCATACCTACCAGTCAACGGCCGATATTTACCATATTTCTTGACCTGAAGGCGGTATGCAACTCTGCCGACCGTAAACTATTGAGGCAGTGCGTCTGACTATGAGGAGAGTACAGAGAAAGTATATAACGCTAATCAAAGCTCTCTACTCGAACTCACGCAGCTGTATCATGGCTTATGGATAGTTGTCATCTGAATTGACGATAGGGATGCCCACTGTAACCGTTTCAGTATATAACTTCGTCACAGACATAACCTTAGGTATGTCTGACTTCATAGGGATTGACCTAGAGGTCATCTGGTTGACTTGGAGTACGCAGGCGACATTGTTTTGCTGAGTGAAGATGCTGACGCAACTCAGGGTCTTCTGAAAGAGTCGAGGAGAAATCTGTGTATGTTTAGTATGCAGTTTGCACCTGTCAAATGTAAGCTGATGCTACAGGATTAGTCTGCAACCATTCCAAATTCAACGATAGGGAGAGAAGTGGTGCAATGAGTTCACCACTCCACTTACTTGGGGAGTTGCATCAGCCTGAATAGGCTGGTTGATGATGAGATGTCAGCTCGGATACAGAAGACCCGCTTGGCATTTGCCAACTGGTGAGATAACCGACTTATCCATCAAACGACAAGTATAGTGCGCTGCGGTTCGTTCTGTCCTGCTATACGGTAGTGAGGAATAGCAGTTGAAAGTAGAACGCATGAAATGGTTGCACGGTTATGATCATAAGTGTCTTCGTAGCATTGCTCACGTCTGATGGGATCACCATATCAGCAGTGTTGAGGTCAAACGAAAGGTAATAGGCAAGAGAGGCAAGTCGATTGATGAGGTTGTGAATCTAACTCGACTGAGATGGCTTGGGCATGTAGTGCGAATGCCTAGACAAGTTACCGTCTACCTCGAAGTGCGATACTATGGGAAGCTGGATTAGGTTGGAAGAGGGTTCAGGGTGGCTAGACCAAGACCTGGTACTAGTCGAAGAAGTCCATGGCTATTGGTCTGAGTCGTATAGGAAGATGTAAACTACCTAGTTGGGGTCCGCAAGACGAAAAGAAACAGTGGTTGAGGACTCTTTGGTGACGTGGATGGAAATCGGTAACAATGGTACAGATGTATTTAATCCTTAACATCTTCTAAAGCTTGAATGTTTCTTTATATAAACCATTATTTTCAGACTGTAGCCATAGGGTGTGACCAACTGATGTTAGCGATTCTCGATGTTGATTGTAGGTGAGATGAAAACCTGAATTGACGTAGGATTCGAACTAACAAACTTTAAATCAATAACGATTGAAAATTTGTTAGTAAGTATAAATTTGGCTATACCAATCGACTACTTACATACACTTAGGCGGTTATTGCAATTATTTTGTGGTACATAACTTCAGTTATACAACAACACAGTGAAACATACACACATACACAGATGTGTACAAAACACAACATATTAAAACAGATGATGAGGAAATAGAACTTACGCCGATGAATTTTGTACCATCATTAATATATTATTCAAATACGAGCCTAATTGACCTGGTAAAGCCAGAGCCAAGTCACGATTAAGCATAAATGCAGCATGTCGATAGACAGGTATCACCTTGAAGTAGAAAAGATAGAGTAGACAAAAGAAACTGAAAGTTTGAATGGGGTAAGAATAACTATTTAAAATAGTAACTAACTAAGCAATTTATGAAGTTATACCTAGTACGCTGATATGAATAAAAGCTCGGAGGTAAACCTTATTTGTCGAAAGCTGGATACTTCAAATTACTCCCTTTCACAGCATTTTAATCATTAAAATAGCTATCTGTACTTTGGAGACCCATATCACTGATTTGGGCATATTAACCTCGTCAACCACGTTTATCGCTAAGCCAACTTTGATGATGAATTGGCTGATATTTAGTGGGGTCATGTGTAGGTTCATCGAAGCAAACACACACTATCTCCAGTTTTCCTGACCAGGAGCACAAACCCCAGCACCATTTAACCAGGCTGTATAGAGCTTCACGCTGACAATCTGGCAAGTAACTGTGGCAGAAGCATCTAGCTACCTTAAGAGAATAACTAAAATGTGGCAACTTGAATGGATACGTAAGTAATGTTGTCAGCTTTCACTTAAGATGAACTGGATAACTACACCCCACCGTATATAAGAGAAAGAGAGAGTGTGTGAGTGGGTGACAGAATAAAATTCATTAAGAGGGATCAATATAAAGAAGTTTAAAATCAACAGAATTGACGCTTACTCGATTAACTTTCTGAAAAGATCCCACTTTATTGCCAGCAGACTGTGATGTCTGTTTTTCTATCCCTCGATATAGTGTAGGCAGCAATGACAATAGTCGAGATTGAGCACTTGAAATTCACAATATAACAATCAAAGTAATAAGTAGTATTACGTATAAACAAGCAATGCATATAATGTGAACTGAACAAATAGGTAAATACATTTTCTTAATAACTAACAAACTTATGCAACGAAGTAGACAATAAATAAATGTACACACTTTTTAAGGTTGTATTCATTGCGGACTGTCATCGATTGAGGAACAATACATTCAAAACCTGAGAGAATGGACAGATATTTTGTCCTAGTATGGGAACGCAGTACGCACCTCTGCCCCGGTCAGGGGTCGAACCCAGGACCTTTGCGTTTCACGGAGAGCGTTAGAGTATGGGACTTATTACGATTGATGTGCTATGTAAAGTTTTCAGTTTGAAAATGGACAGCTTTTACCAGGAAACGTTCAGTTTCTTTTCTTAATGTAACAATTGAGATAATGATTATTATTATTTTTCCCTTGGGTTCCTAGTGGAAGATAGGGCTTCAGTAGCACGCCTCCATTCCACTCTCTTCTCTCCAGTCTTTTCAACCTGGCACCACGACTGCCCACAAGCTTTCATTTCTTCCTCACATTATCTCCTCCATGTCAACTTCACCTCGGAGGCCCAACTCGTCGTTTTCCCATTTGGATTCCACTTGAGGGCCTGGCCTAGCCTGCGCGTGATGTCCGCAAACGGTCTTCTCAGCGTATACCCAATCCATCTCCACTTTCTTCCACTGCATATTTGTTGGCTGATAGGTTCTTGGTTGGCTCTTTCCCAGAGTTCCTTGTTGCTTATTCTTTCTGGCCACCTGATCTCGTCTTCAGTATCGAACCAGCGTAGGCAGCTGTTGATGAATGTTTGTAGTTTGTTGGAGATGCTTTTGGTAAGGCACCAAGTCTCTCAACCATCACATTGAAGCATTGACTTGACATGTTAATGTTAAAAATCCGGGTCTGGTTCTTTGTGCTGAGTGCAGTGCAGTAGATCTTCACACCGGTTTCAAATTATTGAAAGTCTATCTTACTTTACCGATCCTGGTTCTGACATCCTCGTCTGTGCCGTCTGTAGTTTGGAACTATACTCCCTGCCTAGGTAGATGAAAGAGACTACTTCAATTAGGTTTCTCTCGTTCATGGTGATTTGTGCTTGTTGTTCATACTGTTGTTGGTCGGGTATCTTCATCACCTTTGTCTTCTCTACATTCACTTGAAATCCCGTCTTCGCTGCCTCACCTCTTCTATCAACTTGTTAGTTTTCGATCTTCGAGTAGATCTTCGAGTTTGTGTGACATTGGACATAAATCATCTGCGAAATTGAGATAATAGGCAATTAAAATTAGGGAGGATGAAAACACTCAACTGTATGGCTCGATTGCTCTTCTATATATATATGACCACATGCAGATATGAACACTACATATAGGAATACATTACATCCCTTTTCGTTGTGTTTTTTCACTTTATTTTCTATTCAATTTCAAAGCCAATTTTCACTTTCATCTGAGTTGTATTCATCTTATTACTCGATAGAACTGGAAATCTATTCAATTTTGGTTACGCTTACTTAACCATGATGTCATTTTCACTGATTCCAGAATAATATTGTGTACAACCCCCCACCCGTATTTTTATCCTCTTCCCCTAGAATGTTCATTCTATCAATGTATAAATAATTAGCATTTGAGCAGTTTTAAAATCTTCATCCATTTCGGTCAGCTAAAGCCGTTGTTACCTTCCATTTCAGTTGAAACATTCTTATCGATTTGTGAAAGTATGTTGCATAACATAGTGTAAAGCAGCTGAGGAGAATGCATGAAATACATGCATGTTAATTGTCTTTCTCGCTTTGTTCAAATTTATGAAAGGGAAGAATTGTATGAACATCCCGTTGTGTCCACCAGTTTACAAATGTGTGTAGTACATATACACAGGAAGGAGTAGTTGAGTCACACAGTCACATATGTGCATAAATGGCTTTCAAAACAAAGTGAGTGTAAAAACCGTAATAAGCGCAGGTGAGAGATGAACCTCTTCATCTATAGCTAAACATATTATAGAAACGCGTCACAAAATTAACGATACAATGCTCCGACGCGATACGATTAACGATAATAGAACAATGACTTCTCAACTCGATATTCAGTTGACACCAGAAAAAGACGATGAGATTGACCGAATCATCATAGCTGAAAACTCAGTTGTTTATATATATCCTTAAATGGCCTTGGCCACGGACAACATAATAGTATATTAGGACTGTAAAATGGACCAATAGGCGTTTGATATCCTAAACTGCGGTAAAAATAAGTAACATAGCGTAAAAAAAAGGCGCGAAAATAGGGTTTAAATTTTACAGTGGTAATATAAACATATTATAAGTTGGGTTTTCTTAGGGATTAGACATCCCTAACAGTATTCAAACAGCTTTCATGTGAAAATAGTGAGGGATGGATGTTAAGATTGGCAGAAACGACGGTCATACACAAATTGAAATCACCTTTGTATGTACAGAAACGGTTTGTTCCTACGCTACACCAACCTTGGTAAACTTTGTTTTCTTACCAAGATTAGGGTCAAGTGTGTTACTCATCTTTTTAATTTTAATCCCAAAAATTATCTTAATTATTCTATTTGTCCTCCATCAGTTTTATAAAGATTTACTTAACAAGTAACTATTTGATTAGTTTGTTTGAAATTACCATGACCCGTAGTACAACCTAAAAGTCTACGAGCGATACAAACCTGACAGACTACGAACGATATGAACCTAACGCACAGACGAATCGACTCTAACACAAATCAGAACGTCAACCACCACCACGACGACAACAACAATACCACCGACGTGCGAAGATGAGAAGAGAAAACAAACCATCGACGCAGAGCCTTTTACTGTTTCAACAACAGTCAAAACAGTTGAGAGTGATGATGACTATATATACATTTCCAAATGACCTTGACAACAAATTCATATGTAGGTAAAAGTAGTTAACAACCAATGAAAGTCCAGCCTTGAGAGTAGAGGGAAGAGAAACTAGTAACGGTGTGAAAACAGCCATGTGGGTTATTTTAAGGTTATGGGCAAAAACAGCAGGCAAAAGGTAGGCAAAATTAGGGGTATATAACGGAAATGTATTGCGTAAATACACAATATACTTGCTCAGATAAAAACTTCACCTTCAAATCACACTTTTTAAAAAACAACTTCGGGTGATGGAGACTATAAGACAACAATAAGGTATCGGTTCATGAGGTTATTACTGTTTACTATACACCAATGAAACTTCATAGAGTTTACGACTTAAGTCTTTGAGATGAGAGAAATCATTTACTTACGACTAACAAAGATCCTAGTATCCCAATTCAAGGTAATTTTATTCCTTTCTTTAGTTACTTTGCAATGCATCTTAAACCTCAGCTTACCATTTTCTAGTCTGTATTCCCAGACTACCTCATTATCTCGCTGAGAATCACTACCTGTTATCATTAATTTTTTGTGTTTGTTAAGTTATTGGCCAACTTTTTTTCTCTTCTAGATTCTCATGGTCATCGCAAAACTCTCAATATTCTACGCACTCCCCTCTGCAACAGTGTACCTATAGATTACACAAAAACTGACCGAACGATGGTCATTACAATTTCGCGGATTTCACTTTTATTGTCTAGCTGAATAACTAGTTGAACGGTCAAAAGTATAGCAGATACATCAACGTGGAACCTTATGCAGAAAAGTGAATCACCTCGTGTTGTCATACTTCAGAACAATACGCAAACATTTTGAGTATGATAGAGAATGAATACATTTGCGATACTGTGACTGGTTTTCAGTTTCACACCATCACCTCATAGACCCACTGGAGAAGACTACACTTTTCAATACGGGTCATAATAAGAGTCAACAACTTTAGAGGTTAGTGTTAAATTTTGAAATAGCCATCCTTAACTTCCTTTTAATTCTTCTTCTGTTAACAGGGTGGGTAGAGATGAGAGGTTACTCAGGATGCCTAACACAGTAGAACAGTATCCATAGGACTTATTGTTATATCCCCAACATCGGGGTCCATCGACAATTGTCAGGTAATTTTTGAAGATCTACAACATTGATCCAATGAAGTATCAGAAATAAAACACACCGATGGATCCAAACTTTAAAGTTTTGGACAGTGAAGTGTTCTGCCCTGTTTGGCGTTGGGCTTAGACTTTGCAAACTGTAATATCAAATCGACAGTGTTAACTTTCTCTTGTTCTCGTTTACCCTCTAAGACATTGTCTTTGTATTCCTTTTTACGTTTTCAGTTTTATGCTACTTAGTATTATTGAGTAGTATAGTTGATATTTCCTCATAATGTTACTTCATCCGTAGTCTTGACCGTTCATTCTACTCAATTGTATCCTGTTCACCATTTAACGTCCCTAGATTTTAGTACTTGGATAATTCATGATGGTGTTGTAATTTCTTGGTTGAATATGTGTGCATATTGTGTCTTTATCTCATTGAGAGAACTCACGCGCATCCTACAAATTCTCTTCTGCTCGCTTGGATACAGCCTTGCTGCTTTTACTATTGACGCACTCTCTGTGAAGTGCTTTGATAGCGATAAACCCGCAGATACCTCACGATTCAAGACTTGTATTTTATGAGTCATTCTTTTTTTTTAATGAATATAGAACCGTATTTCAGACAATTCCAGTGTTTTGGATTTTACGCGTAACTCGAGCGTTTGATTGATATATTATTGGGAATTCACTTGTTCACTTTGGTTCCGAATTTCTTGAGAAGAAATTCTTAGACAGTGTAGTTGAAAAAGGCTAGAAATAGTACTTTTCTGTTTTGTATCGTTAGCGATGTTCAATAGTCAAGAAGTTCAAGAAATTTTGGAGGATATAATGTTGGTAAACACACGAGAGTAACACACAGTAGGGAGAAGGAACCTATGTAAAGGGGATGGATTATGACTAAAAAGGTTTTGTGAACTGAGTGGAGGATATTGCCTGACTGCTTACATAGAGACTATGGAAAATGAGAAACAAAGTTAATTTCAACAGAATATCCAAACAAAATACTCATGAAAAAGAAGAGAAGATGAAGTGAAACTTGGGAAATTATCATATTGATTACCTGTTAGGATCTTGTAATTGTACTTTCAATTCTTCCAATGTTGCTTCTGATACAAATAATGCAGTTTCATAGGATCTTGGACTATTCTGGTTAGCAACAGATCCACTAGTTAAATTTGTATTCAAATTGATCGTTGTCAATCGGGTCTGACGAAGTAATGCACTAAGGCATGAGAAAACAGCCAATCGTACAAATTCTTTGCGTTCTGAAGACAAAAGGAAAGAAAAAACGAATCTCATTTTTACAATAACTAAATAGATGTCATCAAATCTCTTAGAACTAAGTGTAGCTTTGACTTTCAACTAATGGTCTGCGAGTTCGAACCCAACATACCACTGACAGATTTGCGCAGCCAGGTAGTATCATCAGACCTCACAACATATAAGAGTGGTTCATTTCTTAGTGCATAGTTGATGAGAAAGTTTAATGTATGCGAGAGGGTCAACAAAGCTACTCAGCTGTCAAGACAGAAGCAGAACTAAGCTACCATACATTTGACGATGTGGTTTGCTATTAATTTAACCAGTTGACTCTAAAGCAGTGGGTCCTAAGTTTGAATTCCACTCTATGCACTTTGGCCCCAGCAACTGGATAGTAAAGTAAGCCTTCACAAGACAGGTGTAGCTTACAGCATAATACATAAACACCCCTACGGGGTTGGGCTGCAGTAATTCTTCTATTAATTTAATTAAACAGATTTATGATGAAAATTCAGAGCCTAACTTAATGTATCCAAAATGGTTTATAATAGCAGTCAGTTGTGCAGGTAGAGATAGGTGGGGGGGGGGGGGGGGGTATTAGAACTCTAAATCCATTGCTTGAAATTAAAAGCTTTTAGTCAATGAGTCAGAGTTGTACTCTCTTTGTGGAAATATAACTCAAAAGTAAACTTCCCTAATAGTGTACATAAATTCCTCTCAGAGTTGGTTATGCAATGAAGAGTATCTAGAAGTGATTGAAAACTAAGCCTTCTTCACAATTAAGCCAATTTCTGACTACTAGTATACAAAATGATACAATAATTTTCCCCCTTGGGTTCCTAGTGGAACATAGGGCTTCAGTACTACGTCTCTATTGCACTCTGTTCTCTGCAGTCTTTTTGAACCTGCTACCACGACTGCCCATAAGCTTTCATTTCTTCCTCACATTATCTCCTCCATGTCAACCTCACCTCGGATGCTCAACTCGTCTTTTCCCCCATGGATTCCACTCGCTTGGTTAACTAGTTCACTAGTTACTAGCCGGTCCTAAGCCCACATTAAGATGGAAGGTTGGGTATAGGGCTAGCAACTCTACCCCATAAAACCAATCCCATCGCTAAAGAAACTTCAAAGCACAAAGAAATTATAAAAATAAAATGATCCAAACTGGAGACTTATTCAAGGCTCTAAATGCACTGGATAAACATTTTCTTTGGTGCAAAACACCTTGGAAGAGGAATCTTGCAATTTTAGACAGGTGATTACTGATGAAAGAAGAAGAAGAAGGCAAAGAAAAAGCAAAAACAAGTCATGCCATGGAAAAGATATTGATCACCAACTCAAAGGATACTAACAATAGTGCACAATGATAAATAGTATGAAAGCTGGCATGAAAGAATTATCCATGTACACTTAGATTTTCTACAAAAGTTCCTTCAACTGCTTCTAGTCACTCACATCAATCAACATATAACTAGTAGATGAAGAATTTTAAATCAACCCATATGTAGGGGGGGAGGTTAGACAGCGAAATCGTGGCTAACTGGTAAAACGGTTTCTCCTGAGACACATTACTTTTGTGATCGATCCTATTACATCATTTAATTAGGATGGCTCCATTTAATGCATAAAAGTGTTACATTGAACAGAAAGAATTTTCTTGAAAATAATTTCCTATTGAACACTGAACTGCCATTCACAACAAACAATAACTCGATGGTCAGTTATTAGTTGCTTTGCATATGGCTAACTAGCTGCTATCAAATTGCATCCATAGTTTACTGAGGTTGGATTTTAGCTTTTTCAGTGATTCAATAATGACCTGGGATTACTAAGTCCTCAGTTCTACTTCACGTGGTGATGAGGTTGTACACACACACACACACACACACACACACCATTAAGGCAACATCATCTTTTGACAATTAGCCTCAATAGATGAAGAACAGTATTTCATTATAAGTGAATAAAAAACATGGAAGAATAAACGAATTCTTGAAAATCCGTATACTACTAGCACCCTTTAGGAATATAAACCTTAACAACAATAAAAGCGTAAATACAACAATGTCTTGAATGACTTATACTTTCAAAAAGAACCTTCATGATATTGCATCAATCCTGTGACTATAACAAACTAATCACAGGAGACTTTTTGGTTCACCTAGAATACACAAATGACATAGTCCTATTACACAAAGACGCTAACAAGATACAATGTCTTCTGGACACCTTTAATGGCAATTTGAGAGTGTTCACGATAATTTTTTCTCCATCCAAGTGCAAATTGTTGTTCGAGGACTCGTTTTCAACGGTGAATGAGTGTGTTGAACACTTCACCTACCTAGAAAGTCGGATCAGCCGCGGTGCGTTGGTCAATGGTCGATGAAATCTCTGTATGGATATAAAAGGCTCGGTTGGCTTTCGCCAAATTACGCCATCTGCGGAGCCACCACGATATCCGATTGCCGGTTAAGGGTCGAATGTACTGTGCTGCAATCTGCTTTGTCCTACTCTAAGGCTGCGAAACATGACCATTAAAGGTAGAAGACATGAGAAAGCTTCAGGTGCTAGACCACCACTGCCTTCGTAGCATAGGTCGTCTTTCGTGGTGTCTTAGGGAGGAGAGGTTAGTCAGTTGTGAACCTTCATCGACTGAGATGGCTGGTTGGGACATGTGTTACGTATGCCTAGTCGCCATCTGCCTCGTCACACAATGTTGATGAAGTAGGTTCAGGTTTGAAAAAGGCTCTGAGCAGCCAGACTAAAACATGGCATCAATGTATGAAGTCTTTGACTATTGGTTTGAGGTATGTAGGGTGATGCAGACTGGCCGGTTGGGGTCCGTGGGATAAGGGAAACCAGTGGTTCGAGACTGACTCTAGGTGATCATATGGCTGAGGACCGATGTTAATGGCACAGATTTAGACACACATGATCCTCATCTTAACGACGCTATACCGAATCTCACCATTTCCTCATTCTTCCTTTCTCTCTTTTAGTACTTTTTATTTCTTCTGACCGAATTTTCCTTTCTTCATCTTCCACTTGACTGCCTTTTTATTTGATGTATTGATGTGAGGTGTGGCAAATCGGACTGTTACACAGTAATGCCTGGTCCTATGTTGGATTTTGATGATGAATGGACTAGTAACCATGAAGAAAGAGATTATATTTCGATGTTACTTTAACCAGTAGATATTTCTATCAACTGTGCTATAAGTGGAAATGTATCAAATCGGAATGCACTCAACCAACCAACCTTGGACAGATTCGCGTAGTAGGCAGCAATGAATTACAACTATTATATGAAGGTTAGTGATACTACCTGGATGTTCAAACTACCTCAGAAAATGAAACGGTACTCTCATTTAAACTAGGGAGATAATCATTCTAATAGAATCGACTAGAATTATAATGTTTCTCGTTTATATTACAATTGGTAATACCTTTCGATAAGTGAAGTAGTGCTCATAATCGAGTCGATTTAGTCATGCAAAGATACTACCACAGATTAAGTTTTTTTTTTTTTCATATTGCCGTTCTCAACCATGCACATTCAAACAATCAGGGTTTATTAAGGTAAGAAAAATAAGCGTAAAAATGTAACAAATATAACAAACCATTAAATTGTTTTATCAGTAAAGGCGCGATAGACACATAGAAGTCAGCAGTCATTTCATTAAAAACCAAAATAATTGCCTCCAAAGCACGTGCTGCAGCACGTCTAACCTTCCAGGATAAATCTTCATCATCTGAATATTCACCATCTTCATCTTCATCTTCATAGAAATCACCATCATTATTATCAGTACCCATTCTAGAAAAAAACAAAAAAGTCAGACACAAAAGGGGGAATTCAACAATATAATCTTCCTTTTCAGTGAGTAAATAAATAAACAAATAACAATAATAATAATAATAATGACAATATAGTATTCAATCGGATACATGTGTTTATACATTAAGCTCTACCTGGTTGTCCAGATCGTAGTAGGTGAAGCAGGTTTCGAACTAGGAATCCACTGCTTAAAAGTCAAGTTTTTAAGCCAATGAGTTATATCACCACACTCTCCCTACATAAAAGTATTTTATCGACCAACAAAAAAGTATTTATACTGGGTGATGAGTAAATGTGAAATGAAAATTTTTGGACTGCGATTGGATTCAAGCCAGCGACTATCGAGGTTTCTGGCCCGACGCTCTACAAAGTGAACTACGAAATCCTACTGCTGATCAGATTTTTACTTTACTTCAATCACCATGGGTTTTGCCCGACTCCCATGTGAGTTCGTGATGTGTTACTACTGCTTTGTCGTATTTACACTAGCTGCCTAGTCAGAACTTCTCATCCAATTCCAAATCTAACCGAAATAGAAAAGGGGAGCACTGATAACCCAGTGAGCATTGGTTAGAATCCACCCTCAGTCCAAAAATCTTCATTTCACATTCAATCATCACCCAGCATAAATACTGACTAGTCCGCGAAACCAACGTATATCTCAGAAAGTCAAATGATAATATTTTAAAGAGTATTTGACGAAAATATTTGAGTAATTGGTTTAACTGCATAAAATATAATTAAGGTTAGTCAATCAGATTGTTTACAGTTAATTGTTACTCATCATGTAAGTGAAGCTGTCATGCTAAGAAAACGCATAGTTCAAGAGAAAATCATGGGTACTTCATTTAGGCAAGCTGGATTCGAAGTTACTCATTAATCCGTATAGTGTAACTGCATGCTACGATCCAACGCTATAGATAAAATAATACAATGCTCCGAGACGATAGGATTAGCGATAGAACAATGACGCCCTCAACTCGATATTTAGCTGACACCAGAAAAAGACGATGGGATTGAAAGTTTATTCACTCCAACCGAATAATAATAGGTGTAAAATGGACCAATCAGCGTTTAGTAACTTAAACTACGGTAAAAATAAGTAACATGGGATAGCACAAAAGGGGAGCGAAAATAAGGCTTAAATGCTACAGTGATAATATAAACATATTATAAGTTGGTTTCTCTTAGGGATTAGCCATGTCTAACACTGCAGTTACTGTGTAACATAATCTAAATTGCTACACTCTACCACATCAAAGCAAAAAAGATAACAAGATGAAATCAAAATGAATTGATCAGAAGTCATAGAAAACTATAGAACAAAGACAGGAGTTAAGGTAAATAACTAAATAATTGATATAACAATCAGAATAAACAGAGGCTTGAAAGCAATCCAATTCACCTATGACTTGCAAATTGATGAAAATGGGTGTTAGCAATATTGAATGACAAGATTAAACAAAAACAAGACAGAGGCTTAGAGACTAGTGTCGTCTATAGGAAACCTTCTCATTCTAATCGCTACTTAGGCTTCAAATTATCTCACCTCATCACAGTCAAAGTAGGTTTGGTTAGATGTCTAAGTAATAGGGTATAAGAAAAAAAAGCTCACTAGTAGGACAGAAAATCTGAGACAAGAATACCTTGAAACTCAATAATAACTCACCAAAATTGATCAATAAATTCATAAGAAATCGAAAGAAAAATATTAGCGGTAGTAGTAACATATAGGTATTATTAGTAGTAATAACGGTGGTAATATTGATGACAGGGTTAAGAGAAATTTCAGCAAACATTTACTCTTTCATGGTCAGATATAGGTAACTGTATTGATGATTCTGATGTCTATGATATTTCGAGTTTAGTTGTAGGATGGTGAACTTTCTCTTGTTTCCAGCTGATAAAGAGATATCATCCTGCGAACTGACTCACACCTTTCCGTCCAGTGTTAGGGTTTCGAAGTGAAGAAACCTAGTGAACCTGAGTAATGGCGAAACTACTCAGATGTTTATAAATACTCTGTGATACCCTAACCTGCTTGATCGGGCACAGGAAGAGTGTGTAAATGTATGAAAGGTATATTGAAGGTGTGTGATCTTCCCGAGTAGGACTGAGTTGACCGGGGTGTTTGCCTGTGTTCCTGGTATGGAGTCGCAAGTTAATGATGAGGTCTACCATGGTGACTGCGATGAAGCTGTTTTCATCCCTTCTGGGCCTTCACAAACAGTCCCCGATTGATTCCTGAACTTGTCAGTTGTCTGCTACCACTATGCAGGCAGTAAGCGCTAAAATGTCTGGGTGATACCTTAATAACTGAGGTAAGAGAGACAAGTTGGCGTTAGTCAGGCTATGCGTGTGAGATAGGCCAGGCTGGGCACTTGATTCTCTCCCTGCTGAGGAGATACAGGTAGATAACCGCGACTTTGGGTCCTTCTCCACTAATAACAATAAATTTGGTTTATTCCACACCATAGTTATGTTTACAGTACAGAATTCTCAGCATGTGCTATTTAATCAATTTACCCATAGTACAACATTTTTGAAACATTCACGATGGTTCTGTTTGACTGTATACAATAAAGAATAACAGGATTATTGAAATGTTTAATGACTTCAAGGATATGATAACTATTCGCTATTACACAGCTGATTGATAAGACTATAGTCTAACAAGAGTTTCCTCACACAATACACAAGCTAAATAAGGTGGTATGGTTGAACTTTTGTATGTGGTTGTACGCGCATAGAGTTTAATATATCTGCTTCTTGTCTTCCCAAACGACAGACATGCAGAGAGGTGCAGATGCAGAGGATGCTTATCATCAGTAGTTTACAAGAGTTCACATGCCTATCCACGACTGCATTTATAAGCTTGGTTATGAGGTATGCTACTTGCTCCTACTGACAGTCTTCAAAATCCTACCCAATACAACGTAGTCTTTTTTCTGGAGTCCAAAAAACGTAAGAGTAGAGGCTGAGTTATACCAGACAATCTGAGTTTCTTAATATAAAATGTTCAAAGAAGGATTTTTCTAGAAATCAGTAAGATATAAGGGGACCAAGAAAGATAAGAAAACCACAAACTAAGATGGATCATGCTTGTTACATTCGCTACAATAGATTCATCTATAAAACAAGTCATAGAACTGAAGCTTAAGATATTTGGAAGGATTGAGTGTGAGGCCATTTACGGAAGATCAGCAACCAATTTCCTTTAAGAGAAGTAGTTAAACTGAGAACAATCAGAAGGGGAGATGATCGGCATGGATACTGTCAAGTCATCAGCATACATAACAAAATTAGCTTTAATTGAAGTTGGTAAGTCATGCAAAAAGAACGAGAAAAGGAAAGGAAAAACAACAGCACCTTGAGGCACATCGGCTTCACTCAACAGTCAATTGAAGCTTTTCCATTTATATAGAGTGTACTGTCTTCTCTGATATAAAAAAATGAATCAAACCAGTTTATAATCCAGGACTCAATGTAAGTACTAGCAAGCTTGTTTAATAAGAGGGGTCTAGGGACAGAGTCAAAGGCAGAAGTATAATGCATGAAGGCAGATCTAACATAATAACGTTACAAGTGCGTGGTCTGATGTGACGAGCCAGAAGATGGGCATAAGCTGGACCGATGAAAAGACCCTAAAAGATTTAGATTTTGCCCATCATGATTTGTGTCTGTCTTGTCGCACAAACTAGAAGATCTACAGGCAAAAACCAACAAGTTGACAGAAGAGACATTGAAGGCAGGACTTCAAGTGAACGTAGAGAAGACAGAGGTGATGGAAATACCCGACCAACAACAACAACAACAACAAGCACCAATCATCATCACCATCAACGGGAGAAATGTAAAAGTAGTTGTCTCTTTCACCTACTTGCCTACCTACCTAGGAGGCAGCATCGTCTCAACTACAGGCAGCACAGACACACAGGAGGATGTCAAAGCCAGCCATGATCCGAAACACAGCAACATACGCCTTCATCAATCTGAAATCAGTGTGCAGGTCTACTACACTGAACTGCACTGCATTGCACTGCACTGCACTGCACTCACCATAAAGAACAAGATATGGATTTTCAACACCAATTCAATCAAGTCAGTCAGTGCTTCGATGTGATGGTTGAGAGACTTGGCGCCTTACGAAAAGCATTCCCAACAAACTGCAGACATACATCATCAACAGATGACGCCTATGCTCGCTCACTCGATACTGAAGATCAGATGAGAAGGCGAGAAAGAATAAGCAAGGAGGAACTCTGGCTTGACAATAAAACAACAGACAACCTATCGCCGAACGAATATGCAGAAGGAGAAAGTGGAGAAGGATTGGATTGGACATACACTAAGGAGACCATTTGGGGGACATCGCGCACCAGGCCAGGACCAAATGGGAAACGATGAGTTGGTGAGGATGAGACATGGAGGAGATCATGTGAGGAAGAAATGAAAGCTTGTAGGCAGTAGTGGACACAGGTTGAAAAGACTGCAGAGAACAGAGTGCAATGGCGACGTGTTACTGAAGCCCTATGTTCCACTAGGAACCCAAGGGACAAATAATAATAAGTAATGATGTTAATCCGCGTAAACACTTACTGATCATCGCCATCCTCTTCAAGACCATAATCGTAGTTCGGATCATACTGTAAACGTTCACACAGGAGACTGATAAGCTATTAAGAGCAGAGAGAAAAAGAGAAAAGGTTTTACTTGTACTTAGATGCATGCTGAGGGTGAGATAGACAACAATTAGAGGCGTCTATAAAAGATAATCAATGCAAACCATTAAACAGATATCAATTCGAAACAGATAAATCAAAGTATTTTCTTTCTATGCACACTCGAGATGGAGAGAGAGAGAGAGAGGGAGGGAGAGGGAGAAGGAGAGAGGGGGAGAGGGTGGGAGAGAGACTTAAATCCGAATGGAGTAGTACTAACTAAAGGTTTGTAACATTTAATTAATTATTTGATCGGATTTGCAAATCACAATGATCCAACAAGATATGCCTACAGGAGCACTTGATCCCTCGAGGCCCTTACCATAGCAGACAGATTAATGGGATAGTGGTAAGACAAAAAAGTAGTTACCACTATCTATGATGCAAATTACTAGACTATGACAGAGGTTTGGAGACGAAGTCGTCCTGCTCACTGAGTAGGGTCATGACAGTGGTAAAGTGTTTCCCGCGGATGGTCGGTGGTGTCACAGTGATGCTGCCTCATCTCTGGAAAGGAGGAGTTAGAAAAATTCGGTCATAAAAATAGCACACTCCCTTCTTACTCTGGGGCATACCGGTGCTGGCGGTATAAGTTCATAGATTCTAAGAAGGCGTATGTAGCTGGCCTCAAGTAGATGTTCTTTGGGTTGTGCGGTCACTTTTCTCATTTACCTCAAGAAGAAATAGCCTTCCACGGTGTTAGTGGTCAAGGGTTGTGGACTGCCTTACACAACTCTGTCAGCACTCAAGTTCCCTCAAATATTCATAAGGTAAAGTATATAAAAAGTAGGATTAACATTCTGCTGGAGTATACGAAAGCTCTACTCACTCAGACAGTAAAATCTCACAACCTCCGACCCCCTCAGATCATATCCTCTTTAGGTATTCCACTGAAATGATGATAATAAGGCGGTTGCGGTCACACATACACAAGCCTCATATATTTTCTTTTTCTCTCTCCAACAATCATCTTTCACATCCATATAATAATAATAACAACAACACAAAGTGCCATGTCACATAATATACTCGTTCTTTAAAAGACAAACCAAGATTCTCATATGTGTCATACGTGGCATGAGATCGTAGAAGTCAAGCAAGCCCTTCATATCCGTTATAAAGATTTCATATTTCACGAATGTTATTACTGTCTAAATTCTTCAAAGAAGCTCAAAATCCCTGAAAATATTGACAACTAATCACCACATGCCAAATTTTCGAGAAAAGTTAAATGATCACTAGTGTTAATATCAAAATTGGTTGATAAGACTCAAACCCTAGTAAATGATATACTAGGAAGATATAGAAATAATCAAGGCCATTAACATTCTTTCCTTTCGTTCTGTTGCTCTGATAGTTTTCAAGAAACCAAGGATGAAATTCAAAAGATGTTACTGAAGAGTTTTCAACAATTGCAGTTGCCCTTTTCATGCAATTCGGTGAATATTCAACATGTTCGGCCTCTTCCTTCTCTTTTGTTAACCAAAGTATAGACATGGTAATCTGAGCACAAAATGAGCTATAGTTTGTTTGTTCACGTTAGTAACTTTCAACCGATAAGTCATAATTTTGAAATTTGTTTTATTTACCATGATTTAAACAGTCCAGTAGGATCATTATTCTTCAACAGAAAGGTCGAGTGTACTGCACAGTAGTTTGTTTTACTCGTTAAAAAAGGAGGAAATGAAATTTAAGGTGTTCGTTCATTGTTGTCTTCATAGAATAGACTATGCCCTGGAACCATCATGTGAGTAACACACAAGTCAGGTAGATTTTTATATAGGAGAGAGTAAAGTCATTAATGATGGATTGTGGCTAGCAGTGGAATCCAGGATGAGCATTTCGTCCTATTTGGGACTCATCAACTGGATGTACCTGCTTTCCAGTGAGTGATGTTGTTCCCATCGGGATAGAGACCGATCAATTCGGTCCAAGCAACGACGGTATCATATAAAAACAATTATACTGAGAGTAAAGTCAGTTAATGAGCTTGTAAACTTTCAACACGTCAGATGGTTGAGACAAATTTTATGAATGTCTAATCACCATCTGGTACATTTTATATTGTTAAATGAAGTAAGTTTAGATAGGAAAAGGTTAAAGGCATCCAAAATTGAACAAGGCATCAGTGTCCATAAAGTTTTTGACTGTTGACCTGACCTATGTGGGTAAATGTAGACACACACACCTCAGTCTCAGTTTGTATGACAACTGAAGTAGCTGTTTGAGGATTCTAAACGCGATATAATTTATAATCGATCTCGGAGGAGCAGACGCCTCCATACATTTCCATGCTTTTCGTCATACTGACATGCAGTATTGTTGAATCCCTGCTTCTTCTCTTTTTACGACTTTCAATCACTTTTAATTACTTTTCTCCATGTTTCTCGATCTTTCATTTGTCTGTTTACTACTTTTACTTGCTTATATGAGTGTAGTGTGGTAACTTAGACTGTTATGCAGTGATACCAGGTTCCATGTTGACACTGAATGACTTACTATTGACCTTCGACCTTTATCAAGCAATGAACAAATATTTTGTATATGTTTGAGTTTAAGTAATTCAAACGTACTCAAGGTTCAAGAATGATTGTTTCCTAAAGTACTGTGAAAGATTAAGCAATCTGCGAATATCCAAGCTTTAGAGGACGTCAAGGAGTGAATACATATGCGTCACTGTCACCAAGGGTCCTCAATCACTGATTTCCTTTGTCTCGGGCTCCCAACCACCTAGTTAGTCTACATTACCCCCACACGACTCAGACCAACAGTCGCAGACTTCGACTGGTGAACATTTTAGTCTCGCCACCCTAAACCCTCTCCCAACCTAATCCAGCTCCCCCTAGCATGGCAGGTCGAGGTAGGCGGTGGTTTGGCTCGTCATGCGCAGTACATATCCAAGGATTCTCAGTCAGATAAGGTCCACAACCTCATCAATCGACTTGGGTGCCTTGCCTAGTAACCTGTCATTTACCAATACGTGAAACAGTGAGGCAGAAAAAGATGAAACAATCAGTAGGACTCAATAGCCTAGATGAAAAAGTAATACAGTAATAACTGTGTCCTATGGCTCATTGCCTAGTGCACGGATGTGCACAAGGTAGCCAAGTCCCTTTCGTTTTATGTGGTTTACTTCAGGGTACAAAACAAAACATCAAAGCTTACTTCAGGAAGTGCAGGTGAAATCGCTCTAGGACAGCGTCGAATAAGTGTTTCCAACACTTGAATAACCAGTTCTATGATATCATCCTGTTCAGCATTGTCTGTGACTGGACTGCATGCAATCGATATCAACAGTCGAAGGACAGGAGCAATGCAATGAGGTGCACGCTGAAGTTGACGACTATTATATAGAAAAATACACATAGATAGATAAATTTTAAAAAACATACGATATTCTGTTCAAAGAAGAATATAACAGTATAACATAATAACACGATCTAGCGACCATACTACCTGCCCGGTTAAACCTCGGTAGACAAAGTAGGTTTTTGAAACTTTGACCTAATGGTTCAAATTACAGTTCCTTAGTGGCCTAGTAGTGGACAACACTTTGATTTTTCAAGCGATGGGTACTGGGATCAAATCTCAGTGGAAACAACATCACTCACTGTGGTACAAGTATATCCAGATGGCAAGGGATTCCCAAATAGGAAGAAATGCGCGTCGTACATTCCGCTGTGGGTCACCACCAAGTATCATTATACGTCACACAATAGGTGTGACATACTGCCTACTGTATGAATGTGAACAAGGTTGCTGTGTGGGTTCCGATTCCTTTAGATGCCAAAGCGTTACCCACTTGGCCAGTGACGCATGAGTGATACGCAGCCAACTTAAGTTCCGTCATGACTGTAGACACATTATTTTAAAGAGTAGCGAAGGCCAGAGGACGAGATGCAGTTTCTCGATAATTGGTTGCAAACATTCGACCATTATTTTCCAGGAAAAACTGTATATCCTGATACCCTAGGCATAATAACTCCAACTTTTTCACGTTTTACAAACTATTTGCTCATCTTGACATCATGATATTGTAACTCGTAGTGATATAACACAATCCCCAATGTTCAACATCATTACAATCAGTCGAACATCCAAAATACTCACAAGAAAGGTATTTATGAAATAAATCATAGAAGAAACTTGTGGTAAATTATGTCGGTTCACGTTGTCTATCCTAAATACGATTATTCAAACACTTAAGTCATTCAACTGATGGTTTCGAAGTGATATCACTCGGAGGCATTGAAAACTTAACAGAACTGAATACCCATGTCGTTATGGTTTCACATTTTTTTATTATTTCTGTCAATTCATGACAGAATGTGATCATCATCAAAACCTGTCGAAGAGTATCTTTCATCAAATCTGACTTAGTCAATTCCACAAGATATGACTTCACATTAGAACTTGAAGAAATCCATCTCGAACCAAGTTACTAATGAGCACTGGATGGTATTTCAACTAATGCTTTGATTAATTCTAATGTAGTTCTCACTAGGGATCAGTGTCCACTACAAAACTGGGAGCACTGGATAACTGTTTCGCCTTAGTATAAGATTCCTCAGCATCCTCAGTGTGTACTACACTCAAAGTCCCCTAGTTTTATTCATTTGTAACAATGGTATATTAATAATATTACAGTTGCCTGACGATCACCTCAGAGCTCTCTCTCCAGTTGACTTTTACTCCCCGTTCTTATTTACATCGTCAAATTACGTCGGCTCAGTGGCTTAGGGAGATTATTATCAACGAGTCGGTCATCGCTGCAAAACCCGCTCCACCTACCGAGATGGTTTGAGCAGGCACGTACCAATTCTCAGCATGTAATAGTCCAACTAATTTATTCCCTGTACAATATCTTCAAGCGAAATAATCATTGGATTTGAATAATGTTAACAACCAGTACCAAAAATCTGTAATTCGACATAGTTATCCAAAGAATAGTAATCTGATATGTTTCTTTACATTTATAATCCCATCTCTTAACGGTGTATCGTTTAAGGCAGGCAGGCAGGCAGGCAGGCAAATAGATCAGCTTAATGCATGAATATGCACAAACAAGGTGGCTGAAAATGTTTCGCTTCATTTCACGCTGTCACATTTCATTCATCTGTTAAAATACCCACCTCATTTTTGCTTCTCATTCATTTGTATAAAGCTTGGTAGTATCCATTTATGCAAGTATGCAGCATATTTATATAAAGTAAGATTAACGTAGTAGTAGCTGTAGTAGTAGTAGTAGTCACAAAAAGCAGACCACAAAATGTAATGATTAAACAATTGGGAAGAGTTGTAAAACTTACGAAACAACATTGAAACATTGTAGTAGAGTTTTGATAACATCAATAGACGGTGGTTGTTTCAATTGTTCCAATAGATGAGAACGTTGAAATAATGTATTTTCAGTAATTAATTTCGATAAATGATCATCAATATTTTGTAATGATTGTGATGTTGAAAATGAATTCATTTGTAAACGGAATAATAAAAAGTTAACTAATGAATTGAAATATTTTTGTGGTATAATCCATGATAGGAAACCTATAGCTTGAATAGCTCGTTTACGTAGTGTAGTTTGTGGACAACCAAGACAAGTGATCATACAATCAAGTAAATCTGGATAATAATTGGTCAGTAGATTACCAAAACTATACAAAAGAGAGGGAAGGAGGATGGGAAAAAAGTATAAATAATAAAAAGAAAAGAGATTAAATAAATTATAATAATATAATTGTCTTTATATGATACCATCGTTGCTTGAACCAAATTGATCGATCGTACAAGAAGTGGTTATCGTGGTTCGGTGGTCTAGTGGATAACGCCATGGCGTTTGAAGCGATCGCTCCCGAGTTCAGATCCTGGTGGGAACAACACCATTCACTGGGAAGCAGGTACATCCAGTTGATGAGTCCTAAATAGGACGAAATGAGCATCCTGGATTCCATTGCTAGCTACGATCCATCATTAAATAAATTATAATTATAATAAAAGCGACTGTATGCATACCCTCTGGAGCACGTTTAAACAGATGCATAAACCAAGTTACAGTGTAAATCATATATTCATCCTACAAGAATTAGCCGACTTCCTTCTCTCATTCGCATTCGCCGTGAAACCTGAAGGTCCTGAGATTAATCCCTAGCCGGGTCGTATGTGCGTACTGCTGAGTCCCATACTAGTTGGACGAAACAGCTGTCCAGTGCTCCCAGATTTTCAATGGTTCCCCAACTGATGTCAGTCCCAGATGAATACTATTTCAACATATTTGTAAAATATTAACCAGTCAAGGTAATTTGTGGGACAACAACAACAACCAGGAATACGGACTGTAAAAATGACACGACAATTTAAAAGAGTGTTCAGACAGATAGACAGACAATGTAGGGTCAAAGAGTGAAAAACAAAAATGACAATAAGGTTGTGCAATACTGGAGGTTGAAGGCGGTAAATAAATAAGAGTTGGATGTGAAACGGGTGACGAAATAATATAAAATAAAAAGGAGAAGTACATTTTAAGATTCATAAGTAAGGTCATTCATTAAGTTCTCCCTGCTCAACGCAGGGATAAAGGCTTATTCGAATTCCTATAGCCTCAGCTACATGTAAAAGGTGGACTCGAACTCCATCTGAAAGGTTCGATGGTACGCAGTAAATCACTTTAATTGCTTTCATCTTGTCTACTCTGTGGTCAGTATCAACTAGATGCGACAAAATAGAACTTCTTATAGATTTAACCTGTGCTTTACCCAGCCACGAAGGTAGGTGTTCAGCAATACGTTGGTTAAGTTGTCTAGTCATACGCCCGACATAACTGTCTACCTCCACAGGAGCAATTAAACTGGTAAATACACATGGAAATGGCGAAACTAGGTAACTTGTCCTTCGTTTAGCACGAAACAAATCTTCGATCAGAAAACAAAAGACAGACGTTAGCTACATAAAAACTTCTTTTAATGGTTCTCGACAGTCTGTGGAATAGAATTTCACTAAGTATATCCTTATTAAATTGTAGCTTTATGAATAGTCGGTTGTGTTTTTTTCTTGAGCAGTTGCTGTTTCATTAATGAATTCGAAATCCACTCTAACCCATTCTGTAGAGTGTCATCTGAGCAGATTTTCCTTGCCTTAGTTGTCAAGCATTTCAATAGATTTCTTTTATATAGTTGTACAGGAGTGAAACTAAGGGAGTGTATGTATTGACATGCTGATTTGTTTTTTCTGTAGATGCTTTTATGAAGTGATCCATCTCCTTGTCTGCTTAATAGAACAATCAAAGAAATTTAGCCTACTGTCTCATGTTCTTCTTCACAAGTGAAGGTGAGATTAAGTATCTGTAACACTGAGAAATAGTGTACATATTCCTAATTCTATTTCCTTCTTTATAGTACGGGTAGCAGAATTTGCAATATACCTGGAACAAATGCTGAATCATACCTACTGCATTTATTCAGTGTTGATTTGATAAACAGAGATTTAGTTATCAATATCTCCTTATATGCAAATAAGTTACTTTTTAAATACTATTTTAGTGGGCGCTGCTGATTAGAATGGAAATAAGTAGTATATATTGAGAGGGCGGTAGAAATCATAAGCAATTACCAGCAATGAGTATTGATTCTGCCCAGATAAACGTAAGAGACAATGTAGGCGTATTCAGAGCAAATCAAGATAAAAGCAGAAGAGGAAATGAAGTACATTATGCAAATGACTGTCTTAGTGGAAGGTGGTGTACAATATTTGATGACTACTGTACAAGATGTCAATAATAAACATTCCTTCCTTCGCCTCCATTTTGTCGCTTCCTACACTATGGATGTGTCCTGTCCCATAGTTGATAATCATATGAATAGTTATAACCGAGCTTTTCTCTAGATTTCTAATCTTACTAGGGTGTACCAATCTGTTCGTGTGCTTGGACAGCCTAAATGAACCTGGTCGACTAAGTCAACCTATGTATTTGACCTCACAATGATTGGAAAGGATTTCCTAGAGTAAATTATTTTGCCTGAATGCTGGGTTGAACTGATTCTTTCTTCAGGTCCTATCGCAGCGGAAGCTTTTGTAGGATAGTGATAAGACGAAAATCAATCATCATAGTGTAAGTAGCAATGCTGTGATGAGAATCTGAGGGCAAAGTTGTACTGCTAATTGGCCAGGGTCTGACAGTAGTAAGGTGCTCCCCGCTTATGACTAGCAGCCACACGATGATAATGCCATCCCTACGAAAAGCAAGGATTAGAAAAGGTTGGCACCAAAAATAGACCGGTCCTTAATAGCCTGTGGTAGTTCCGTGGCGGTGATGGAGGTTTTTCCAGTTGGATTCAACGCAATCGGAGTTGAATCTCAAACTTTCAAAACGATCGTATGTAACCGGTTTCGGGTAAATATTCACGCACCGCTAACAATAATCCACTTTTCTTTTCAGGTACCTTGCAAAAACAGCCCTCAGGATATGAGCAAACGGGAATTACCAAAACAAGCACGCTTCTAGCAGTACACAAAACCAAACTAACCGTAAATTACCTACCTGATCCCTACCACCCTACGCACCATCAATTCTTGATGTCAACATTGAACCCTATAAAGCTTCATTGACGTCTCGTCTTATCACTAACGATCTAAGCAAAAAAAATACCAGTCCTAGTCTTCAAAAACCCTGCTGTCAGCTCCACATTGAAGCTTTTAACGTCCGAATTCGATGCCGAATATGACACCAAGCATTCCTCGCCAGAACTCTAGAATCTTGAGATATGGGTGTATGCTGATTTTCGGAGACATATATAAAACTCGAATGTGGTTATCAATCTCATCTTCCCAGGCCATTGTAGTGAATCTTCAAAATCCACCTTACGAGTATTCAGATACCCAATGGCTAGCTCTCGTGGACTCGCTGTATAGGCATAGTATTAAGCTGTAAAGTAGAAAGTGCACTCCTTAACTGGATACGAGTAAACAGTCATCCGTATGCTATTCGACTGAATGGGTTCATAAAACTAGGAAACATCGTGAGACCAACTGATGACTGTTCGCAATCCTTACCTACGCATCCATGGACTACAGTTCGGATGATACAAAGGATGAATTCTTTGAGAAGTTATCAATTTTGTTACAAAAAGCAAAACGCTCAGATACAGTCATAATAGCAGGTGACTTTAACTCTCAAGTTGGAAAACTGGGCCAATCGGAAAGGTATCTTGGAGGTATCTACGAAATCCCATGCCAACGAATCAACAACGGTGACCGTCTGTTGCAATTCTGTCCTAACAATCACACGTTTTTGATCAGCACTAACTTTAGGAATCAGGAGATACATTTTTTTCACATGGCGTTGGTCGACATCAAACTAACGATGAACACAGATGGATCACATTGCTATAAGTCATCGATGGGGAGGTTCGGCGGACGATTGCCGCTTTTCCTAGAGTACCAGTCTGGACTCCGACCACAAGTTATTACGGATAAGTGTATTTGCGCACCCCAATGGTCGCAGAAAACAGGGGACAGTGAAGCATTTCTGTGTTCGACTGGAAGATAAGAATGTAAAATATACATTTAGGAAGGAGATAGCTAAGCACTTATCCGAACGTGACATGAATGCTTATCCTGAGGGAACCTGAGATGATACTAAGTCTGCTGTAGAAACAGCGGTAAGAACAGTTGGAAACACACAGCTGAAGACTAATACACGTCATTGGATTTCCACGACGTCATCCAAACCGATTAGTGAGAGAAGATTGATTCTAGCTGGTTGTTTCTGATCACGGTGAGAGGCGAAAGTAACTCAAACGTAAGTTGGCCAAGAATCCTCGCGTCGATCGCAAGTAGTGATGGGTGACGAAAAGGGGAAAGATGGAGAAACTATCAGCGTTGGGTAACCGCTGGGAACTATTTAGGCTCATTAAGGATACCGGCAAGATGATGGTTAGTGAAACCACCACGGAATAGGATAAGACACTGATAACCTCCCAGAGCAGGTGGCTAGAACGTTGGACAGAACACTTTGAAGGACAGTTCAGCTGGCCTCCAGCAAGGCTTCGGTTGTCCAACATGCAGTCTGAACTTGAATGGGACTTAAGTGTCAGTTCTCCAATCTTCTTAGAAGTTGAGAAGGATGTCTCAAAACATGAAACGATGTAAAGCTGCAGGACTTAGTGTCTTACCACCAGACGTTTTGAAGCATGAAAGTAAGAAGTTACTGACTATGAAAAGAGCATTGAGCAAGTATGCAACGTTAATCAATGCTTTCCACTTGAACTCATGCAGCCGCATAAGGGTTTATGGAGTGTTGTCATCTGAATTCGCAGTGAACAGTGACGTCCACTAAGGGTACCGGGTGTCATTGTTCCTTATTTAAAGATGTACCTCTAACTTATGAGGAACTGACTCACTTCCAAGAGGACACCTGGTTGATTTGTAGTGCATAGACGATATAGTCCTATTAGGCGAGAAAGCTGACAAAATAATAACTCTACCAGTCAGATGTACTGGTTTGGGCCGACTTCTAGTTTGAAGATAGGAAGAGAATTGGTAAAATGTGTTGGCCACTTAACTTGTGAAATTTCAACAACCGAAACGGGTTGATTACTGACTAAATTTCAGTATGGGTACAAATGGTCTATTTGACAGTTACCAAATCACGTCATCTCTGGTACGTACGACATATCCGATTAACAATTAAAGGAGCATACTATGCCGTAGTCCGCTTTGTCCAATTATGCAGTTGAGATATAGCCTCTTAACATAGAAAAGATTAGGACATTACATGTTTTTGATCACGTGTTCGTAGCATTGATTGCGTCTGGTAGGATCAGCGTGTTAGCAATGTTGAGGTTAGGTGCAGAGGTACTAGATATGGGAGAAGAATCAGTCGATGAGGCTTTGAGCCTTCGCCAACTGAGATTGCTTAAACATGTGTTGTGCATGCTAACTCATCGTCTACCTCGATGCACAATATTACCATATGTAAGACCGGATTCGAATAACGTTAAAAGTGATAAAACTAGAAAACGGCACCAGTTCATGAAGTCTCTGATTATAGGTATGAGTCAAATAGAGAGATGTAGACTGGTTGGCTGGTGCTCTGAAGAAGGTAAGAACTAACGGTTGGTGCTATAGCTGACAATCGGTCAAAATGGAGATATCATCTTCAAAGTCTTGGACATTTTGTTAGCTCTTGTCTATTTATTCTCCAAGCTCTTGTACACTTTTGTATACTTTTATATGACTCTTTTTCTGTGCACTTCTTCTTTGAGTGCTGCTGTGGAGTGTTACAGCTTAAATTGACTCTTTCTGGGGCCAGGTTCTAACGTCAATCAATCTGTCTGTCTAGGTTGATTAGTCGTTGACTTCGACAGAAATTTATAAACTAAGTTCGTAATGTGACCACTACACTAAATCACTTGATAATAAGGAACATGAACTGTTGTTGTTCACTAGATTAGGTGTTTCAGCCCTACTCCAGCTGCCAAGGTTTGGAAACTCGGGTAGCAGGAGGAGTATCTATTCCCTCGAGCTTTTAAATATACCCTGATGACGAGTGCACTCAAAGAAAGAGCCTAAAATCAAAACTTGCTTCATTCTGCTCGACACTTTAAAATAATCATGCCTTATATTATCTTATTTGGTAGGTGAAATTGAAGGACAACAATCGATAAAAAAGGTGTCTACGAAAGAATCAAGCGTAATATAGTTTTTATTGATTAATTATTGAAAAGTCAAGAAGATTCTAGGGTGTCATTTTTAAATTCTTTAAGTCGTCAGCCATGTACACACAAAATAAAATGTCTACCAAACCAGATATTGAAGTGTTGAGGCTTCTCAGCAGGGGTAAATCGTTGTCTAAACCAACCGAAATATATTTTCATTATCTAAATTCTCAGCTCCAGTTAATAAGCAATCTAGCAAAAACCATCTGACATGTCGTATCATTTCGGTATACACAACCGACAAGAGAAATGGTGTTCGCTTGTTACAGGCAAGAGAGCATAATCAAGATAGTCTTTAAATCCATCCTGGTTTCTAATATTTTGAAAACAGTCAGTTACGATTTCTGTCATTGAATTTATTAAGAACTTCTAACTTATTAACTTTGATTTAACTGCATATCACATCACTATACATAACAACAACAACAACTACTACTACAAAACTGTGATGACCAATCGACTTTGCACAATAAAGTACAGGTTTACACTACCTAAAGTAAAATTACTGAAAGAACATAACAGACATATAATTGCAAAAACGAAAAACAGACACATACTGATTGATAATTTCAGCCAGGACTTCGCATGCTTCTACGCGTACATTATCATCACTGTGTGACATAACCATATGAAGTAGAGGTGTAACAGCCTCACGAACAGCTGACTGAACTACAGCCATATCAGTTGTATTAGGCAAAGCGTTGACAACTGTCTTGAGACCTTGAGATAGTAATAATAACAATCCGTTTATAAAATTAAAAGATAAAGTTTAACAAAGATCATAATCTATACAGTTGTATTTCCACGTGTCACCAGATGAATGGAACATATGAGAAAGAAAACAACTAGTACAAGGTTAAATATACTAAATATCAACATACTATAAACAATTATCACAATATTGAAAGCTATCTATTCCCAGGCTTAAACAGCATTAAGCTAATACAGAAGTATAATCTATCAACATAATTTCCCTCGAAAGCAATATAGGTGGGTGTACAGCACTTTCAGTTATATTTATCTCCGAAGTGATGACGACATTGAAGCTGTAGTCCATTAACACAGGCTTCTGGTTGCTATTCATCGTGTGAAACATGCAGACCCCATCACATCCACTGAGGTTTGGATAGCCAGGTAGAATCAATAGACTTTTTGAAAAAGATGTTATTCATAAATAAGTGGTTACTATTGGTTTGCATTAACTATTTTATTTCATTTTACTTGAAAATAGGATCAGGTTGATTGAGTTTAACAAGCATTACATATATATATATATATATATATATATATATATATATATATATATATATATATATATATATATATATATATATATATATATATATATACAACTCCCAACACTTAGGCGCCATGTAGTTATTATGTGAGAACCTCGGAATAACACATGAACAAAACCTCTAACTGAGTCGGTAGTTGGTGCACGTTTGAATTTCTAGGAGGGAATCCGTTCTAAATATTTCACTGATACGCTTTGTTTATAGGTGCCAACAAGAACAAAAACTATGCTGAAGGTTTTTTTACCACTTAAGATGCAAACATTCTTTAGATTAAGCTTTCGCAAAATGAAATGATTCCCCTAAATACACCAGTTTAACAGACTGAAAATGTATTAGGTCACTCCAAGGTATATTACGTAACCTCGCCTGGTTAACTAGTTCACTAGTTACTAGCCGGTCCTAAGCCCGGGTAAACAGGGAAGGTTGGGCATAGGGCTAGCAACCCTACCCTGTAAAACAAATCTAACCGCTAAAGAAACTTCAAAGCACAAACGATACATAAAAAATAAAAACAAACTTGTTCCTCGCTGGAATCGGAGGGACGAAATGACACCAGTTGGTGAAAGCCTTCGGGAAGCCAATTGGCCGATGTGTCTCCTCCCTCTCGATGAAAGCGAAAGTAAACATGGGCACATGGAATGTCCGCACCATGTTTGAACCTAGTAAGGCTGTCCAGATTGCAAACGAGATGAGAAGGTATAGCATTGAAGTGCTAGGAATCTGTGAAAGCAGGTGGAATGGAAATGACCTCTCCAAACTGTCAACTGGAGACTCAGTAATCTACACCGGCCACCCAGACGACAACCACGAGCACATTGAGTTTTGGAGTGGGCATCATAATGTTCCCAAGAGCATCGAAGGCTCTCATACAGTGGGAACGAATCTCCTCCAGGATCATAACAGCAAGGCTTAACTCAAAAGGACGGAAAGTTACAATCATACAATGCTACGCTACGCATCTACAAATAATGCAGATGAAGAGAAGGAGGAAGAATTCTAAAGACAACTGCAATCAGTACTAGACAAGACTCCAGTTGGCGACATCAAAATTCTAATGGAGGGGATGACATGAATGCCAAATTGGGAGCGGAAAACACAGAAAGAGAACTGATCATGGGTCGAGAAGCACTCGGTGTAATGAACGAGAACGGAGAACTGTTTGCAGAATTTTGCACATTCAACGATTTGGTGATTGGAGGTACTGGGTTCAAGCACAAATATATTTTTAAAAAGCGACATGGATTTCACCAGATGGACACACTACACTAAAAATCAGATCGACTTCATCTCAATGTGAAGAAAGTGGAAACGCAGCCAGCCTACTTGACACAACATGAAGGAGGGAAGAAGATGTAGGTTCAGACCACTATCTAGCGCAAAGAACCTTCCAAATCAAGTTGAAAGCCTTCAAGGAAGTTGGTGAAAGACCACAGTTCAAGTTCAACACCCAGAACAGGAACTGAAGGAGAAAACTACAAAGAAAATCTTTACGTCAGCCATCAAGACAAAATGGGAGATATCGAGCAACATCCCTGAAGAGACCTATGTGGAAGAACACTGGAACTCTTTGGAAGCTGTGTGGAAAGAAACCTGCAAAACCGTATTAGGAAGGAAGGAAGAAGAAAGAAGACAAGGAATAGATCTCGATAGACACACGGAAGCTAATAGAGCAGTGAGAGGAGCATGGTGAAGCAGAAGATAAACCAGTGCAAGGATGACCGACGAGAAGAGGAACTGAGTACGACGTATAGAACACTAGACAAAGAAGTGGGGAAGAGTGCGCGGAAAGACAAAAGACACTTCTACGAAACACTAGCAAGTGAAGTAGAACAGGCTGCAGGTAGGAGAGACCTGACAACATTGTGTTAAATAAGCAAGTTACTATCTGGGAAGAGATCAACGCAGATGCAACCAATAAAAGATGATGAAGGAAATCTAATTACCAAAGAGAAGAAACAAAGGAAACGATGGGTTAAGCACTTCAAAAAGCCCTTGAATCTACCATCACCTGCACTTCGTCCACAAACACCACCTGCAGCCATAGAACTACAAGTGAACACAAGTCCTCCGACGAAAGTCGGAGTTCTGAACGCCATAAACCTACTGAGATGCGAGAAAGCAGCAGGACCAGATTGAATCCCTCCAGAAGCACTGAAGACAGACGCGGGGACAACAGCGGACATGCTCATAACACTATTGCAGAAGGTCTGGAAGGAAGGAAAGGTACCTGCCGACTGGTTCGAAGAAGGGCTACCTTGTCAAACTCCCGAAAAAGAGTGACCTAAGTCTTTGCAAGAACTGGTGAGGAATCATGCTCCTGCCCACCCCAACCAAAATATTAAGCCACATCATCCTGGAGAGACTAATAAGTGCTCTTTGTATTCAAAATTACGACAGGAACAGGCTGGATTCAGGAAGTACAAATCATGTGCGAACCAAATTCCAAAACCACGCTGTGCATCATGATAGGACAGAGCATAGAATGGCAGTCAACTCAACTCTACCTCAACTTCATCGACTTTGAAAAGGCCTTCGACAGCGTCGACCAACAAGTAATTCGACAACTGCTTCAACACTACGGAATACCACAAACCTTTATCAATCTCAATCAACAACTATATGAAGACGCTACATGCCAAGTAATTCACAATGGGAGCTCAGTAATGCCTTTGAAGTAAAGACAGTAGTAAGACAGGGCTGTCTTCTATCACCCATGATCTTTCTGATTGTGGTGGACTCGATCATGCAAAAAACCGTGAGGAGCGAGAAGAGGTGCATACGCTGGTTGGACCGGGGAAAAGATCCTGGAAGACTTGGATTTCGATGGTGATGACTTGTTTAATGTCGCACAAACTCGAAGATCTGCAGGCGAAATCCAACAAGTTGACAGAAGAGGCAGGGTAGCGAGGGGAGACGGAACTTCAAGTAAACGTAGAGAAGACGGAGGTGATGAAGATACCCAACCACCACCACCACCACCACCACCAACAACAACAACAACAAACTCCAATCACCATCAACGGGAGAAACGTGAAGGAAGTAGCCTCTTTCACTTATCTAGGCAGCATCGTTTCAACTACATGCGGCAAAGGCATAGACGAGGACATCAAAGCCAACCAGGATCGGAGAAGCAAGACAGGCGTTTATTAACCTGAAACCAGTGTGGAGATCTTGTTCACTGCACTCAGCATAAAGCGTGAACAACATCCGGATTTTCAACACGAATTCAGTCAAGTCAGTGCTTCTATATGGTTCAGAAACTTAGCGCGTTACGAAAGGCATTTCCAACAAACTACAGATATTCATCAACAACTGCCTAAGCTGGCTAGTTACTTAAGTTCAGATGGTCAGAAATAATCAGCAACAATCGGCAACTAACCAACCAAGAACCTATCGTTCAACAAATATTAAGAAGAAAATGGAAATGGATTGGACATGCACTGAGAAGGCCGACTGGGAACACCACGCGCCAGGCCGTCGAGTGGAATCCAAAGGGGAAACGACGAGTTGGGCGTTCATATGAGGAAGAAATGAAAGCTTCTGCGGAGTCATGAAGCCAGGTTAAGAGGACTGTAGAGGACAGAGTGTAATGGAGGCGTGCTACTGAAGCCCTATGTTCCACTAGGAACCCAATGGACTAATAATAATAAGATATATTACATGCTTAAAATAAAATATAGTTGGCATTCTTTTCTCGGCATCAAAAAATGCAATTATTTCGGTTGAAATGAATCCGTTAGAAGTTATTTAGTAGATGATAAATTAAATATCCAGATTTCGCTAGTCAATAAGATAAACCGACTTTTTAATGCATTAAATTCATTATTAGATGGCAAAAAGAAATCAGTATGGAATTCTGAATCAACTCAAGTATTTCTCTTGGTACTAATCAATATAGTTTACGCGTAACCTCAAGTAAGCTCACGCCTCCTTCAACTGATCTATTCAAATCGAAAGTGAATTCCCACATAAATGAAGTGGGTACAGTATTAGATTACTGGATGATAAGTAATGTTACTTTCGAGCATTTCGATGAACAAACCCGACTGACTAGTTTTTATTTAAAATCTATTAATCATTTTCTAACTACTATGTAGCTTCACTATTCTTAAATAAACCTGAAATCACTTTCTACCTTACGTCGTAAAAGGATGTAGTCTGATAAGGTGTAATTTATGGTTAGCGGTGGAATCTAGGACGCGTTTCGTCTTATTTTGGACTCGTCACCTGGATGTAATCGCACCCCGGTTAGTGATATCATTCCCACTGAGACTGGAATCTCGTACCCATTGCTTCAAATGCCAAAGGGTTATCCATCAGGCCACTGGGGCACAGTAGCCACCACTTGTTATCAATGAGATTATTTATGCCAGATATAATAGATCAATACTTCTACCTACTACCTGTATAGTTATTCCATTCTTTTTATGGTTGAAAGTAAAGCAGTATAGATGACAGATGAACTTGTTTTTGTTTCAATAGGATTATGAGGTTACTAAAGCAGAAGGTTGTACAATCTCAGCTTTCTAAAGGTAGTATACAAAAATCACGGTTATTTTCGCAGTCTGGATTTATGCTTATGAACGTTGACATTTATGGTATGTATTACAAAATGGTACACAAAATTTCACATAGACAAACTAACCAATACTACATATACTACGGAGTTGTCCTTCACCTCCTTTCTCCATAGTACCTACAAGGTCTTTGACAATTGTAACAATTTGTTGTTCTTTCACCTTAGTTGCCAAAGGACCCAATCTGTCAAGCAATAAAATACAATGACAACTTTGTCTTACGATTGTACTGCAAGGCTTTGAACTTCACCACTAGGATCTCGAAGAAGACGGAGGATGAGTCCGACGACCTAGTTGGCAAACCAAATATATACATGATTACCAAGGACTTACTCTCTTTTCACTTTGAAGATCCAGACGAAGTGTGTTCACCTGTAGTTCATTGATAAGATCATTCATTGCCATAAATCTGTAATCAGTATCGGCAGCCACCATCTAGCAAAAATATTCAATTATAGATAATCCGTCGCATACCTTCTCCAACAGTGACGTCAACGACTTATTTGTCGTATCTACTGCCATCATACCGGGTGTAATTTACTGCACAGTTGTATACGACTAGTTTAGACAGTACCTCAGGGTCTAGCTGACCTTATTCAGGATAATAAGCTACTAAATCAGAAAGTAATCTGCAAAGAAAAACAACAAAAAGAGAGGATAACTTGGGTTCCAAAAGTTAATGTACTTTCTAAAACAAATGGTGTTGTCACCTAGAGGGGTGCTTATCAAAGTTCCATACTACTGTACACTGGTATGAATACGAAGTGCGTAGATTGATGAGACGTTTATACACACGATGATACCCTGGTGGTTAGGTACACTGCAAAGGAGTCAATACGCTTGGAATTTAACTGCCACCTAAATGCAGAAAATAATGTGTTATAAGAACCACGCACTGATGCCCAGTTTGAGACCACTAAGTAGAGTGACTGCATGGGATAAATCACTATGGAAGTACGGTTTTCCAAATATCTTGGAGTTCCACTAAATCATTTCTGCTGCGCATGCGATAGCTTTTGGCGATCAGGTATGATTCCGTCCGATTCCAATGACTGGCTGCCCGTCTTCAAGAAAGAGAAGTCCAGATCTAATGACCACAGGGAAATCAGCCTGACGAACTTAGGGTCTAAGATTCTAGGTTCCACAACCATTAGACATCTCACTAGAGCTAACGAACAGCAAACCTGAGAAAAGCAGGCAATTTTCAGACTTGATCGTGAGTTTAACCAGATTTTCAACCTTTTCCAGGTTCTGGAGCAGAGGTGCACTTGTTAGTGCCTGAAATTAGCTATATTCCATGAAATGAAGACGGAATTTGACTACATTAGTCGAAGCGCCCTGTGGCAGAGTCTTTCACTAAATGTGCTCAAACACCCGAGAGGATTTTGAGTTATTACGTGGTCTGTATTAGTCTAGTAATTTCTATAAACGTCGTATAATAGCTTCATTTTCAATTATTTTTGTCAAAAACGTCTCCCTCTTATCATCTGACCATAACGAAATTACCCTGGTCACAAGAAACTCTTTAGTGGACCGAGAGTATGAACATGACAGTCTGTTGCGCGAAGACACTAACTAGATAGTCTTCTGAACACCCTTTTTTGACAATTTCAAGATTTTTGAAATGCGTTTCTTACCACCAGAATGCAAATTATTGATGCATTTCGAGTCAGCGGTGATACCCAAGTCTAATAATAGGGTACAGAGTGGTTAGGAGCACTGATGACTCTGTATCCCCAATAGATTGAATCCCACTTATAGTTTTCATGAAGCCATACTCAGCATATCTGGGCTTTCTTTTCATACAGATTGATGAAAACGCTTAAAAAACAGTTACGATGTTTTAGCGGGTGATTTGGATGATCCGCTCAGCAAAAGGAAGTTGTTCAGAGCAGTGATGAATACTTTTTCTATGAAAGGTGTGAGTTAATTTTCGACTTTACACTTGACATAGGTTGAACTTCAATTAGAATATCTGATATAAGCGGTAAACCTGTTTCAAAGATTTTACAAAAATTTGTTAGGTGGGATTCGAAAGGCAGACTGAAGCAAAGAAATTGATCTCAAGCCCCTTGCAAGGAACGACTAGGTTTTTTAATTGGTTTCAATCGCCCACTAAGTGGTTTTCAGCCAATGTTTTGTATATTAAACAACCTTCTCGATGCTAAAGTATTGTATTCGTTTTTTCTTCATAGAACACAACTTGGAAGGAAAACATCCATAATGACACTCTAATTCTTGCATAGTCGAGAGTCAGAACTTCCCCACACCGCATTCAATAGTTGTTCGGAGAAAGACTGGAACTTTTCTGTACTAAAAAATTCAGTATCATCAGTGAAAGTCAGCGGTTGGAAATCTCAACAGAAACAACACTATAGATGAACATGGGATTCCAGAATTGCCAAGTGACCGCTCGGTCAAAGATCGGTACTTTCACGACGTCCAACAATAGCAATGGCTCTCAACCAAAGTTGGTCTCAACAGTATACCGGCCAACAGCGTCAGTAGACTGCCAAGGCCAGCGCACCTGAAGACCATACCCAATCCCAGGCTACTCGCCGTCCAGTTCGACTCATATGCCTCCCTCACAGACGTTCTACACGCATGGTATAATGCGAAAGATCGCATGGGTGGCTCAATACGTATATGTGAAAGTAAGCCTAGACCCACAAGGCAAGAGGAGAGACGACAACCACCAAGACCTCTGGAGTCAATGGTCGTCACACAGGAGCTGACCAGTGAGTTAGATACATCAAGTAAAGAAGCCACCACTGCCACAGCCCCCACCCAAGTTAAGAACAAAACACAAAAAAACGGAACAATGCCAGTCCTATGAGGACTGGCGAGGCTAAAATCAACCACGTAAGCGCTCATCCTGCGAAGATACACATCCAGACCTCCCCTCTCATCAGACACACTCTAATATGTATGTACAGCAACGTTAGGGGGCTAAGAGGGAAGGTAGCAGAAATGAGGACGCTGCGTGAACATCAGCACTCCGACATCATATTCATCACTGAATCCTGGCTCTCGTCGGACATCTCCGACGAAGAGATGCATGTTACTGGCATGGAACTCTTCCGCAGGGACAGGGAACATAGAGCAGGAGGGGGAGGGGCTATCTACGTAAACTCCTGTTTAAAGGCAAGGATGGTTAGCGATACGGCCTTAACCCAGCTCCCAGAGTCTCTATGGTGCTACTTCACTCTCTTCTTTATTCTCTCTTCATTCCTTTACCACTACCTTACTATTCTCTTTCAGGTACCTACAAAGACAGGAGTCACGGCTGTTCTCTAAACTTCCCAGCAACCCGTAGCTCCCTAATCACTCTACAAATTACAACCTACTAACCCACAAAACATCCACCTCACCGAAGCTAAAAGCAAGAAAGCAGAGGGGATTTCCTCGTCCACTGCAGGAGTAAACCGAACAACTGGCACCAAGCCCTAAGAACTAGACGCGAGAGATCAAAAACTACCAGTTTTCTACGCTCGCACTATCAATATTGGATATTGGATTGGATCCCTTCTGATTTGTAGGAATAAACGATGAAGCTTCGGACCAGCGACATCAAAAGAAAGTCCAGATTTGGGCAAAATCAAATCTGAAATCCCACAAGTATGCACAGACAGAGTATGTGTATCAGCGCTCAGATGCCAAAAACTTAATCAGTATGTATTCATTTCACTTCGTCCCGACATATCATTTGTCTCTACTAATCACTGGACATAAAATATGTGAACTGAGAATGCGAGTAACTTAGTGAAACAAGTTACAGATAATGTGAAATGAAAACGCTACACACTTTTTACGCAGAAGCAAACAAACAAACGTTACACCGTAGAATTATGAACTACGCGCTCTTACTTTATGTCCAATGGCTTTCAAACAGGCGCGGGATACAGACCTTTTGAACTTTCATATAATTACCTTGAGGCTGAATCAGTTTATTCGATTGTTCTCATTCACTGGGCTTGGAATCCATTTCTGCCTCCACCTGCTAAGCTCTCTGTCATCAAACAGCAGGTGGGATATTTCACTTTAAAGTTTGAGAACAGAGCAAGAAAGTAGGCTAAAGCACTACTGAGAAGAGTAATTATCTAGATGCAGCTAAATTCTGAGTGGGAGCCGAAATGGGTGAAAGCTAGAGTGAATTAGGCGACGGTAAAAGAAAAGAGAAGGCTGGTTGAGCATGATTCAACAGGGAGGTATGAGAATGCATACATGTAATAGTAACATCAATGGAAAGTTGATGGTGAGAAAACGGCAAGGTGGCATTGCATAAGTGTCATGATAGGTTGGTGAGGTCAGAGATTGTCTGCATAGGTTAGTGACAGGCCACATGCGTCGGCATATTCATCTAACTACCCTTTGAATGACTGTAGTGTAAAATTCGTTATTTCTTGCGGTACGGTATTCCAAAATCCACCATCTTTTTCTGTGCTTAACATACCGCTTGTCTCATTTATCAGTGTAAATCATAAAACTTGTATTCAACTGCAATACAGAGAACAGTGCTGAGGTTTCGTCATTAATCTTAAAACTCCCTTAGTGGAGACGCGGCGCTACGTAGTCTAAATGCGTATCGCGCCAGTCTCAAGTTTCATATTGTATATTAATGAAATCCCTCCTCTTCAGAAACTATAGGAATGCAACTTGCAGGGATGTTCTCGCCATAGTTAATGCGCGAGAAAATCCCCCATTCAGTTGAAGGTAAAAGGGACAAGGCAACGGCCACGGGAATGTTTCACTCGTTAGGCTCCACTGAACGCAACTACGGCGGTGAAAATATTGATTCTACGCAGGACGGCCAGTGTGGACACGAGTTTCTATGATACATCCGGAAATACGAGTTTTCTGGCTTCAGGAAATCCAACAGGACGAGTTAATTTGCTATCAGGCAGTTCTACAAGTTTGGTGTATACAAACCCTGTCCACTGATTGAGTGTCGAGTTTTCACTGCCTTTTGTCCAAGGAGTATCTTCGTATGAATAAAGGGACACCGTGGTCACACTTGGTGATGAGGAAGGCTCCGGAAAGGACATAATAGGTTACAAGCCCATTAGACAGATTTTTATACTACTGAAATTCTCGCATGTAGGGCCGAAAAAGTTATTATGTGCCACCTGGAAAGAAGCATCCCACTGTCAAGTATATGGTGCAGCTTTCCTGTAAGTGTTTCCTGGTAATAAGTTGATTCTGGATCATCTTAACTGCACAGATCTTTGCTCGACAAGTTTTTATTTTTCTTTTCTTACATTTCTTACTCGTATACGATTAATTCTCCAGTATATTATATGAATTGTCAACTCAAGATCATTAATTTTCGAATTTTACAATATTATTTCCTCACAACCACCGTACCTTTGAACAGAATGCAGCTTTGGAGTATTCGCAAAATAAAACGATATCAATTAATCCTGGTAGCGTTGACCAAATTTATCAACTAATCTAAATGCGTGACATCTAGCGCTTGACAAATCTTACCAGTGCATAGAAAATTTGCTGACGATGCCTAAATGCGTTTATACATCATGTTCATGGGTTTCGTTAAGGTGTGGATAGGAGACCGTCCTCATCGAATTTGGCAGCAAGCACAAGAATGTCATGGCATCACATAATCTGTCGTGATTTCCAAAGTTGATGATCTGTAAATCTGCTTGCAGATAGGGAGTAAGGTGATGTACGCACCTTTTAGGCAGGCCTAAAACGTTTGTTAACGCTATCAGAGAGGTAGCTGATTTTTTAAGCGCAGATTGGTGGGCAGTTATACACGTAGGGTGTACAGTTGACAACGTTTACGACTCTGATGACGTTATATTCATTCCGTACAGGTCCGAAACAACCAGACTCACGGTTGGTCATGATACAGAGACCAAGGATCATTGTCGGCCAGTGACAGTCTGAAGTCTCAGTAAACAGGTTCGTCGGAATGACACTTACTAGTACCACTGGGAGCGTATCTCCTACCACATAAACAGTCTTACATATATTCAGGATAAAGTACCGTGTACAAGTGATATACCTCCTGGAAAGAGTTCATGAGAAGGTAACTCATTATCTCTGCATTGGGAAGCTTAACCCACAAAATAATATTTCAGGAACCCAAGCCCTCCTCCTTATCGTATCGCAGACGGGCGGCCCCTTACTCATGTTGTACTATGTACATGAATGAATGTGGATATGATATGCCGTTCTTTTTCCGTATTGTTTGGCTGAAGTACTGCCGAGAGCATAACTGCGGGCTGCAAGGGCCTAGGGCAAACATTACTAATGAACAGTTCTGCTTTTCGCATCATGCAAAACACTTGGAACAAGCGACCAGAGTAAGTTAGAGTTTCCTTCCAGGTTTAGCCGGCGACCAGACACCCATAAGTTTACACAAACGATGACGTATGAACGGGGGGCCTTGTGCATAAGAATCTATTAAGGACCTGGAATTACTCAATAAGGTATGCGACCTGGGCGACCAATATTCTGGCAACCTTAACTTCAGTGAGCACGTCACAGCTGTCGTCTCTAAACCTACAAGATTATCAGGTTTCCTTCTAAATAGCTCCTATACAAAAGAGGCCAAACTTGTTCTTTATAAGTTGTGTGTTACACCGATATTGGAATATGGCCCATTCTTTTTTTCTAGCATGAACAAAAGTGACAAACCAAGACTTAAATGCGTCCAAAGGAGTTTCACCAGACGATTATTAAATTGCGCTAGCAATGTAGACTACAAAGATAGGTGCACTATACTGTCCATTGAACCGCTATGGAAACAGCGTATAAGAAACAAACTAATTCTCTTGTACAAAACTTCTCATGGTCCGTCATACTGTTCCTCTGCACCCCCATAGAGATATATACCACCATATGACCTTAGAAACCATGCACTGACGTCGTCAATAGAAAGATGAAATCAACAGCTCAGATGTAAATTATTTACTACATACTACAGCTTAATCTGGGATAGGCTCCCCGTAACTGCACGCAGCGGCACCTCTGTGTCGCAGTTTAAGCGCCTTATCAACTTGTTTTTGGGTTCAGATAATATCTACAGTCTGTTTGTAGATAGGTGCCTTTCAACAGACATACTCAGAAATAGCTCTGTAGGACCCTGGTATCTCCAAGGTGGGATCTCTAAGTTTTATTCAATGAAATAAATAGCTCTTGATTTGGAACAGTAAGGACTCTGTGTATCAGGCAGTTTCCCCTCCGTTGTATAACTGGTATCATCGTATTAGGGTAGCCCACAAGGTAAACAGGATACTTACCTGACTAAAAACGACGTCTTAATCCACTTAGTTGTGCTACTAGGAAGTCTGTCCTCAGAATTCCTTGCAAACGTCTACACATAGTATTGTCTTGTTTTCCACACACTAAGACCCCCATTAATTCACTTCTTCATGCCAAAACTTACTCCGTATTCACAAGCCTGTGCATACGCCCGTATGTATGACGACTACCTATTCCTCTCAAATCCTCAGTTTGACATGTCGACTGAAATGCTCCGCCGTTCAGACATAGTTTCAGCGCTATACTTTGTGTTTGTCGCGCATTAATAGTCTCCGACTACTATCCCACCACAGTTTATTACTGAAGACATGATTGTTGTGCAACAACTAAATCTAGATCTGATGTCTCTTTCTCTGGTTATTCTGTTAATATCTTGTTACCCATTGACTTAGGTACAGGATAAATTGTTCCATACTTATGTTCCTTTTTCTTTCGCACCGGGAGTTTCACAATGGGACCGCTGCATACTGATCAATTCGACAGTTCACTCAAACTTATGGCTCCAAATGGGATTGTACCTAGAAATGTTGGCATTACATGCTCTTTGTATCCAGACATTCAGGTTCTCCGACTAATAACACCCACTCACCTCGTAGTGAAGAGAACCGAAACCGATCTGATATGAAGCGCCAACCTTGAAGACATATTGAATGGTTTAATGATGAAACCTTACGCTTCGTGAATCGCAAAATGAGAACAGTTTCTGGGCTGAGTTATAACTTTAACTTGATTAATTCCCGTGAATTTGTTTCCATTGACACAGAACCAAACAATCACTGCGTGCTGCATGACACCGTGTGATACTGGTTCCAAGCTTTGTCATCGATCCATGTCATGATTTAAATTGAGTTTTAAACGCTCTCTGTTAACAGCAAAAACCCATTGATTATTCGCATTTTTTCAGCCTTGCTTATACTCGGCATTTCATATTCTATGTACGTTTACTGAGTATGCGACTGATTAACTGAAGCGTAGAGGCCTAATCACAGTTACCCGGCAAAACGTCATACTGGGTGATAATGCTTGTGTTATTATTCACCGCTGTCACATAGCACAAGGGTTAGTATCTAATAATTTTAGCCAGCAACAGCTGAATAGTTGCATCCTGGCAGACTATGTATGGTGTCGCGACGTACTCTTTCTAACCCTTCTCGGCCTCACCAGCAACAACAGAATTCAGATATTGCTATAAAAAGGGAATGTGTTAGTATGATTTACTATTCTAAATATATTATCATCATCATTCTAGGGCATTAGGAAGCTAATATGTGTAGCCAAGTGGCATATGAAGCACAGAAAAAGATGATGGATTTTGGAATACCGTACCGCAAGAAATAACGAATTTTACACTACAGTCATTCAAAGGGTAGTTAGATGAATATGCCGACGCATGTGGCCTGTCACTAACCTATGCAGACAATCTCTGACCTCACCAACCTATCATGACACTTATGCAATGCCACCTTGCCGTTTTCTCACCATCAACTTTCCATTGATGTTACTATTACATGTATGCATTCTCATACCTCCCTGTTGAATCATGCTCAACCAGCCTCCTCTTTTCTTTAACCGTCGCCTAGTCTTG